TGGTTTATAATTATCGACAGGTTGTGGTTTCGGTGGTGGTTTATAATAATCAACTGTTTCCGTTGATTGGTTATGTTTTGATGATGATGTGATATTTAATTCAAGTCGAAGACGATTTATTTTATCGTCAAGTGCTTCTAACTTATCATCATATTTTGATCGATCAAAATCATCACGACGTGAACATCGTTGTTGATCACGTGATGAGGGTGAACATGATCGAGATCTTGGTCGTTGTTCTGGTACTTCTTCTTTTTTCCATGGACAACATAATTCACAACAATCATTGCATGTTCTCATGGAACATGGTGAAACATGATGATGATGTACTACATGTTGTACCACTAAATATATTACTTAGAAAGGTTTTATTAAGTTTAAATTTATTACTTTCTTGTTTTTGATAATTTTCAGTATTATTTTTTACAACTGCGTTCGGTACAAAACCATAACTTGGATAGACATATGCTGTATTAACAAATGGTACTGTAGGAAACATTGTTGTTGCTTGTGGTACCATATAATAGCGTGTTGTTGATGCTAATGGTACTGGTTGAGTTCCTTGGAGAACAACCGGTGCAGATAATGTAGTTGCTGGCATGTACAACATTTCGATTTTTTCTTGTGACAAGTTTTTCTTTGAATCAATTGTTGTATGAATGATTTTATTGAGTGAAAAAAATTGTGTTTATGTGTTTGATCTGTTACTAAGAAACGCGCTCGTCATGCAGATGCTAAGTGAAGAATGAAAGAAAACGATGGTGCTTTTGATTTTTTTTTCTGTTAAAGAAAATTGGAGAAAAAGAACTCTCACCGTTTCAAGTAGATACGCAAAAATATGTGTCTATTAATAAGTACTATTCCTGTCGATCATATCGAGTGTTACTAATGATTTTGAAGAACACTACCGATCGAATACAGGAAAAAGAAAAAGTGTCAATATAACTCTGTTCTTACTATCCGTACCATGAATAGTGAAGACTGAAAGGTTGACAACATGAAAAAAAAAAAGTAAAAAATTTAAAAAAAGTAAAATACCCCTGTTGGCATATTTTGAACATTGATGAATTTGATATTATGTTCATTTCAGCATAGCAGGCATAGTAAATGTCAACATCCTGCTCTTATTTTCTTCTCAAATAAAAATAAGATTCGTTAATGTTGCAACATTTAATCTAACATTTATTTCTTTTTTATTTTTAGGTTCAATTGACAGTCAATGTTCATTCAGCGGATGAAAAAAAACCTGTTAATTATATAGGAATTTTATTTCTAGATAATTATATATTAAAGATCAAATATGGCTGAACGCGGCGGTACTCGAGGAGGCTTTGGCACACGAGGTGGTGGTACGTATAATGACTTTTTAATCAGGATTTGTTTCTAAAAATTATATTCATTAAAATTTTAGGTCGTGGCGGCGAAGGTGGCCGTGGTCGAGGTGAAGGTGGCTTTCGTGGTGAAGGCGAAGGCCGTGGTCGAGGTCGTGGAGAAGGTATATCTAAAAATTTACATTAAAATTATCAATAATACATATGTAAATTGTAGGTGGTCGCGGTCGTGGCCGTGGTCGTCGTGGTCAACGTCCAAAGGAAGATACTAAAGCATGGGTACCAGTCACCAAACTTGGTCGTTTAGTTAATGATGGCAAAATTCGTACACTTGAAGAAATCTATCTATTTTCTTTACCCATCAAAGTTTGTTTAGCAATTCTATTATCTATTTGTTTTTTTTCATCTTTAATTGATATTTTAGGAAGCTGATATAATTGATCGTCTCTTACCTGATCTTAAGGATGAAGTACTTAAAATTATGCCAGTACAGAAACAAACTCGAGCTGGTCAACGTACACGTTTCAAGGCTATCGTTGTTGTTGGTGATGGTAAAGGACACATTGGTCTTGGTGTTAAATGTTCAAAAGAAGTAGCAACTGCCATTCGTGGTGCTATTATTCTTGCTAAACTCTCCGTTATACCAGTACGACGAGGTTATTGGGGTAACAAAATTGGTGCACCACATACAGTACCATGCAAAGTATGAATAAATTCGATATTTTCTTCTGATTATATTTTTATTTTTCTCCTTCTATTACTTATTCTAGGTAACAGGTGAATGTGGTAGTGTACTCGTACGTTTAATTCCAGCACCTCGAGGAACAAGTCTCGTATGTGCTCCAGTACCAAAAAAACTTCTCCAAATGGCCGGTATTCAAGATTGTTGGACAGCAGCTAAAGGATGTACCGCTACACTTGGCAATTTTGGTTAGTTTTCTTTATAATATATATTCATTTTTTCTAAGTATTAATTTATTTTTCTTCATTTAGCTAAAGCAACATACGCTGCAATGGCAATGACTTATTCATATTTGACACCTGATTTATGGAAAGAAACTGTCTACACCAAAACACCATTTCAAGAATACAGTGATCATCTTGCCAATACACATAAGAAATATACTGTTGGTTTAGGTGATAAACATTATCAATAAAAAAACAAAGAATTAAAAACAACACCAAATTAAATTTCGATCTTTTTCTTTTCATTTGTTTTTGAATGGGTTTTATCTCATGAAAAAAAAAATTAATAATAAGAACAGCATATGTGTGTGTTTTTTTTTTCTTTTGTTATTAATACATAAAAATTCAAACGTTGTATTTAATCGAATAAAAGAGAATAAAAGAATAGCAACACACGTGAATATCGATGTTCATATGAAGAAACAGAGAAAAGATAAATACATATATATATATATAGACATGTTATTACGCAATTTCAATAGAAAATCATGTCTAATAGATATTCAAATGACCTTAACAAGTGCCCGGGCCATTATCGCCACCCATTGGCAGGCCCGTTGCACACCGTGATGCGTCAGAGATATTTAATTGCTCTTGTCGCTAGTGAAAAAAATGTAGCCGTAGTTAGGAAGCATTTTCTGAGGTGCAGTCGGCACTCAGTTTTTTGTTCTAATAATCTTTATCTATTTTTTCTTTTAAACTAATCATTTATATCTGACTTTAGGAATGATCTCTAGTATTAATCTTTAAGAAAATTGGCTTATAAATGTACTTTTATAATTATCAAATGATTAAAGGAAATCTAAATACGATATATAATTAATCTGTTATGATTCAGATAATTTCCTATTACAATGTAGATTCTATGATCTATTAATTTCATATCAGTTTAATAATCTCTTCTTATCTATAGAAAAATGAGATAATAATTTTTCCTACAGACATATATGTTGTATTAATAGAATAACTGATGAACGAAATGAATAAATAATAATGAATCTAAATATAAACTCGTAATTGTTCACTCCTATTGATGCACTGGATTCCTTGTTTGAAAAATTGATTCAAAATACTTCTAAACTAATACAATTCAGACTTTGTTATCCTATATACGTATAAATACAAAACAACAGAATAAGTGCTATCAATAATATAAACATGCTAACATATAAACACTCGAAGTCGTATATATTAGAAATCTTTAATGTAAATGTTAATGTCAATAACATTCGTACTAATTTCATCATTATTACATGCCATAGTTAAGTCTTTTTTTTGTTTAGCATATCAGTGTATATTTATGGAAATAAAAAAAGAATTAAAAAATGATATCTGACATAATGAATTTGCGTAAAAGAATCACAATTATATAGTATAAAAAAAGGAAGATCTGCGTTGATAGACATTTAAATCTGAGACATATTATATGACTTTTGTAAAATTCTGTATAACAAAAAATGGAGCGGTAGAATCAGTCGATGAATGATGACGATGGTTTGGTGGTGTTCGAAAACCAAGTAAATAACCGACCAGACCAAAAATGGCAACCACAAGAAAAAAACCTAAAATAATTAACGAATAAATATTATCATAACAAATAGAAATATACCTGAAAGTATAAAAAGAACGCCACCCCAATGTGGAAAAGCTCCATGGAATGTTGAATCAGGATCCTTACGTCCAAATGAATCTCTTTCATTCTCTATTAAATCATCCGAATTGATAGAAATAAAAAAAAACAAAATTATATAATCGATAAAATTTCAAATTTCCTTACGAGCATTGACTGGGAATGTAAACATTAAGATTACAGTTAATAAAAAGAATATGATATTCATATTAAAATAATATCTAAAAGAATATCAGAATGTTTTTTATTTTTTCAATAAAATATTATTCAATAGATTAACATATAAGTGAAATGTATTCATTATTCAGTAAAGAATAATCTCAAATACGAGAAAATATATAGTGTTAATCTTAAATCATACAGTATCTAAACGCGAAAGGTCAAAGATCAAAATTGAATAAATATCAATTGTACTGAAATTGAATTCTAATTGTCATGTTACAAATTCCATTGAAACTCGGTTGTTTGGGTATATATTGTTTCAGATATTTATTTTTTGTTTATCTGAGAAGAATCAATTAAATTATTGTTTATAATAAAGATATGATTGAAATATTTTTTGTTTTGTTTATCTTTATTGATGTAAATATTTCGCATAGAGGCTCTTTTTATTTTTCTCTTGTTCAAACAATGAAATATCATATTTTTTTTCTCTCTAATGACAAAAATCCAAGTGAACAAACTTTTCAAATAACAACAAACAAACGCGCAAAAAAACAGAGAAAAAGAACAGAAGAAAAAAAGAAAATGATAGAATAAAAAGAAACAAACAAACAACGGACACTTGAAGTGATCATTAGATATATGGGAACTTTGTTTTATATATACTAGAACACCTTAAAATAAGTAAGAGACAAATAGAATAAATAAAATGTAAGAAATCGAACCATTTCCATTGTTTTGTGTTTTTTTTTTCCGATAAAAGAAGAGAAAGAGATTTATATATCTTGTTGGAATATATTTGCAATAGACAAAAGACAAGGAGAAAGAGAGAGAGACAGATAGAGACAATGTTTAAACGCTTTAAATAATTTGTTGATATCAATGTTCACTTGGCATTCTTAAGTTGATTTGAAAGCCAATCAAGACCTTCATAAAGACCATCACCACTTGTTGCACATGTTGCTTGAATATACCAATTACGATTACGCAATGAGTGAAGACCTAATTTATCCGTTATTTCAGCTGCATTCATGGCATTTGGTAAATCCTGACAGAAAATACAAATATAATATTGAACTTTTTTTCTTCGAATTTTCTATACCTGTTTATTAGCAAATATCAAAAGAACAGCTTCTCGTAATTCATCTTCAGCAAGCATACGTTGAAGTTCATCACGTGCTTCACCCACACGTTCTCGATCATTACTATCGACAACAAAAATTAAACCTAGAAGAAATTTAATGAATACATTTGAATTTATTTATGGCATATGTATACCTTGAGTATTTTGAAAGTAATGTCTCCAAAGTGGACGAATTTTATCCTAAAGTCAAATTAATAAATCTTTAGTAAGGAAATTTTTTAAGTACTTACTTGACCACCAACATCCCATACTGTGAAACTAATGTTTTTGTATTCAACAGTTTCAACATTAAAACCTAAATATTAATTTCTATAAACAAATTAATTGAATTATAAGTTTCTTTTACCGATGGTAGGAATGGTTGTAACGATTTCACCTAATTTTAATTTGTACAAGATTGTTGTTTTACCTAAGAAAATGAAAAAAAAATATATATATAAAATCCTTTTTCTGTGGGCTAATTAACCTGCAGCATCAAGACCAACCATTAGGATACGCATTTCTTTTTTTCCGAAGAGATTTTTAAAAAGATTAGCAAATACATTTCCCATTTTGATGGTTTTTATATAATATTTATTATTTAGAATAAATGAATGAAAACGGGAAAATTAAAATAAAGATAATATAAATCTAGAAAGAGAAAAAATTTCATTTTTATACTTAGAATAATAATAATGATAATAATTAAAATAACAACATAGTACACCTAGCCACGTAGACAGTTGATGGGCAACAAGCAAAACGAGTGAAGGAGAAGAGAAAAAAGCAAGAGGAACAAATATGACGAAAAGAGAAAAAATCAACTACCATTAATCATGTCCAATGTCTCAATAATCAAGTTTGTTCGACGACAGACGAAATATTATTATGAAAATAATTTTTAATATTAAAATTTATTTATTTCATTTAATTTTACAGAATTTTTAATATCAGATAAAAATAAAAGAGCGCCATCTGTCAATTCAATTTTTCTCGTTTTAAAAGTTCAAAAATTTATCATGATATGATTGATTCTTTTTACGGTATACTTTATGTAAATTACATTAAAAGTTTACTTCTAATATTTGAAGAAATAAAATGTTCTATAACTAATGACATCTGTTATTGATATTATATTAAATGATATAAAAAAAGATTTAGAGAAAACTCAGGAATACACTGTATACTTAGTGGCGGCGCCAAGGGTGGGCTGGGGTGGGCTCAGCCCACCCTGAAATTTTTCTTACAGCTTATATATATAATGCTGAGCCCACCCTAGTCTAAATTCCTGACGCCGCCGCTATGTATACTCATTCTAATCTCAGTGCCACTCCAGTATTCGTCACTTGAGAACTTAATAACTACGTACGAGTGGCAGTATGCTTTTGTATGGGTAAGAGAAATTTTGATAAGATTCAAGTACACATTTCTAACTTTAGAGGTAAGTGTTTCATACAAAAAAAGGTATGCCTTAGATCGCATAGTTTTATCATGCTAGTATATAATTGATCTGTAGAAGTATAAGGACTATACGTATATAATCTACTTTTCTTTTTATTTCGATGCGAAACCAATGAATGTGCGTATAACCATTCATTCAATGTGTTGAAGAAGAAAAAAAACGGTAAAATATGTTTTAATCATAGAATTTCTAGATGCTTGTAAAATGTCAGGCATAATACATCCGAAATAAATAATATGATTGTCTAAATTATAAAAGTGTTATGTAGTAATTTCTTCGTGATCATCGCTTTCATGGTCATATTTACTTCACTATAGATTTTAATGAGCTCAATACACAAGTGACATCTATATTTTCAATTTCTTTTTTTTATATAAAAACAATAAATTCTAAATATTATAAAAGAAAAATGTTGTTATTTATTGTATAATTATTGATTAAGTTGTTTTAACTATGACGTCATCAAGGTACATATGTATCAACAATGGCAATGATTTGTTCTGTAGTGTCTCGCGCGTCCTTTTTTTCCGACAGCGCCATTGTCTCTCTCTCTCTCTCTCTTTCGCTCTCTCTCCCTAGACTATCACGTATTAATTTTTCTTTTTTTTTTGCGTTCTGATCTTTTCGTTCCTGCAACAACCGTACAAGACAAGAGACAAAAAACTTTTTAAATTTTCTAATTCATCCAAAATAATGTTATCTAAACTTACAAATATTATTTCTAGGTATTTTTTATTCAAAATAGAGACAAATCCATCTATGACATATGAATATCTTTCTCTTATTTGATTTAGTTGCCATCAAATATATCAAACATAATGAGCGGCTTTGATTGTTCGTTGCTTGAAGAACAACACTTTCAAACGTCGGACTCACTCAAAGATGGCGCTATTTCCTGTTCAGATTGGTCACGTTTTGCTATAGCATCATCCACTGGTTTTACATTATTAACATTTAGTGGACATTCATCACGTAAAGTACAATTATTTACTGTATCATGGTTTCAACTCGATCAACATCTTGAACAAGATGATTTAAAATATTATACATATACACCATTAGCACTTTTTTGTCCTGATTCATTACGACCCGATGGTGCTCGTTTATTAGCTGTTGCTTCATCAACTGGTCAACTTGTTATATGTGATGCTAATCAAGAATCACCTGTAGTTTTATTTAATGTATCAAAACGATGGAGATCTCAATTAGATGAACGAAATGGTGGTAATCCAACTACTTCACGAAAAACTGCAACTAGTAATGGAACAACTACTGGAGGTTTATCTCGTGATGAAGAAGCATTATTAGGTAAAAATAAAAAATTATATATATGTATACACTAGTTTTCTTTTCTTTTCTAGTACCAACTTGTTTAGGTTGGTCAAATGTTCTTCGTCGTGATTCCCCATCACGTTTTGTTCTTCTTTTTTGTGGTCTTGAATCTGGACATGTTGCTATTTGGCAATTATCAGAACAACAACAAACAAATAATCTTACATTAACGTATGCTGCATTACTTGAACCTAATGCAACTGAACCAACAGTACCATCAGCAGCAAAAAAATCTGGTCTTTCATCACCATTATCCAATGGTTTATATAATTCAAAAACTGAATCATCCTATAAATCACCACATAATTCAATATCAGCTATGGCATGGCTTTCATTATCAGATACAGCTGGCATATTAGCACTTGGTTCGTCTCATGGACATGTTTCACTTATATCAATATCATTAACAGGTAATGAATTAGCACCATTACTTGCATATACAAAACAAGAATCACCACATCTTGTTTCAAATGGTGCACGTATACATCATATAGCTTTATATCAACAACATAATGAACATCGTTTATTTTTTGCTCAAATGGATTCAATTGTAATCGCAACATTAAATATAACATCCACAGGTTATAATACATCATGTTCACAATTTACAATAAAAACAGTTAATGAATATGCATTAAATTCAAGTGTATTAACACATTTTCTATCTGAAACACAAGATTTATATTTAATATGTCGTGATGGTTTTATACATAGACAAGTAACACAAACATTTAATGATCCAACGAATCATCATCATGCACAACATACAACTAGATTTGAACAATTTTGTCAATTATTACCAGCAGGTTATTATTAATCTTTGTACTATGAAAATATGTAAATTATTTTCAGTCGAAATATGTATCTATTAAATATCATCAAGTACACATTTTTTTCCCCATGAGTCAAAATATTAATCTGTTAGAGAAAGTGCAAATACTATGATGTTATTTCGATTGAAATAAACAAAAAAAAAACCCAATTATATTATTTGTTTTTTTAGGTAGTGAATGTCAAGCAGCTGGTATAACTCCAACACATTGTACTGTATTAACAATGAAACGTAGTGAAGCGATATTAACCTTATCAGTTTATTCTTTAAAAGATGTTTCATCCACAATAACATTTTTTCTTTCAAATCCATTACCATCATTTCGTTTGAATGATGTTCTTGCTGCCTTACGTGTTCTACTCTATTCAGATAAATCCAATGCATTAACAGATTTAATTATGTCTGTTGCTGATTGTGCTGATCAAGCAAGCGTTAGTTTATTAAAAAAAGTTCATTCATTATGTCGTCTATTATTATCATATCATAATAGTGGATTAGGAAATGGTTTAAGACAAGCACCTTATATGTTATTTTTAGCTGATGTATTTGCTCAAATGATATCAATAGATTTAATTAAAAAACTCTATGATTATGTTCAAACAGATCAACAACTTCAAGTAACACCAATTGAGAAGTCTATACTTTATTGGTGTGAACAATTATTACAATATTCAACACAACAATTACAAGCATCAGCTAGTGCAACAAATAATAGTGGAAATACAAGTACAAGTTTAACAGGAAATAATTTATCAGCACAATTTGGTTCATTACTTGCTATGGCAAATCCAAATATGACAACAACACCAATAACAATAGCAAATGGACCAACACCACCAGCACAAATCAATAGTCAATATTTATCAACATGTGATCAAAAATATCTTCATTGTCCATTATGTGGTCAAATCTTACACATACGAACATTTTTTGATATAACATGTTCGAATGGACATGATTTTCAACGTTGTAATAAAACATTTTTACCAATATTTATTCAAGATCGTGCAAAACGTTGTTCATTATGTAATTTTTATATAAGCGATACAACAATTGATGATTCGACACAATTAACAACATTAATCAAAATACTTGGAGGATTTACTTGCACGTTTTGTGGTTGATATATATATATATATATATATATATCTGTGTGTTTATGTACAGTTTGTTTGTTTGCTGTGTGTTGTATATATGATATATTTCTACTCTACTCGTTGTTTTGTACTATCTATTTTTCATTGAGCAAAGATTCATAGTGATTATTCTATTTGCAATTTTTGTTTGCATGTATAGAAAATGAATGTGAGCACGACGTAAGAGTGTTTTCGTTTTTTTCTTTTTTTTTTGTATTGTATATTCATATACACACACGTACACATATATGTATTATGAAAGGAAAAAAACAAGAGTTTGAGTGACAAAAAAAGAACGTTTTCTTTTCTTATTATTATTACTATTAAAGAGAAAGAAGAAAAAAAAAATTTTTTGTTTATTATTTTAGAAATTAGAGCTTTTGTTCTTATTTTGAGAATTTATCAATTTATTTAATTGGTATGTTGAGATAATTATCTAATCACAATAGATATAAAATTCTTTATTTTAATCTTATTCCAGCGTATGGGCAATCAACAACCAGCAGGTCGTACTCGTAGTGATACGTACACACGATACGAACGAGATGGTGAAGATGGTCGATTTGTTACACTCGATCATAATGATTTTAGTGGAAATAATTATCCAATACCATTTGATGAACGAGTATATAAACTCAAAAAAAACAACAAAATAAAATACATGACTCATTTTAATAATATTTAGTTTGGCTCAAGAAATGATTCAACATTACCAATACGTATTCGCAATCAACGTCAAATGCAACAACATCATACTCAACAAGCTGTGCAAGCAGAAATGCATAATGAAAAAAAGACAATACCAGTTGTATTTAGATATCCAGCTTCAACGAAAGATAAAGAAGCTTTACTAACTGGTTCATTTAATAATTGGAAAGATATGGTATTAATGGTTAAAAGGTTAGTTTTATTTTTTTTATAAACAATAATTTTTCATAAAATGATTTTATAGTGATAATGATTTTGTTGTTATTTTGGAATTACCCGAAGGTGAACATGAATATAAATTTTGTATTGATGGCCGATGGGAATATGATTTAAATGAAGTATTATATATAGAAATATTTTCTTATCTTTAAATAATTTTATTTTTAGTTATCAAAAGATGATGGTCATAATGGTCGTAATAATGTAGTTACAGTAAAAAAAAGTGATTTTGAAGTTATGGAAGCCCTTATATCAGATTCAGTCTTATCAAATAGCCAAAATTCAAATATAAATAAACAACAATGTAAAGAATTTGATAAATTTAGTATTTTATTTAAATTTTTTTTGAAATTTATAGCAAATGATTCAGATATGGCACGTTCTCCACCAGGTTCTTATGACCAAACATGGCCGCCAACAAACCAAAAAGAATTTCCACAGACAGATAAACCACCAATTTTACCACCACATCTTCTTAATATTATTCTTAACAAAGATACATCTGCTCATGTAAGTCTCTTATACTCATTGAAAACTAATATTACTATTAGATTGATTTCGATAAGTATTTCTCATGTCTAACCGCTTGTTTTTTTTTCATTGTAGTATGAACCAGCTTTATTACCAGAACCTAATCATGTTATGTTAAAACATTTATATGCACTATCAATTCGTGTAAGTGTTTAAATAAGAATGTAAACTATGTTTTTATTTTTTAATTGATTTAGGATGGAGTTATGGTATTGAGTACAACAACACGTTATAAACAAAAATTTGTTACAACATGTTTTTATAAACCTACTGCCAAATGAAATGTTAAAACAGATCGATTTTTCTAAATAATAATGTAAATAATTTTTTTTTTGCTAAATGTTAACAGTTTTCCTTTAGTTATCCTTGGTGATATGAGAATATTTTTTTTTGTCTTTGACCTTAAATCTTAATCAATTGTTTGTTTTATTTTTCTTTCTTATCATAAAAATGTACTTCTACTACGCATGAATATAAACATGTATGAGTAATGTTTCTATTTCATTTGGTAACTATTGACTATAAGAATGATTTTATTCTTCTATAAATTAATTATTTAAAAAAAATAAATAAAAGAATGAATAATAAATCATACAAAAGTTAATTTGATTGTAACTGATGCCGGAGAAAATGAGATTGGTTCTTCTTTTTTGTCGATCATAGTTATGCAATATTCTTGATTTCATTCGAATAATTCTTTCTGTGAAATAATGATACTAATTATTATTGGCAACAGCATAGATAAAAAAGCGAAGGACAGCAAGTCTTTTCTTTTTATACAGAGATGATAAGAGATACCAAGAAGAAGTTATTGGTATCTCAAATAACTCATATTTCTGTAATTATTATACAAGGGTGGCACGACTGGGGGGAGGGGGTGTAATATCCCCTCAATCTTCGAAAATTTCTATTTTTGGCTCAACAAAATCGGCAAATCTTCTTTGATTTTTTAACAAAAATAATGCTACACCCCCCGAAAAATTCAAAAAACTTCCTTACACCGCCCCAATGTTGGCTGACTCGCGCCACCCATGCTACTATTAGATTTATTTTATTTCGTTATTACATAGTTGAAGAAAAATAAAGGAGAAGTCAATGAAAGAGTCTGTTATTTCAACCAACTGCTCAGTTATCAATTAGCATGCTTTGTTTTTAAACTCAAACAAACTGAATATCTCATTACTTTTGTAAACATAGGTTCTGTGTCACAGATGTATATCTTAATATTGAATAGCACTAAGTACCAGTATTTCTCTACGTAAAGAAATATTTTAGTTACTACGCTAGATATTTATGTTAATACGAAAGAAGTATTCTGATGTTATATGATTACTTACTTATCGTAAGTATTTCGTCATTACGATTTGGTTCTACAGATGTCGTAAGTCATACTTTTTTTCTTTCGTTTCTCTCACTTAGTATGAAATGCGTAAAGACAAAACATATGTCGAGCGCTGTAAATCTTTAAACTAGTTATCGCTTCTCGGCCTTTTCGGCTAAGATCAAAGTGTAGTATCTGTTCTCGTCGGTTTGAAAGCCGGCGCTGGTCCCATTGGGGCCAGGCTCTTTCAAGCGGATTTTTGGACCTCGGCCGGGATCACCCGAGTTCACTCGGACCCGTGCCACGGATCGTCTCGACACTGCAGTGCCGTCGAGTTCGGTCCACTCCCGTTCTCTCGGGAACGGGAATCTTATAAATTAAAAGTAAATATGAAAAATCATGTTGTTATATGAGATATGAACAAGTAGAGAATAAAATCAACGAGAAAAGTAGTTTGTTCAAGTTCATGTGAAATTTATTTACAAAAAAGAAAAACAATCATTTAGAGATTTTAGGTTTCCAAATAAACGATTTCGATACAGGCGTAGTTGATGTTTCATCTGTTGATGCTGGTGTTGCATTTAGATTTTCGGGTACTGAAATCGATCGATTTGGTAATTCATTTGAATTCGTATCACCACCAGATGAGGATGAATGACGAGTTTTTTTCGTATTTGTTTGTTGAATATCAGTATCATCACTAGTCGACGAGATATTTGCTGGTTCTATTCGATGACGACTACTTTCTCGAGTTTTCTAATAAAAAGATAAATAAAAAATATAAAGAATGAAAAAATAATAATTTACCGATGATGTACGCATAGGAAGATCATTACTTCTGAAATAAATCAAATAATTAGAATTTTTATAATTTAAAACTGAATACAAACTTTTCATTTTGATTATCTGCAATGAATGATCGTTCATTTGCTTTTCTTGGTCGAAGACGTCTTGGTGATGTTGTTTTTTTTGTATCTGCTGTTACCGGGGATGGTGTTCTTATTTGTTCATCATTTGCTAAAAAAATAGGATAGATGATAAAATAAATTAACACAAAATTTACTTTCAATTTCCTGCTTTTCAGTCATATCAAACGAAGGTAATGATGTTCCATATTCCGGTGACATATCACCAGCTAAACCTGATGTTTCAGTTGAAGTAAATGTTAAAGGAACTGGTGATGATGGTGTATCGTATTGTTCTTGATCAAAGCTAGTTGAAGATTTTGATGGACGAAATCTTTTTGTTTTAGATATAGTCTAGCAAAAATCATTATAAAAAAATAATAGACAGGTTAAGAAAATAGAATTTACTGATGTTGATGATTGCGGTAACAATACTGGTAGTGGTGGTGATGGTTCTGATATAATAAGATCTCTAAACGAAGACAATAAATATATTTTTGAAAAACAAAATTCTTACTCTGTTTCAAATTGTTCATTTAAATATTTTGGATTTGGTCGACGAGGTCGTAATTTACGCGTATCCGTTTCATTTGTTGTAGTTGATGATGAGTTAATATTATCTTCCGCTACAAAAACAAAATAATCATAAAATTTCAATTTAATAATCATACATTTTTCTTCAGGAATATCTTTCTGTTGAGTGTCATCGATTTTAATTTTTTTCTTTTTAATATGTATTGTAGAATTATCATCATTCGATTCCGGTAGACGTTTTATTTTTTGTGGACTCTCTGTATTTAATGGTGATGCAATACGAACAATAGGTGGAGGTGGTGATGGACTTGATGATTTTGGTGTCGGTTCATTTTCAATTGATATTGATGATGGAGAAATATCTACTAAATCATTTGGTGAAGTTGTTGGTGATAAAATACGAGTTTTTTTCTCTTCTTTAATAGATTCTTTTGGAATTGGTATTGGTTTCTTTTTCGGTGGTATTTGTTTTTTAATAACATTCGATATTTGAGGGTTTTTATCTATTGGAATTTTTGGTTTCGAAGGAATTGTTGGTTCTTTTTTAATTGGTATCGAAGATTTATTATTTTCTGTTTTTAAAGGTTCTTGTGGAATTGGAATTGATTGTGTATAAGATGTTGGTGGACGATAAACATGTGTTCCACCAATAGAATTATAAACATGTTCAATATGATCAGAAACAAATGATAAAAGACGTGGTTGAATTAATTGTTGTTGACATGTTTGCATATATTGATTAACAAGTGATGGTAATGTATCTTTGATTAAATTTGATCTAGATTTTATTTTGAATTAAAAATAAATTTCATCAATTTTTATTCTTACGTTTCTATATGACGACGTGCACGTTCACGTATATCAGATTTTTTTAATGATGGACTCCATTTATGTTCGGATAAATACGATGACATCAATGATTCAATTTGAGATTTTAAGTCTAAGTAGGATGGCTATAGAAGAGAAAAAATTAAATTAAATTAAAAGTTTTATAAAAGAAAAAGAAAAAGAAACCTTTTGTTCAATATCAGAGATTAAATCACGTCGAATTGAATCAAATAAACCATCTGCTTTAACTTTACGCATAACATCATGAAGAACGTATGATTCAGACATTATTCTGAAAAGAATATTAAATAGAAAAACTAAATTCTACGAGTTTTTCGTCTTTATTAGTTTTTGGGAAAAAATAGAAATGACAAATTAAAAAAGTTTCTATCGTTTTCTTTTTCTCTAACAACGAATAGCACTTCCAATTGCCATAAATGTTCCAAAGGTTCCACCTGCTGATACAACAGATTTACCAACAGTTGAAAGAAGTTCACGACCACGTAAACCATGTCTTAAAGGAAAATGATTTAAATAATAATACGAAAAATCATTGATAAAATAAAAACCTTAAAGCAGTAACACCGCCAAATACAATTCCGGTAACCATTCCAACTGTAAAACCCATTGTAAAACCAATTTTAACGCGATCAAAACAAGTTGGTTTGTTCATTTGACCACCACTTGAATAACCTGCCGGTACAGCTGGCATTGCAAGAAAGATGAACAATAATTTGACTTAAGTAGAGAAGTATTTGTATGGAAAATGAATGTACGATGGATGCAATGCTTTTTCTTCTAAGTAAATGAAAAAAAAACATTTCTACCAATGAAAATAAAATGAAATAGATGGCTCTAGTTAGCGAGAAATTCTCTTTCTTTGTGTCTGTGTATGATTAAGACATTCCTTGTATAAATAAACGTATTTAATTATTTGTTAACATTCTTTGCTATAGTTCTAGTCCAAGGTCAAACGGTACAATGGGTATAAAATCATGGATCGTCATTTCATGATAATAGGGCGTCATAACACTGCGCCCAAAAACTGCATCGTATACGGCTCTATTTGAATGAAATGGTAGTTCGTATTTGTGCACCCGTGACACGGTCCGTTTCATTCGATCTGCGACAGTTAAGAACATTTAACAGTTGATTGATAATTGATAGTCTTGATTTAGTGTATGTTCTCATCGAACATATCGACTTGTTTATGTTGTTATTTGCTAATACTTCAGATAAATAGAAAGTAAGAAGAATGTCAAGGAAGAAAGTCCAAGTGAATTGATCCTCATGTAATTCAATTATCATGATGCATCGTTTGTCTGTTATATAGATTCGCTTATGGATTTTATGCGTGTTTCTCTCTTTATACATGTTTTTCTTTCCATTCTTCTAATTATTTGCAAAAACCAGAAATTACGTTGATGCCTGAGTTTACTTCTTGCTCTCTCTCTCTTTCTATGTCTCATGCGTCTTATATTACCTTATTGGGCGTTAAACATATATTATAATGAATATAGAAGTATAACGCCAAATCCAAACGACACAAGGAACATCAAAGAAGAAGAAGAAGAAGAAGAAGACCACCACTGCTAATGAAAAACAAAAGCGACTGTGTTGACGGACAATTTGTTGTACCCATTCTCGACTTTATTAATTGATTTTATTATTTCATCGCTATCTTATACTGACAAGTTAAAAGATAGATAGAACAAGCTATTGAAGAGAAATCATATCATATAATACAAAGTAGTCAACAACTACATCAAATGTATACGATATATTATTTCATGTATTTTCTATATTATCAATTTCAATTCAACTAATGAAGACATATTTAAAGTATCCATATGAAAAACCGTTGACGACAATATACTATTCCTCTTCAGATATACAAAATCATTTTTCATCAAGTATTAATTTTCAACAGAGAATTGTACAACCATCAACTAAAGAATTACAACGCTTATTTTCATCATACTATAAACCATGTTTTGAACATATACACTCTGGAAAATATGGTATAAAGCCGCTTTGGCCTTCCGATGAATCAATACGTGAATATCGGCAATTTAAAAGAAAGTCGAGTAAGGTAATAATTATTCGTAAAATGATATTTTACATATATAAGATATAGGAATGAACTATCTACTTCGGTTGTACTAGATCAGTATACTAAACTTAATTAAGTATAGGATATTATTGAACTGTTTTTGCAATAAAAAAAGATTTCAACATGTGATATTGGAAAAATAGCATTTAAGTAAATTAATTTTGTTCTGATAATCATTATTTAAATATTGTCCAAAAATCAAAGCTTGTATTTTTATCCCGAACAAACTAAACAAACAATCCATTGTCTGAGATTTTGCTTATTGATTAGTAGGTTAAACTATCCCATCAAGTACAGATGGAGAAAGAATAAATTATACATATATAATTATCTCTTTTTTCTCAAAGCTATAGATAGATAAGGTATGAATTCTCATCTGTTCTCTTTCCTTCTTCCTTATTCAATCTTCGATAGCAGAAACAAAACAAGTAGTTCTTTGTCTTTATGTATATATACATCTATATATATATATATATGTCGATATTGATGAGAAAAAGAAAGAAGACTAAGCTGTCCTCGTCGTCGTCGTTCTTGTTGTTGTTGTTTTGGTCCTGTCCGGATAGTGCCATAAGACTGGAAAGAAATGCTACACATCATAAGATAGAAGAGGGCAAAAAAATAAGAAAGCATGTTACCCTGTATAACATCTGTATGAGAGGGTGAAACGCCTACTACAAGCGATTGCTAACACAACATAATAATGCGCGATGCGTAAAGAGGGAAAACCATAAAGCAAGAAGAGGAGAAAAATGTATACAGAAGAAAAAGAGCATCCATCTATTTGCACTCTTCTCGATGTCTTTTTTCTTCTTCGTTTTTGTCTTTGATAACGTCGATCACAAACAATATGATACCTGTTGATTTATTGTCTTTAAACAAGCAATAAACATAAAAAGGTAAAAATTTTAAACAGATCCATCCGGTTTTAATGAATATAAATTCTCCTAGTTCGTTTCTATGATAACATGTAAATATATAGAAAATAAATGCCAGAAAAAAAACCGCTAAAAGCATCAAATAACATCGTTAGCTTAGAAAATTCATCATCATCTATCTATTTATTATATTTTTTGTTTTATAGAATCGGTCGTTTTCTATCCTAATGGCATCACCAAATTATGATCGAGGTCGATGTTTACGTTACAAGTCAGATTTACAGGTTTGTTATTTTTAATAAATAGATAAATATGTTTATTTTCTATACATTAGAAGACACCTCTTCTGCCACCCACATCAACAGTTCCAGTTGCCACTCAACGGCATAGTTCACTATTGGTGTGGGGATCTGTCTCTTTACTTCTTCTTCTTATATTGATTATTTTTCGTCGTCGTGATGATGATGAATCAAATGAAAATGAAATAAATAATGATCAAGAACACGTTGATGAATCTTTAGAAGAAAATATTCATGTACGAGAACCATCAGAATATCGTTTATCAGCTGCTCGAATATTACCAACAATAACTGAAGAAAATCCAACAACAACAATAATAACACCATTAAATTCAAATTTTAAGTTTAACCCTCCTCAAGTAACTTCAATAAATACAATACCAGCATCTGCATACGATAAAGAAAAATTAGCTTCAAATTATTCAGATGAGAATGACAGACCTCATTCATCATCTACAACTCTACGTCAACGAAAAACAGAGATTATTGATGATGCAGATGATTTTGTTCAAATACCTAGAATAGTACAAGAAAAATCGTATCATAAACATGAAGATATATCTCAACTAGCCGATGATATATCAGTAATAACGAATGAATCCGGTCATCCGGTGATATTTCGTATGTTTCATTTTTTTACCAAAAAATTTAAATGAAAAAAATAAAATAAATATTTAGGAAAACTTTGTCTACCACATGAAAATGCAATTAGAGATGATTTTTCATCGATAGAAGAGGTTAATCAAGCTGTCAAAGATGTTGGTTTGGTTCGTTCACAACTTATCTTTGGTATTGATTATACAATAAGTAATCTAGAAACAGGCAAACATTCATTTAATGGTTTATCATTACATCATATAGAAGAAGGTTTACTTAATCCATATCAAAGTGTAAGATACAGTTCTAAGAAATAATAATTATTGACTTTTTTTTCATACAAATATATAATAGGTTATTACTATCGTTGGTCGAACATTAGAAAAATTTGATTCTGATTCATTAATACCAGCATTTGGCTTTGGAGATCGAACAACACTTGACCGCAAAATTTTTCCTTTACGTGTATGTGTTTATTATTCTTTCTATTCATCTTTAATTAACATATTCTTTTTTTTTGTTCTTATTTAATAGCCAGATGGTACGTATTGTACAGGTTTTCGTGGTGTACTCGATGCATATAATAAAATAACTCCAAAAGTACGTATGTCTGGTCCAACTAATTTTGCTCCATTGATTAAGGAAGCTATTCGAATTGTGAAGAAAACAGGACAAGTATGATGATTGAAGTTCTATTCGCTGATCAATATATGTTTATTTTTTTAAGTATCATATTCTTGTTATTGTTGCTGATGGACAAGTTACAAATGAACGACAAACTAAAGAAGCTATTGTAGAAGCAAGTAGTTATCCATTATCAATTGTTATGGTTGGTGTTGGTGATGGACCATGGGATGTCATGAATGAATTTGATGATTCATTACCAGCACGACAATTTGATAATTTTCAATTTGTTAATTATAATAGTGTAGTTCAAGCAACAGCTGATACTGATACGGATTTTGCTTTACATGCACTTATGGAAATACCATCACAATATGCAGAAATCAAAAGACTTGGTCTTCTTAAAGACAGTTAGTTTTTTATAGTCAGTTTTCTTTTTTCTTTGTCTTTTTTTTTCGTGCAAATTTCGTGCCAAGGATATCAAAAATAATACATACACAGTCACCCAGAAAATATACATACAAGCATATTATATGTTTCATTTATTTGGATTTCGTAGCATATTATTCTAGGTAAATGAAGTAAAACAAGAGCAAGATTGATGAATACTCTAGGTATTGTTAAAGATTTTAAACAGACACATTCCATATGTTTTTCGAGAAACAATATCATTATTTTTCTAGCTACAAAATAAACAACATTTATTATGATAACTTATTAAGATAGATTTTTAATTGACTGGTTATTGTCCAGGTAGTGGCAATAATTGTAATGTTCTCAACATGATAAAGTACATCCGTTGCGTACATGCAAGACAGAGATGGCATTATCTTTGATTATAAGTAAATTCTATCTACTTTTTCGATCTAACTTCATGATAAATCGATCATTATTTGCTGCAATACTTGTTTTAAACAACGAACAAATTTTTAAGAAATTTTGTTGTTTAGTCGATCTGTAACTCACAGCTTCCTTGGGATACACAAGCCCCTTCATTACGACAAAGTAACGATCCATGAAGGGATTGTTTTGTACAATAAATATCTATTGATATTTAAAATAATGTCAAAAAATCAATGCATTGCACAAGTGAATTAGCAGTCTATTACTGATCTTGTTGTAGAATTCATATAAGTGTCGATATTACTACACTTATCAGAGCATAGTAAATATCTAATGTGTTAATGATACTTTGATAATATGAATAGCTAACGATACAAGATCATTCATTTAATTGATTATATTCTTATGAAAATATAAAATTTCGTATCATATTGATGAAATAGTTTTCCAACAATAACAATTCAATACTTCATATGCTAGATAATGAGCAGATATATACTGTTTTATAGCGATATAGAAATGTTTATATAAGTAATTAGTACATTTGTATATCGATATATTTTGAGAAAAAATCTCTCGAAGTCCACAGTTTTCAATATTATAGAAGTATAACATTCAGGTAAGGATCTTTTTCTTATTTCTTCTATCTGAACATGACAAATGTTGATCTATGCCTCTTGTTTCTAAATTTTAAAGATATTATGAGTTGCCTATAAATAAATACAAATCTTTCGATAATATAATCACTGTATTTGTACACACGATCTTTCAAAAAGAAAAAGAATGGATATAAAACTATTGCAATTCTTTTCGTAGACGAAAACCAGGTCCTTTAGGAGGTTCAGTTAATGAAGTAAGTCCATTGAGTGGTTCAGCTGCATAACGTTTTGATCGTGGTCCAGCTTTCGGTTTTCCACCTTTTTTAATATCATCTAAAATTTCATTTATATCTTGTTCTGTTAAATCTTCATAATAATCATCATTTATCGATAACATTGGTGCATTAACACATGCACCAAGACATTCAGCTTCAGATAATGTAAATAAACCATCGGATGTTGTTTGACCAACATGTATATTTAATTTATTTTCAATTGCTTTTAATATTCCATCAGAATTACATAACCAACATGGTGTTGTTGTACATACTTGAATATGATATTTTCCCATTGGATTTCGATTAAACATTGTATAAAATGTAGCAACCTTAATTAAAGAAATTAGAATATTATCTTTTTGTTGTAAATAGAATTTTACTTCATAAACACGCATTCGAGCCATTTTAAGAACTTCAGCTACTTTATTCATAGCTGATAGTGGTAACCAATTGTCATGTTGTCGTTGAGCAAGATCAAGTAAAGGAATAACAGCTGCTGATTTATGTCCTTCTGGATACATTGTAAGAATAGCTTCAACTCGTTTATAATTTTCTGGTGTAAAATCAAATTTAACATCAGAATTATTTTTTGATGTATCACGATGAACAAATTCTTTGTCCGAAGCAAAACGACATGAACTTGTCATAAGAAATCGATTAAAAACAGATGAAGAAGTGGCAATTGTTTGCCGATTTAGAAGATTTCGAACAAGCATTTCAACTAAACTATATCTTTTAGAACTAGTAAACAAGAAAAAACAGAACATAGAATAGAAACTATTCTATATGGATAAATATAAAAGAACAAGTCAACGATTTTTATGATAGATGGTGTTACATAACAGATCTTTTCTTGATATATTTTACTAATTTATATATTAAATAACAAAATAAGAATATCAATCATAGGTTTATAATGTTTCTTTTTCAAAAAACACGACACAGTTGTCTAATATTCGATGAATATAAACAAAATAGGAAAGGAGTTATATTGATCAAAATCATATGATCCTGATTATTATAAACAAGGTTATTCCTTAGACTACCTAGCAGATGATAAATAGCTTATAAGAAAACCAATACGACCTAGAACAAGGATAATGAAAATAGTTTATTCTCTTCTGTTGTATTTGTTTAGCATCAATAGATAAAGTCTAGAGTATATAATCTTATTATGCCTTGATATTGTTCTAGAGCTATTTTGTCATGTCACTTCTACTAAAAATAATAATCAGAACTCATGATGTGATATTAAGCAAGCATGCTCATGATATTTATAGATTCAAATGAACCTGAATCAAATTAAATTGATATTCGAAGTTAATTAGTGAATCAAAGATTGTATGAACATTTAATTTGTTTGAAAGAGATAAAAAGATAGACCAAAATCGAACTGTATAAATGCAAATGTCTACTAAATCAGAGGTTTCTACGATTTTTATAGTGATTTAAGAGAGAATTTCGACTGTGTATGAGATACATCTTAAGTTTGTTGAATACTACTGTATCGTATATCTTAAATGCATACTAACTATACAACTGTAAAATATCCAGAAAATTTGTAGTACATATTTAATGAAATTAGTAGCCAATTAAAATACAATGTTGCCAAGTATAATTATTTATCATGTTCTGTTTCGCTTGATATACAAAAGAATATTTATACTAGCTAATACCAAGCACTGGTGGTTCAGTGGTAGAATGCTCGCTTGCCACGCGGGCGACCCGGGTCCGATTCCCGGCCAGTGCACTTTTTTTATATTTTTGCATCTTTTTTCTTTCAGTTCGAGATAATCTTATTTACTAGCGAAAGAATTTTTTTCAGAAATCTTCAAAAAGAAATAAATAAAAGAAGACTTTCATCTGTTCTTGTTTGTTATATAATTACAGTTCATTTTATTTTTCTGATGGCTCACTGATATACTTGAAAAAACGAAAAAAGAAAGAAAAAAGGCATTAAAACATTAGAAGACAAGCCAAGAAGAAAAAAAAACAAAAAAAAAAAGAAGAAGAAGAAGAAGATAATAATAACATCATTATGATGTCGCAACAGGTTGGTGAAGGATATTTGTAGTCGATGTTGTTAACGGATCCGTATTAATACCAATAGTTTGTTTTGTTGGTGAAACCACAGGTGATGGTTGTGATGAATGCCTATTCATAAGACTGGCAATGGACGGTAATGGTGAAATTTGTTGTTGCTGCTGCTGTTGTTGTTGTTGTTGCTGTTGCTGCAAATGTGATGTTGTACCTTTTGTAAACAAATCAACGATTTCATAACGAATATCAGTTATTGGTGTTAATGATAAACTATCTTTTGTTCGGGAATTAATATTTGTTAATAAATTACATGGTTCATCAAGACGAAGATGTCTTGCAACATTAAAATCAAGTAAATTTTCTGAACGAGATGTATTGGTATTATTTATGGATGATGAATTTGTTAAAGTTTGCAATAAATTTGTAGTTGGAATTGATTGTAGCTTTCTTTTTGATGGTCTTGATCTTTGACGAGTCGTTAATTTACGATTATTTGATAAACTTTTGGGATCAATAGCAACTAAAAGAAAACATAAAGATAATTAGTCATTCTTTTATTATTGATAGGAGTCTTACAAGAAGTAGATTTTGTACCATTGTGATTATTATTTGTTATTGAATCAATAGATTTTTTATGTATTTGTGAAGACTGATCAAGTTCATCGTCCTCATCGAATGTTCGATACATTTCAGCTTCAGAAGCTGTACGTGTGGATGTCGAATGATCAATCTCGGAACATGTATCAAGCCATGTATCCACATCATGTCCTTCGGAATTTAATTCTGTTTTAAGAGATCCAAGTCGTCGTTGTAATTCAGCATTATGAGATGTTAATGCAGCAATTTCTAATTCATATTCACGTTCTTTTCGTGTTAAAGTCTAAATTAAAATAAATAATAAATTTATGAAGTAAAAAAAAAGTTTTTTCAATTTTATAATTTTCAGATTAAAACTTGCAAAACAATTAAATTCAGACGTTATTTTAAATGCGTAAAAAGTGAATATAAGAAACCTCATAGATTGAGATTAAAATAATCATTAATATATGTTATTTATTATTGAATTGTATTTTTATGTTGATTTTCATACTTCATACAGAAAAACATCATTAAGAAGACATAGAATAGTTTTAGTTAAATATATATATATACAGGTGAATATCATTATTGAATTAAATATTAATGTTGTGTTAATGACATTAATATTATATGGATTTCGATACTACTGTACGACCTAACGCAATATGTTCACTCGTTTAAAATATACTGTCTTTGCATAGAAAATATTAACTATCCTATTGATTATTTTAAACTTTAACTCAAATGAAATCAGTATATCAATAGATATATGTTGATAGTTTCATACCTGAATATATTTAATAGCTAGATTAAGTATTTGAAGATTTGTAATTTTTCGATCACGTTGACAAGGTACTTCTGCTTTGAGACTATCAAAGCAATCTTTTAAATGAGCTCGTCTAAAATAAAACAAAAACAATAGATTTTTTTTGAAATATTTAATATAAAACTACCTTCTAGCTTCTTTTGGAGATACCATAAGAAAAAGAATATAAAAGATAGTGATAATATACTCTTACTCTAGCGCACCTGACTTTCGTTTTATTTGATAAAAAAACCGAATAGAAAATTTTCTAAGCATTTGTTTCTTTACTTTTTTGTTAAAAAAAAATTTTTTCGAGAATTTTATTTTAATTTTATGATAATTTAATTCACAAATTTGAGTAAAAGATGTCGCTACTTACCGATGTTTTTCAAGTCGATTATGAATTTCACGATCACGAAAACATGTTGTTTGAACACTAAATAAATTTATTTTAAAAACGAAAAAAAAATTAAAATTATAGAAATCTTACCGATTTGATGATTCACTGTTACCATTTATATTTTGATTATTTGTTTCATCATCGTCATCATCATCATCATCATCATTTTGATCTAGTGATAAACGCTGTTGAGCAAGATGATTATGATGATGAAAATTGAGATTAAGATCAAGTTGTGGATAGTCATCAATACGATCATTTTTTAATAATGATGATGTTGATGATACAATTGGTGTTGGTGATATTATTTGTGTTGTTGGATTAGTATTTATTGTTGTCGGAGACAGAATACTTGTAGGAACAGGATTATTCGGAGGAGTTTGACGATCACCTAAAATAAAAATTCAATTGAAATTAAACAATAAGCTATATACATATATAATATATAAACATACACCAACACCACCACATATTTAAAAGATAGATAAGAGTAAATATGTATGTATATATGAAATGACGATCTCTCTTAATTTCGTATTTGTTTTTTTTTTAAATCAATCACTATACATGTACGACCGTCTGTCCGGCTTTATAATCGAACCGTTAGACAATCGATGACGAAGGAAGGAAAAGAGGAAATGAACATGACATATGTATGCGTGTATGTATGTATACATATATATATGTATGTTTCTTGTCGATCGAAGAAAAAAAGATATTTACGATTGAACATTTCTGTTATATTCAGATTTTCAGAAACGGTTATTATGTTTTATGTATGTGTTATTTTTACAGACTTTTCAATTTCACAATTCAACTAAATACTTACATAATAATGATACCAATTCGAAATGCATATTTTTTTATATAAATTATAATAATATAAAAGAAGAGAAAATTCGTCCTTGTCTCATAGAAAACGACAGTAATCGACGATAAAAGAAAAAAATGTATTGAATACTTGTATCGACGTACGTTACACATGAGCGAATCTTGCCTGCTTTTAACACCTATTACTATCATCGGTTGACAATGACAACGAATATGAGCAAAAAACTGATGACAATCACTATCATATGATCAGTCGAGTATATAATATGACGAAAACAAACTATTTTTATACAGGAAATATGTATTAATATTTTTAACTCATCTCAATGAAAAGAAGAAAAAAAATAAGAATAGTATTTTTATTGATGAAAAAAAACTATTCAATTATAAGAATAGTATTTTATATATATACAATTCTTTTCTTTTTATCTGTTCTTTTTTATCTTTTTATGTTTACATGAATTGATTGTTAGCCACGTGTGTAATTCATTCATTACATATATACATATATATCTTCCGATCCTACTATATAGAGGAGGAAAAAAACGAGACAAAATGAGTCATACTCACCTCTAGCTATTCGTTTTTTTGGAGGCATTGATTGCTGACTTTCCAATATTTGTGCTGCTTGTAGCAAAGTTTCAATATTCATCATTGCTTTAAATATTATTTGAAATAAATTGTTTTAGAAAGAGATATTGAATAATAGTAATAATAATAATAATAACGACGGATGGATAGGTGAAATCGGTTAAGTAGAAAGAAAGAAAAAATACACACGCACACACACACACACTCACAGACAAAATAGAAAGTAATGAAAACTATATTGTATTAAAAATTGTTGCTGTCGTTGTTGTTTCTAGTTTTGCTGCTGTTGCCACTGCTGCCATTCGATTCTTTCAGCTGCGCAAAGCATGTAGCTGTCGACTGTCGATCGGTCGGGCGGCGCTCATGATGTTGGCATTGTAGAAGAAGAAAAAGAAGAAGAAGAAGAAGAAGAAGAAGAAGAACGTGCGCACGGGACCACGCACACACACACGAGAAAAAGAAAAACGCGAGACGACGCCAACAAGCAATGAGGAGAAAGAAAAGAGGGCATAAAAATACAAATGACGACTTGCTTATGTGTGTGTATGTGTATGTGCGCTCGAGAATAGAGAGAGAAAAAAAAAGACGTCGACACACATACACATACACAAAAGCCACGAAACAGTGTGCGTGTCAAACAAAAAAAAGATGCGAGGGAAGGGAGAAAGACAAGAAAGTGATTGTGTATGTATGTATGTGTATGTGTCTGAAAGGAGAAGAACTTACACGTGTGTAATATGTGCACCAGTTTTTCTTTTCTCTTCTCTCTCTTTCTCTCTCTCTCGGTTGGCTCGCAGACGATGAGAAAAGTGAGCACAACTAACTCGTGTTTTATAGATGCATGTGTGTGTGAGAGCAGTAAAAAAACGAGTTACACAAAATTGAGAAGGGAAGAAAATAAAAACAAACACATGGGTTGTAAAGTAAAATAAGAAAAGAAGAGTTTTACAATTTCTTTTTTCTTCTCTTTTTCGTATGAAATACTGGTAGAAATTATCTTGATTTTATGTCATATTTTTTATACACATTTACATTGAATTGATATACAATTAACGTTGTTTTTTAGCTATTGGCAACAATAGTTTACATCAGTAATGATTTTGTTACTATCACAAAAATCATTTTTCTTTTTTTTTCTTCTTTCATTCCTATAGAAATCGATTATATACTCATACATAAATGAAAGACAGGCTCATCGTTCTTCTGTTTTTCTTCTTATGTTGCAATTCTCCTTTTCTTTCTCTCTCCAAACATGGTTACTCCGCATGTCATCAAAAAAAAATCGACTTCTCTCAGACGGCATGACATATAGTGTCTAGATGGATAAATAAATAAAAAGTAATTTTTTTTTATATCGTTTTTTTTACCATGGTTGCATTTATATCTGTGTATTTTCTTTGCTATTCTTGTCAAATATATCATTAATGATGACAATGAAAAAAAAAACTAACTTTGATAATAAATAATGATTATTATTTTAAAAAAAAAGAGAAAGGGTTTTTTTCTTCTTTTAGCTTTTCGTTAATTTAATATTAGTCACAAGGATATTTTCTTATCCAATATGATCAGACTAAAATTGTTTAATTAATACCGAAAGAAATAGAAAGTCTTAAATAATTAATTAGTTGTTTGCTTTTTGTATTTGAAGAAATGAATCATTTTAAATGTAAATATATATATAAATAGAAATGTGCCTTGAAATTTTAAAAGTTTTTTCATCTCGAATTAAAAATTCAATGACGTCGACGAATGTTCAATTGATTAAAGATGTACACTGATAAAGTTTTCTATTAAAATATATATTTGTAAAACAAGAAACATGGATTTACTTTTAATATTAATAACATAAAATATAATGATCTGAACAATTCAATCTTGCACTTTATCGAAAGAGAAAAAAGCTTGATTATAAATAATGATTAGATTTATCTATTTTTACTTTCTATAATACATTTGATTGATTAAAAGATTGTACATTCGATAATACAATGATCATTGTAAATCTTTCAAGGAATATGAAATAATCAGATTCATAGTAATATACTATACTTGTATATTGTTATCATCACGGAACGTAATTTATACATACAATTGAAGTTAAATTTAAACAATATTGTTGCTTTGAAGAACAAAAAAAACTATTTTAACAATTGTTATACTCGTCACAGTCTAGTACATCTCAATGTTGGTTTTTTGAACATTTTTAGAACGACAGTAGTGTGAGAAATCAATAGTTTTCACTATTTGAACGCAAAGTAGAGACTAGATAAAACTGTAGGTCACATTATTTTGCGAATGACTTAGTTAAGCTGATTAATTACTTGGCTAGTTAATTGCTGATTATTCTAAATTGCATACAGCTTGATACACAGGAAATAAAATCGCGCTCTTACACCTTAGAAGAAGTGTTTATTTCTAAATCCTCTAAGATCAGCTTGTTTCACAACTATATATTAACTTGGTCGAATATTTCAAATGCAATATAGTTTAAGATAATTGTTGATTAAGCTCAAACTCGAGAATGAAATCATATAGGAAACTGAATTTGCTCCAGTTGACAAAGAAGTATTTTATTATCGACTGATATTTTCAAAGCCTAAAGTTGCGCTCAAAATCTCCAATAAAGAACTAACTGGCTTCTCAGATTCACAGTTACATTTTCAGAGATTACTAAACTAAATATAGAAATACTCCGAATTTATTCGTAATTTGTATATAATCTTCAAAATTATATAAGAACCATGCGAAAGAACACAACGAGAAATAACCAAATCCTCTCTGTTTGATCATCCATACAAAAAAGTAATATTGCCTCGTTTTTTCTTAACAAACTGATTCTTCCTGTACATATTAGGCAGCGATATGGACTCTATCTTTCGTTTATCATAGCAAAACACATGTTATTTTTCGTATATAATAAATCGATAAAGTGCTCTTATATTCTAAATATATTTCGGTGAAAAAGAACACTGCTTAAAGATAAGAAAGAAGTCAATATTGATTTCTAACATAGAGTCATTGTATAATATCATTGCAATGTTAATAAATACATTCAATTCATTATTTTGATTAGTTATATTTTTGAGAATAAAAAAAAATTGGTCAAATTGTAATTCGGAGAAAACACAAGATTAAATGAGAATACACAGCACACATTTTCCTACAAAAAACAAGATCAATAGAGAGTAAACTGTATAACAATAACAATAAGAACAGTAACAAATAGTCTTCATTATTTTTTTTTCATTCATTCATATTTAACCCATATTCATAGCTTTAGCAGCATTGGATGTTTCAGCTGCTGATTTTGGTACTTTAATTGTTTCATCAACACTTAAAATTAAACAAGCAGCTTCACTTGCTGCTGTTATTGCATTGATTTTAACAACTGCTGGTTCCCAAACAGCTGCAATAAAATTATCCGTAACATCTTCATGCATAATATCAACGCCAAACCAAATATTATCTATTAAATAAAAGATCAACATATATATATATATGAATGAAATCGAATATAATCATTTGTCTTATTTTACTTTCAGCATGTTTTTGTCGAAGTTTATTTAAAATATTTGTTGCATCAAATCCAGCATTTTCACATAATTGTCTTGGTATAACTTCAAATGCTTTTGCATATGCAGCTAATATTAATTGTTCTTTACCAGGTATTGTTCGACTATATTCACGTAAATGACGACTTAATGCCATTTCAATTGCACCACCACCAGCAACAATTGAATCATTTTTAACCGCACGTCGTACAATCATAATTGCATCATGTAATGAACGTTCAACTTCATCAATAAATTGTTCAGCACCACCACGTAATATCATTGTAGCTGTTTTAGCTTTTGGACAACCCGTAAAACAATTATAACGTTCAGAACCAATTTGTATTTCTTCAAATATTTCGCATGTACCAAGTACTTGTTGAGATTGATTATTAAGATTTTCAACTGTTGTTATTATCGCACCACCACAGGCTTTTTGTGTACGTTTAAGATCATCTTCTTGTACACGACCAGCACAAAACATATCCCTTGAAAACAAAAACAAAAAATATTTAAAAAAAAATACAAAAAAATAATTTTACCGATCAGCAAAATATTGTGTTGCAACATCACCAATTGGTAATTTAGAAAGTACAACTGTGACACCGGCTTTATGAAGGGTATCTAATTTATCATAAAGAATTGACCATTCAGCATCAACTATTTTTTGATATTCCTATAGAAAATATTTTGAAATAAAATATGTATTCGATAGACATATATATAATCTTACAGCAACATTGTCAAGGCGAACTTCTGCATTATCACGTTCAGCTTTTAATTCAAGTTCAATATTAAGTATGGCTATTTTCGGATTAGTATATTTTTTTTGTTGCATTTCAAAACCAGCATATGAAAATGTCTTTTTAAATGCAACACCACTAACTAAACGTGATTCCTAAGAAAATCAAAAAAATATATATATTAATTAATTCCTAAGTATTTTCTTTTACTTCAAGTGAACCGCCTGTTACTTTTTTAACTCCAATCCTAAAAAAAAATACGAAATTTGTTTTTTGATATAATTATTCAAAAATTCAATATACATACATATTCAATGGAAGTAATTCATCTAACATAAGAACAGCATCAACAACCATTTTAGCAAAAAATTCTCGTTGTCGTGCAATTAATTTTGAACTTAATGTTGTACGTGCACATTTTTCAAGTAAAACTCGTTGTTCTCTAGATAAATTTTCAAGTTATTTTTGATTTTTCTCATAAGAAAACCTTACTTATCATCATCTGATTTAATAGTAACAGCAACTTCTTTGATTTTTTTTATTGTTAATGCTGTTGCTTTTCTTATCGCACGAATAATAATTGTTGGATGCATTCCATCTTCAATAAATGACTTCGCATTTTTTAATATTTCAGCTGTTATTAAAACAACCGATGTTGTACCATCACCAACTTCAGCATCTTGAGATTTAGCTATATCAACAAGTGTACGAGCTGCTGGATGAATAATTTCAAGTAATTTAAGAATAGTTGCACCATCATTGGATATTGTTGCTGTACCACGATTATCAACGATTAATTTATCCATACCACGTGGTCCTAATGTCGTACGAATAGCTTCCGAAACTGCTAGACACGCACTAATATTTGATACAACTTGATTTTTTCCTTGATTAGAATCAGTACCATCTTTAAGAATGACTATCATTGGTTTCATTTTTAATGAATTTTAATTGAAAAGGATTTGATCTAAACGAGATAAATTGTTTTAGATTTAATACGTAGAAAACTATTAATGTGTCTCTATTTAAAGAAAAAAGAATTAGTATGTTATAACTCAATGAAAAAGAAAAAACATTGAATTACTATATTAAACTCTTTCATGTTTTAAGATAGAACACTAGGCAACAGAAAGATTGATGCCAGTGATATAAACAAGGTAACTAATGAAATTCAATTGGATTATTTTATAAAATTCTTATTATTCCCTAGAATTGTTTAACTATAGACTAGAGTTTATAAATTAGAAATTTATGTCTAATTTTAATCAAGAATTCTATTCATTTTTCAATACAGATGTCGTTAGTAGCACAAGTACCGAAATATATAGTATTATTTAAAGATCTACCTGATAATGATGATAAGAGCATAGAAAAACATTTGTCTTATTTTTAAACTATGTTGCCATCGTTAGATAATGCAAGAGAAGGTTTTCTTTGTCCGCAATGTCATCAAGACATGTCAAGTATGGAATCGTTACAATTACATTTTCAAACTGTACATATGAAACAATCTTCATCAACAACCAAAGGTATTCTATCTTATTGAAATTTTCAGAAACTTGAATTTCGCATTTGCGAATTGTTTATATTTATAGGTTCAAGTTTTCTTTCATTTGCGAAACAAAAAATAAAAAATGTTCAAGAAAATCTTAAAAAACCTGCTGAACCAATAAAACCTTATGCTCAATATTTTTCATTTACTTCAAATGATTTGAATTTCAAACAACAATATATGGGATATATTCGTTCACATAATGAATCTTTCACAGGTCTACGAAAACATAAACATGATGAAATGTTTAAAAAAGCAAGTGAACTTTTGCTTCGTGTGGATTTATTAACCATGACAAATGAACATGTACCACCTAATGGAAATTCTAAAGAACGTCGAAGTATGAACAAATTCTATAAATCTTTTCGAATTATTAAATAAATCTTCTTTTTGTTTTCGCTAGAATACGAACAAGGTATTGTTTCATGGATGGAAGATACTGTATCATCAGTATGTGTATCATGTTCGAAATCGTTTGGTTTATCAAGACGGAAACATCATTGTCGTCTTGATGGACATGTTATCTGTCAACAATGTTCACAACTTTTTTCGTTTTCATTAGCTCGTAAATTATCACTTCTCTAGCTTTTCTTTTAATATTGTTTATAACTATTCTAGGAAATATACTCGATCTAAATACACCATCTTCTTCAACAAATAATAGTACAAAATTTCAAAAATTAACTAACGTAACAAGTATAATTTCACCAACAAATGTTAATAATGGATCAAACGATCAATATCTTCGTATTTGTTTACCTTGTACACAGATTATACAACAACATTTCAATCAAATACGTTATAAACATATTCCTACGGATGAAATATTTACTCTTTATGAAGTAAATTCTATATTTAATTTTGTAATATAAAATAATATCTTTAGAAAATTATTCAAGCATTAAATGAATATACGAATAATCATCCAACATATTCAGCAATAGTCGATTCTCTATTGTAAGAATCATCCTTATATAAAAACAACATGTTTATTTTTGGTGTTTGATTTAATAGAAACGGAGACACAAAATATCAAATCATGGATGCAAAACGTACATATCGAGATTTAAGTATTCACTATGAAAAAATCGATTCTACATCGTATGTTTTCAAAAATACGAATTTATTATTTTTGATTTCTAGTTTGTTTTTTTGTATAGAAAATTAATACTTAAATTAGCAGATAATGATAAAACATCAGATAATCGTTATGCTATACTTTGTCGAAATATTCGTACATATTCATTACAAAGTTTACAAAATTTTGCTATATCAACTAAACGTATACCAACTGAAGATGATATCAAACGAGCATGTGATGAGAAAAAACGATTAGAAAATGAACGTATGGCTCAATTTGCTTCTACTATTCCAGGATTGAGTGGTTATGGATCAGGAATACCAGTTAAATTGGAACCATTTGTTCACCAATATTATCAAGTAACACAATTTCTTGAACAAGCTAAACTAGATGGACGTCGTGAAGATATTGAATCATTAGAAATGAATTTAAAAGAACTGGAACGAGCAATAAATACCATTCAACATAAATAATGTTTACTTGCCTTTGTTTCTTTTTAACTATTTTTACATAGATTTTAAGTATAAAAATAAAAAAATGGAAAAGAAAATGTTTTGTATCGTTAGCAGATGAATGTTAATTATATGTATAACTTTGACTGTTATTGAATATAAGATAAGTTTTGATAAGATTGTTGGCTGATCTTTTTATTATAATGTGTGAAAAAATGAAGTTTGATCGGTGAATCAAGTAAGATTATTGGATAAATGTAAGAGGATTGATGTCAAGCACTGGTGGTTCAGTGGTAGAATGCTCGCTTGCCACGCGGGCGACCCGGGTCCGATTCCCGGCCAGTGCACTTCTTTTTTCATAAAACTATTTCAAACATTAACTTTTTCTCACCTTCTATTTATATAAGTAGACTAAAATATAGAAAATACTTTTAACAGGGCTTTTTTTTCCATATAAAATTTATTTCACTTCAATGCACGAGACAAGACAAATTCTAAAATCCATCAAGAGTCACTTCTATCCTCTTCATCCGATCGAATGTACTATATCTAAAATACTTAACTTAATGACTAGTGTTGTAAAAGTGAAAAGAACACCGATTGTTATCACTATTAGAATTTCATATATACAATTTGTATTGATCTTTGATAACCTGTTCTTAAATTTATGTAAAACTAATGATAACACTTATGATAATTTATCTAGTGGTTTCACTCATTGGCAAAAGTAACAGGAGAGCATTATACAAAATCGAACAATAGTGTTTGTCATGATCCCCAATATTATACTAACCAATAATGAATAGTAAAATACGTTCCACTTATTATGCCATTCCAAAGATAAATTATCTAAATTTTCTTATGATAGAGTTTAATCTACGACCCCACCGATATGTTTCGTCTACTTATTTACTAGAATGACACTGTTGTTTCCTCTACTATTTGACGAAGCGGACGATTATCTATTGTTGGTGAAGAATTGTTACAGTCACTTTAACCTAATTTCTCGTCGTGTGATTTATTTTCGACGATCCATATTTTGTTTATTTGTCGATATCACTTTGATTTTATCTTATTGCGTAACAAAAGAATAAAGAAGAAAATCACTACTTTATTCTCCCTCACCTCGTTGTTTCCATACTTATAAATAGTGTGATATTTTTAAAAATCAACAATAAGTGTTGTCATCATTATCATATACTTGTTTAGTAAGTAAAATAAAACAATTTCGTTAGTCTATGTTTTGTTATTCATGTATAGAATGGTTGGTCGATTACTCTTTACTGTCGTTTTTCTCTCCTTCATTTTAACGATCTTATCGTTTCAATGTTATGAAGGTTATGGTATGGATTGTGTAATTGATGATAAAAATGATTGTGGCGAAGGTACAAAATGTGTATGCATCAAATATCGTTATAAATGTTCTTTCATGGATGCTGGTTGTGGCGCAGAAGACCGAGCCAAAGACGCATTTAAATGGGGATTTACAGCAGCTCGTAAAGAAGATTGTGATGACATGAAAAAACCGTCGTACGGTCTTTTCAATGTTACATGTTGTTCAACAACCAAATGTAATCGACCCACTGGAGATCAATGTCCAATGGCTTTACCTTAGTGAATAATAATCTTATTCAATTATCAATAGAAACGAAATATTTTATGTTAATCTAAATCAATGTAATATCTATTCTTCTCTTTATTCAAATAAAATGTAAATATTCAAGCAATACATTCGTTTTAATTATTTTTATTATCAGTATTGAGTTCTAACAGAAATGTAAGTTTTATTACATAAAGTATAAATTAGTATATAGAAAATAGATTTTAGTAATTAAGAAGACATACACAAGACAGGTAATATAATAACAAAAAAAATAAGAATTAAATTATTGCACTAGTATAAAGATCTGTTTCAATCGAAAGTTTTTATCTTCAATTATTAATCATTTTTCAACAGTCGAGCTAAATTATGTTCTTACATGTGATAGAACAGATATTGAAAGTTTATTTGATAAAATTAATCAAAAACAATCTTTTCATCAACAATCATACTACTGTTCTTTACATGGGACCCTAAACTCTATCGCACATTGAGAAATTTACAATGAGTAGATGTTACTTATAGGCGTCTTTTCTAAGTGCTTGAATGACTACACTAGGGTGTGGGTGTGGGTGTGGCTATTTACATTGTTTCACACTCACATCCTAAAGGAACTTAAAGGACTAAAGGGACTAAAAGAACTTAAAGGATTAAAGGGACTAAAGGGAGTAAAAGGATTAAAGGAACTAAAAGGACTAAAGGGAGTAGAGCATTCTTTAGTTGCATAGCATAAAAGTAAACCATGATAACTTTGATTTTTCGTGGACCCCTCCTAGATGCAGCGTAGAAAGCTTTACATTTTGCATAGAGCCGCTACTTTTACGGTTGTAGATTTTATGTACAAAATCGATGAAATTCTTCGTAAACTATACAATTTTTCACGCTGAATCTTGTTCAATATATTTTTTATTTTTTTATAAAACATATTAGGTGGTAAAGCAGAAAATATGCATTGAAATTTACTCGCTTTTCGAAAAGAAACTGCACTTATAAAATAAGCGATCTTATGTAAATTGCGGAGCTTTTCGTACTGCATCTCGTAATATATTTCAGTTTTTTGATACAATCTATTTATTGATTAAAATATGGAACGCAAAAAGCAGTCATTCATTCTGAGTCACCCATTCTTGTTAGAAGAAGAAAAAAATCGATTGTTATCAGTATTTGAATTTCATATGAGCAACTTATATTAATCTATAATATTCTTTTTTTCTAAACTTATGTAAAACCAGTGATGCCACTTGTCATAATTTACCTAGTTGGCTCACTCAGCGGCAAAAGAAAAAATTAGATTATTACATAATATTGAACACAGAGAACAAGTAGGTTAAACAACGTAAATAAAATTAACATCAGAATTTCATGAAAAGTTTTTTACAAACTGCAGTTTGTTTAGAATATTGATCACTTTATTAATTAGAACGATAATGTTTGTGATGATCCTCAATTTTATACTAACCAATAATGAATAGTAGAATAAGTGCGACTTATTAGTTGCTCCGAAGTTGAATTATCTAAACTTTCTTATGAAAGAGTTTAATCTATTGACATGTCGATATATGTTCCATCTATTTATTTACTAGAATGACACTCTTGTTTCCTCTACTATTTGACGAAGCGGACGATTATTTATTGTCTGTGAACAAATATTACAGTCACGTTAATCGAATTTCTCGCCATGTGATTTCTTGTCGACTATCTATATTTTGTTTACTTGTCGATTTTACTTTGATTTCATCTTATTGCATAACAAAAGAATAAAGAAGAAAATCATCGCTTTATTCTCTCTCTGACTATTGTCATGCTTATAAATCATATGATACTTTTAAAAGTAAACTATAAATTTTATCATCATTAATATATATATATACTCGTTTAGTAAGTAAAATAAAGCTATTTTGTTAGTCTACATTTTGTTATTCATTTATAGAATGGCTGGTCGTTTGCTCTTTGCTATCTTTTTTCTCTCCTTCATTTTGACTATCTTGTCGCTTCAATGTTATGAAGGTTATGGTAGAGATTGTATAATTGATAATCACGAGAATTGTGGTGAAGGTGCAAAATGTGTATGTGCCAAATTTCGTTATAACTGTTCTTTCATGGATCTTGGTTGTAATGAAGATGAACGATCAAGAGATGCATTTATATGGGGATTCATAGCTACTTCTCAAGAAGATTGCAACAACATGATGCAACCATCCTATGGTTTTTTCAATGTCACATGTTGTTCTACAACCAAATGTAATCGACCTACTGCTGATCAATGTCCAATGTCTTTACCTTAGTGAATAATAATCTTGTTCAATTATCAATATAAATGAAATATTTGATGCTCATCTAATTCTATAATATTTATTTTTTTCTTTCTGTACTAAATATGTATGTATTCAATCAATAAATTCTTTTTATTAACTGTGAGTAAGATATTTTTTGTTAAATCTAATAATCCTGCAGTTGAGTACTAACAGAAATGTAAGTTTTATTACATAAAGTACAAATTAGTATAAAAAAAAAGGTTTTTAGTGAATAAGAAAACATGCAAAAGACAGATAACACAGCAACAAAAAATTAAAATTAAATTATTGCACTACTATAAGCATCTCTTTCAATCGAAAGTTTTTTATTATAAATTATTAATCATTTTTTAACACTAGAACTGAAATTATATTGTTAAATGTGATAGAACAGATATTGAAAGAATATTTGATAAATTCATCAAAAACAATCTTTTCATTAACAATCATATTACTGTTCTTTACATGGAACTCTAAATTGTATCGCACATTCATAAATTTATCATGAAGATATCTTAATCATCTTCAGTATATGTAACTTATGAGCATCTATTTCTTACATTCACTTACAAGGATCATTCACTAGATGATCTGTTTAATATATATCAGATAAAATATCTTCACAGATTTTTTAACTGCATGAATGACTACACTGACCATATTCTAAATTGATTGTTGAACACTTTCAACAACTATCATAACAGGTCGGTCTTTATTTTATGCTTTCTTATTAGTTTTTTTTTCATAAAACGGTTTCAAACATTAGCTTTTTCTCACCTTCTATTTACATAAGTAGGCTAAAATATAGAAAATATCTTTTGAAAACGCGTTTACTTCATGTAAAATTTATTTCAGTTCAACACACGAGACATGGCAGATTCTAAGATTCATCAAGAGTCGCTTCTATCAATTTCAACCGGCTGAATATACCATATCTAAAAGACTTAACTTTATGACTAATATTATAAAGGTCAGAAAAACATCGATTGCTATTAGTATTAGAATTTCATATGAACACCTTATATTTATCTATAATAGTCTTTTTTCTAAATTTATATAAAACTAATAATAACACTTATCATAATCTATCTAGTCGTTTCACTTGGTGGCAGAAGAAAAATTAGATAATTATACAGCATTTAGCAAAGAGAACAAGTAGGTCAAACAGTATAAATAGAAATTATGTCAGAATTTCATCAAAATTCTTTTACAAATTGTAGTTAGTTTAGAATGTTAGTCACCTTATTGACGAGAACATTAATGTTTGTAATGATCCTCATTTTTATACTAACCAATACTGAATAGTAGAATATGTTTCACTTATTATGCTGTTACAAAGACAAAGTATCTAAATTTTTCTTATGCAAGCGTTTAATCCACGAACACGCTGATATATTTCATTTGTTTATTCACTAGAATGATCTACTTATTCCCTTTATTATGTAACGAAACGGACGACTATCTGGTGTCAGTGAACCAATAGTGTAGGAACTTTAACCTGAATTCTCGCCATATGATTTCTTCTCGACTATCTATACTTTGTTTACTTGTCGATGTCACTTTGATTTTATCTTATTGCGTAACAAAAGAATAAAGAAGAAAATCACTACTTTATTCTTCCTCCCTCGTTGTTTCCATGCTTATATATAGTGTGACCTATTTAAAAATCAACAATAAGTGTTGCCATCATTAACATATACTTGTTTAGTAAGTAAAATACAACAATTTCGTTAGTCTATGTTTTGTTATTCACTTATAGGATGGTTGGTCGATTACTCTTTGCTACCATTTTTCTCTCCTTCATTTTAGCTATCTTGTCGTTTCACTGTTACGAAGGTTATGGTAGAGATTGTATAATTGATGATAAAAATGATTGTGGTAGAGGTGCAAAATGTGTATGTATCAAATATCGTTATAACTGTTCTCTCATGGATCTTGGCTGTAGTGCAGAAGAACGAGCCAAAGATGCATTTAAATGGGGATTTACAGCAGTTTGTAAAGAAGATTGTGACGAGATGAAAAAACCATCATACGGTCTTTTTAATGTTACATGCTGTTCAACAAGCAAATGTAATCGACCTATTGGAGATCAATGTCCAATGTCTTGACCCCCAATGAATACAAGTTTTGTTCAATTATCAATATAAACAAAATCTTTCGTGATACTGTGAATCAATGTAATATCTATTTTTTTTCTTTGTGTTAATAAAATGTATATATTCAAGCAATACATTCTTTTTGTCAGCTGTAATAGTGCTATTGAGTTCTAACAGAAATGCAAGTCTTATTACATAAAGTATAAATTAATATATGGAAAATAGATTTTAATAAATAAGAAGATATACAAAGAGACAGATAATACAACAACAAAAAATTAAAATGTAATTATGACACTACTATAAGGATCTCTTTCAATCGAAATTTTTTTATTATAAACTATTAATCATTTTTTAACAGTCGAACTGAAATTATATTGTTAAATATGATAGAACAGATATTGAAAGAATATTTGATAAAATTAGTCTTTGTCAAATGAAACTGAGTCTAACTTGAATTGAGATTTTTACATGGAAGCCTATTTTTTTTTACAATGAATATATGTTAATCATCTTCAGTATATGTTACTTGTAGGCATCTTTTCTAAGTACTTGAATGGATATACTACCTATATTCTCGATTGATTGCTGAACACTCTAAGCAACTATCATAATGAGTTACTCTTAATTTTATGTTTTATTGTTAGTTAGTTTGTTGATAGTAGGCTATCAGTTTTTCCTTTTTATCAATATGGTATACATTGTCTTGATAGAACCATACAGTGATACCAAGCACTGGTGGTTCAGTGGTAGAATGCTCGCTTGCCACGCGGGCGACCCGGGTCCGATTCCCGGCCAGTGCACTTTTTTTGTCTTTTCATTTTGCTTAGAATTATATATATATCACAGACTAAGTAATAAAGAATACAAAACTTCATTTTTTCGGTATTCAGTATATTCCTCATTCTTCTTAAATCTGAGAAATTTTATCAAACAATGTAAAAATAATAGATTTATATTATATGAATAGACCCAACATATTTATTTGTTTATACATTATACATTTTTATTTAATAACAAAAGGAGACTCGGTTTTCATCGCTTAGTTACTTGTAAGAAAAGAAAACAGCAAACAAGAACCACCTGACAAGACAAACATGACTTAACATACAAATCTAATAAAATATCTCTATACATTATGCAATATATTCATATACATTAGCTTTGTCAGTTGCTCGTTTCATATATTCACGTTCAAGTAAACTTTCAATACGTATTTTAACTGTTGATGTCTATAAATAAAGAAATAGAATAAAATGTATTATTAAATTTTGTATTTTTCTTCGTACAGATATTGGAAATTTTAATTGAGCAAAAACTTCAGACATTAATTGAGCATGTGCAAGTATTTTGCGTGTTTTCATTATTCGTACAACACAAGCATCAATTTGATAATGACGATCTTGTACGACACGTTGTGTTGTTGAAGTATTTTCTTCAGGCTAAAAAATAGAAAATTTAATTCAAAATAAAGATTTCTTTTCTTCAACAAACCGTTTCTTTTAATTGAACTTGATTAATTTTTATTCGAATTAATTTATGATCAAAAGATGTATTTAATGTAAAGTGATCGTCTGCATTGATTTCTTTTGTCTATAAAAAAAATATACATTTTAAAAAGAAAAAGAAAAAATGATTCTTATACTAATGGTTTTTTATTTAATAAACGAATTTTTCCACAAGCTAATGATTGCAAAGTTCGTTGTAATTCTCCTTCTTCTATAAAAAAAAGGTAATATATATGATAAGTAAAATTCGAATGATTACGAACGTATTTTCGTATGTTCTATAATATCTTTATAACTAAGATTAAGATGTTGGTTAAAGAGGAGAAGAACAAGTGCTTGATATAGTGATACTTGAAATTCTTTGACTGCCTGAAAGAATATTTTTTGTTTATAAATGATTGAATATTTTTATTAGAATTCAAACCTTTTCTTTTAACCATCCTTTTAATAAACAATGATCCAGTGAATATTGCCACTGAAGTTTTCTTCCTGTATGTTTACTTAAATAAAATTTTTCAAAAATATCTTTCAATCGACAAAGCTAAAATTTTAAAATATTAGAAAAATTTTAACAAATAGAATTATATATATTTACTTCAACTGGTAATATAGCACTAACTGGTTGATATGTTGGCCAAAAACCCATTGTTAACACAGAAACAGACATACCAATATTTCCAGGAGTTTCACGACCATGCATGAACTAAATAAAGTTATTGAAAAAAAGATTTTTTTATTCAAGAATAGACTTCAAGGTATATATAATCATTCGTTATTCAGAAAGATCGTTATTATACATGGTAAATTCTTTCATACTCAACAACAGAGCTGCAGAATCTGCGATGGCTTCAAAAGATTTCTCGCAACGATGATCGTTTACTCCTCAGCACGTTCCTAGAGATCAGAAAATTTCCCTCAACGGTGTTGACACAGACGAGCATGTTCTATACCTCTGATTAAGATCGAGATCAGCATTCATAAACTGTAACTCAAACCGAACACATGTTTAGTATGTAATCCCAAGGCATTCTTTGAAGCATTGGAATAATCAACCCTACTACTATTAGTTATAACTTTGATAAAGCCTTAAAATCTAAATTATACTTTTCATCTTTCAAAAGTCTTTTTTATGCCAATCTACGCTCAGTATTTTATCCAGATGGGCGCCACACACCCGTTAGATAAAACATTGTCTAAGCGTTATTTCGCACATCCAAAATTTTCAATATCATATATGTCGATAACTATCTCACACTCTACATACATTCCTATATAATCAAAATAAGAATAAAGTTCTAAGATTGTTCTGCGTTTTTTTATTTATAGCTTACTTGATCAAATGCGATCATAATATCTTTTGATAATTCCATATCTTTAAACATGCCTTCAAGTTTACTTGTAAATACATTTCCACATTCTATAAATCAAATTAAAATCATTAAAATATTAATTTTAAATTTATCAAACCTTGTTTAAGTTTAAGTAACATAGATTTTTCTGCATCAACTGATGCACTTTTTCCTACTAATAAACGTTTTGCAAGATCTTTTTTATAAAATGCTTCAAATACATCTTTTCCATGAATAAAACGAAATAAAATAAGTAATTTATCAAGTATTTTTTCTAATTCTTCTTCTGATGCTTCTTTATTTCCAGTACGTAATCTTGCATCAACAGCTTTTGCTAAAAAAAAAGATCATAAAAAATAAAACAAAAATAATTAAATACAAACCAATTAATTCAGCTGGTTTATTTGAACGTTGATTTATAAAATGTTCAAATGAATCTTTAAGTATATTTGAAGATTTTTCATTATTATGAAAACATTCATGTAGAAAACGATCTAATTTTTCTTTAAATTCAAGTAATTCATCAACCATTTTATCATCTTTATCAACATCAACTACAAGTGCACGGCCATGTTTCTTTAAAATAGAATAAAATATAAACATATCAGATCTGTTTCTTTTCTTTTTTTTATACTTTTATATAATTTCCAAATGCTTCTCGAATTTCTATGATACCAATTTGACCAATTCGAAGAAAAAGTTCATACATTAATGCTACAGATGCATAACGATTTTCATTAATAAGTGTATCGAAACCTTTGGAAAGCATTTCTTTAATATGAGATGTTATTAAATTATTTTCAACAAGATGTATAAGTTGAACTCTAAACAAAAAAAAAGAATTTTTGATTAGTATGAATAGAATTATTATTTGATGTTTTGTTTTTTACTTTGTTGATTGATCAATATAGTTGGTTAATCGAGCTTGTTCTTCACGAAGACGCCGTTCAACATGTGTGAGATATTGACTAATTTCTAATGTTTGAATTAACTGACGACCTTCATTATGATAAAGTTGTTCAGTCGATTGTAAAAATGATGGTTCAAAATCTTTTCGATACAGCTAAAAATAAATATGATCAACAATATAAATAATTGTCTTTATTTATGTTTACTACTAGACTCTTATATCAATGGATTACATAGAAATAGTGCTTTCTTTTCTTTTTCTTACATGAAGGTCAATTAACATTCGAATAAGATTTCTGATTAAACTTCGATCAACAGTTTCACCTCGTCTTTCTTGTTCAATTAATTTGAGTATACCATTGATACATCTAAATTATACAATAAACAAATTTTCATTTATACTTTTGTTTTTGAATTCTTTATTTAACCTATTGGAAATTATTGAATTTTGCATAACATATCGACGAAATAAATCTTGATTAAGTTCCCTAATAAAATAAAATAATTCGTTTGTTTTTTTACAAAGACATTTTTTTCAAGATTAATTACCATATACTTGGTACAGCTGCATGTAAAACATATGTTCGATCAAGAACAATAAATAACTGACGAATAAGACTCTAAAATATATTGATATTGGAAAAAATTTCTTTATTTTTGAATTTCCTACTGATCGTATAATATGATCATTCCAAATTGAATTAAGTATTCGAAGATAATCATTACTATCATTTATTTCACTAGATAAACAAAAAAGAATACATAATAAAAATTTCTAATGATATTACTTGAGTAGAATAGGTACAAATGTTTGAATATGTTCATCAAGTACTTTACGTAAATTATCATAGAGAAGATTAGGTGAAGAAATATTTGTATCATTTGTTGATGTTGTACATAGATGATCAATATGACGATAAAGTTGTTCTTCATTTGTTGGACTTGTTGTACCATTAAGAATAGCTTCTAATGCTTGTTTTAGTAATGGCCATATTTTATCAAAATAATCTGACGGTGGTACAAGAGATGAAGCTAATAGAAAAGAAAAAATTCTAGTTTATATTATATTTCTTATTTTAAACTAACTTTTTAAATTTTTAATAATAAGTTTTTTTGTTGAAGTTGAAGAAATAAAAGTTGATGATGAACCATTTGGATAATGATTACGTGTTCCTTTATTCATTAAATTTGTATGATGTTGTTGTTTTTGTTTTTTTATTGGTGATGATGAAGATGATGAAATCGAAGAATCTCCTAATAAACTATTTTGATGATCGCGTTTCAAGCGAATCGATGATTTTGTACTATTAGTTTTTGACATTCACAAAAAGTAAGAACATAAGGAATTGAGTGGAAAGGGAAAGATGATCAAATGAATGAAATAACAGGAAAAAAAATAGATTTATCGGTTTTCTTTTTGTAGTAATAATAATAAATAACAGATGGTAGTTTAAATATACAAAAAAATAAATCAATGTCCTTTTCGTTTTGCTTATATGTGCTTGAATGACTGACCAACTATAAATAACAAACAGCTGATTATATGAATGTTTTATATGATTGGTTGTATTTGCAGCAATGAGAAATGAACAAAAATTTTGATCATTATGATTATTTATTTTATCTTTATTAAGAGAATATGCTGAATATGAATTATGTATTTAATGACACTTGAAACAAGACGATTTGAAGACAGCAAATCTTGACTACCCTATATAGATTACGCAATAATTACTAAACTGTAACTACATATTGTTAATTGGCAAATCGACTATACAAAAATAAAAACTATCCTGTCTCTCGTCTAATAGCTGCTGTTTAAAAAATTATTTTTTAGTTGTTTTCTGAGATTGATAAATTTTTTGGATTAAAACCAGAGATCATAAAATGCAAACTATACGATTCGATATAGCAGTCAATGTTCAATGCAACTGTACTATTGAAAACAATATAATTAATCTGTATAGAAGGTTTCTAGTGAGTTCTTGAAATTCTATTAAATACAGTTAGCTGGAAAATCTAGTTAAAACTCACCATAAATGAGACATTTTTTTGAATTTACATCTATCATTTAATGTTGACGATGAGAAATAAATATATTATCGATTTCTACATATAATTTTGGCTCACTCGTAATCATCGAGGTTTGAATGATAACATTACTTCACATCAAAATGTCATCAATTGGGTCAAATTTAAGGTGTGCTACTGAAAGAAAAAATGTCATAAGGGAAAACCATCGAAAATCAAAACAACGATGTAAGATAGACCTTCAATAAACTATTGTTTTCAATATTTACATCGATCAATATTTGTATTATTTTTATTTTTGATATTTTTCTTTTCGCCCGTTCTACTGACAATCAAACTCAACAGGAGAATAGTACTTCCAATATTTTACATAGAAAAATTGTTTTAACATCAATTCTCCAATAAAAGTCATTTTTGTTATACGAATATCTTTTATTAACAAAACAATTTATCAAATACACTGTTCTAAAAAACTCAATGAGCTAAAACACTCCTAATACATGTTCATCATCCATTACAATTACTTTCAATTAGTATTTACATCATTCAACTAGATTTTGAACAATTATTAATCATGTAAAAAAAATCAAGATAAAACTTTGTTATTTTTCAAGTAAAAGTAATAATTTTATTAGAATTGAATCAATCTCCTTAGACTACAAAAGTGAAGTTAATCTAGCTACAAACAGTTATTTGAAATTGTTATGTGTAAAAGCATAAAATTGATAAAAGTGTTAGTTTGTGCAGGTTAAATATTTTTAAAATGAAAGTTCTATTTTGAAAAAATGTTTTTGTTAATAGTTTGTAAGATGAAAACTGTGGAAGGTCAGATAAATTGTTCAACATAATGGTAAGGCATTTTTCTCAAATTGTCCAGGCAAATTTCCTCCTGGAAAATAATTTCCAACCACAAACACAGTGTTGCTTGTGTTTGACCGTGCTCTACCGATACCTAATCTAGTTGTATCTTTCCAAATTAATTGTGTGAAATGTCCAGTCGCTTTTGCTATGCCAGGATTTGACCAATTATAAGATTGGATTTCATTGTACCAAGAGTTAGTTGGAGCTGCACCTTCGAATATACAAAAATTTTACATGAAGATAAAAAAATTCGATGATTGTTTACCTGTATCGTATGAAAATTTTCTACCATCTAATCCAGATAAATTTTCTCCCATCCATTGACCGTTGAATCTAGTTCCACTATGTACATATGTATCAATAGCAGCTAAATGCTCTGCATAACTTTGTGCTATATCATTCAATGCTGGATCTAATACAAGTGGAGGTGTACAATGTTTTTTACGATAAAAATTATGTTGATCTAATGCTTGTTGTCTAAATTTTTCGAGACTTAGTGGTGCATATGGTGTTTGTTTTTCTAAAGTAATATCAAATTTGAAATATTTAAGACAATGAAATGATTATAAATAACTTTTTTTAGTTCACTTACTAATACAAGATCCAGTTGTATACTGCTTATCAGGTATCGTATATCTTATTGTAGTTAACAGCTGACAGATTTGACCAGACGCTTGGTATGCCCATCCCATGCATGTTGGTGAAGCATCACATTCAGTCATGCAACCTTGATATGTAGTCACTCGACTTATTTGTCGATCGATAGTACCAATGTGAGAGGAGTTCGATATTACTTCCTTGCAGTGCGTTTCCTTCGCAGCTGGTCCTTTAAAATAAAAATTAAAAACAATAATTTAAATACTATTCTGGTGAATGATTCAAACAGTCATATTTGTATTGAGCTATTGATAATATCTAGAGTAAATATTAACTTCTTATATGATTCTTAGCAACGATACTGAAAAATCAAAGATCTTATCAATTTGTTTTTGTTTATTTTATAGTTTTATCGACGGATGTAAAGTCGAACTATTCTTTTACAGAGTAATATCAAGAAAAAGCGAATGACGATTCATTTCTGTAGTTCACTTACCAAGACAAGATCCACCCATCACTGATTCATCAGTATATAATATATCCACCGATGTTTGAGGCAAACAATGATTAGTGGAATTGTAATATAACCATCCGTAGCACTGACTATCTTTTTCACACCAATTCATACAATCTTGATATGTAGTAATATTATCTATGTATGATCCAGTATCACCACCATAATAAAAGCCTGATTTTATTTCTTTGCACTTCTTTGGTGTAGCAACCGTTCCTAAAATATAATAGATTGAAAATTAGAATAAACATATGTTCTCTATATGTTTCGAGACCTATTGATGGATATTGTGTTTGTTGTTCTAAAGTAATGTCAAATTTGAAATATTTAAGACAATAAAATGATTATGAATAACTTTTTTCTTAGTTCACTTACTAATACAAGATCCACTTGTATACTGTCCATCAGTTATCTTTTCATATGCTGTAGTTTGTAGCCAACAGGTATTATCAGACGCTCGATGTCTCCATGCCAAGCATGTTGCTGATGCATCGCATCTACGCATGCAATCTTGATATGTAGCCACCTGAGTTATTGCTGGACCGGAATCACCATTGTAATAGCTGCTGATTATTACGTCAGTGCAGTGCGTTTCCTTCGCAGCTGGTCCTTTAAAATAAAAGTTAAAAACAATATTTTATATGCTATTTTGGCGAATAATTCAAACAGTCATAATCGTGTTGAGCTTTTCCTAATTTCTAGAGTAAATATTACCTTCTTGAATAATTCGTGACAACGATATTGTAAAATCAAGTATCTTATCAGATTTTCTTTTGTTTATTCTATAGTCTTAACGACGAATGTAAATCCTAACTATTCTTTTAGAGAGTTATATCGAGAAAAAAAGCGGATGAGAATTAATTTCTGTCTTTCACTTACCAAGACAAGATCCACCCATCACTGATTTATCAATATTTGTTATACCCAGTGATGTTTGAAGCCAACAACGCTGACTCGAATTTTTATATGACCATCCGTAGCATTTACTATCTTTTTCGCACTGATTTATACAATCTTGATATGTAGTAATATTATTGATGGATGCTCCAATAACACCAATATAAGATTGGCCTAGTTTTATTTCTTGGCACTTCTTTGGTGTATCATCCGTTCCTGAAAGATAATGAATTTAAAATTAGAATAAATATATCAAATAAATATTGAAATGAAAAAGTTACATTATAAAATTATGCTTTTATAATCGTGATTAGAATTAGTATGAGTAATGAAATGAAGTTAAAAATTAAAAGCACACAAAAATGAACGATTATTTACTTTTTCTCCATTGTAAACTGGCATCATGATTTGATTTAATACGTTTTAGAAGTTGTCGTATATAAAAGACTGATGCATCACGTTGAGAATAAGAGTTGTCGAAATTCTCGAGAGAATATGTTTCAGCATTCTGTATTGAAAACAGAACTGTAATGACACAAATGCCACTTAATACTCTCATAGTTTGAACTAATTTGTGCCTATATAAAATATAAATCAGAGAAATTGTATTGTTTTCATAGATACTTTTATCATATCGTTTTCTTTTCATCATAAGAATTAAAATATAGATATAAAACTTTTATTTTCTGGACAAAGAAAAACACTATAGAATCAAGCGAAAGACAATAATCAATTGTAAACGATTATTGGCTTCATTGATACAATGTATTTATGTCTAGGTGAGTATTGTCTCAATGAGAAAGATTACGTTCAAATCTTTAAAACTAGACACTTAGCAATTTGTAGGTAAATAGCATCTGCATAAATTTCTCAATCAAAAAGAAAATTGGTTTTGTGATATCGTCTTATAACAGAAGTCTGTATTAGTTATTTTGTATATAAACAAACAAAAAAAAATAAAAAAATAACTTACTGTATCATATTTGAATATCGTCCAAATATTATTCACTGCTTGATTACAATAAAAAATGAATAATAATACCACACAACAAAAACATAAATATTTATACATCTCTGAGCTACAGTGATTATTCAAGCATAAAAAATAAAAATATCGGTAATATGAACAAAATTACTTGTTTCTTTTATTTTTGTTTTGTCTAACTTACCAGGGCGTACACTAACTGAATAAAAAAATAAGGTCTAATCATTTACTTTCTATTCAGAGTCACGACAATCTCATAATTATCGACAATCTATCATTGTCAGTTTCTTTTAAATAATCGATGAAGCATGATAATACAACGAAGAGACAACACTCTATCAGCTGTGTCTCTTTCTTCTTTTGTCAAAGAAAAAAAAAAGACGAAAACAACATGAACTTTTAAAAAGAATCAGTGGCGGTAAGATTATTTTTTCGCTCCCAAACATTTAGGAAAAAAACTATGTGGTTAGAATCAGGATTAAATTTTGAACAAAACTGTATTTTCTTTTGAAAATAAATAATTTCTTCTTTTTTCATTTTTTTTGCCGTAATACCTCCGAAAAAAACAAATTTTTTGGTTTTTCACTGTAATTTCATCTAGATATAGGTTATCGACTATGATGATCACGAATTTAAGATTTATTTTGTATAAAAAAGTAATTTAAATGAAAAATGGCCTGTTCTAACAAAGGATTTTTTTTACCTTAGTTCTTTGACCTCAGTTTTGAAATCATTATCTTTTAACCCTAAAAATCAGTTTATAATAGCAATAACACTTTATATATATTAAGTTTCATGGTCTTATTCAGATAGAGCATGAAAAAGTGCGTCGATCTATATATAGAACTCATTGGATCAAAACCTCGTCATAAAAATTAGTCTACATTGAAATCAATATATGCCTTTTCTCCGTATTTATTTTAGTTTTTAGTCCAATAAACTAGAATTATATACCTGTTAAGTCATCAATCTATTTGGAAATGATGGAACAATCGTTTCTAGATATATATATAAAATATTATTGCTATTATAAACTGATTTTTAGGGTTGGAAGACAATAATTTGAAAACTAAGGTAAAAAAACATCGTTTGTTAGAATAGGCCATTTTTCATTGACATCACTTTTTTATGCAAAATAAATTTAAGAAAATATATATGGTTTTGTTCAGAGTTTAATGCTGATTCTAATCATATAGATTTTTTTCTAAATGCTTTGGGTGAAAAAATGATTTTGTCACCACTTGTCTTTTGCACGATATGATTTAAGCTAATGAAACTTGGTATCAATTTAAACTAATTAAAAGATGAAAGTTAACACAAAGAAACATCAAATGAAGTTTTATTCCTAAAAAATCTTCTACGAATAATAAAAAATCATTTTCATATGAAGATTTTAAGCAAACATAGGAAACATAAACTGATTTTTTATTATTCAGATAAGATATTGTTGATTGACTTATCATTTTGTTTTAATGAGTAATTTTACTTGAACAAGATTAGTTAAAATAAATATGAAACTATTTGTTCAACTGTAGAATATTTGATAATTTAGTTAAATCTTGCTTATTTTTCGGATGAAAAAGTCACGACCAAAATAGTCATATAAATGAAAACGTTCCACTTCACTGAATTCACATATACATGTGAGTGATGATGAGAGATAAGAGTAATACACTCTATTATAATGCATGTTAACATAAGAAATCATACTGTATTTATTATATTTTTCTACTATCTAACATCACCGCAACGTCTAATATCACGGTGTGCTCTATATCATGCTTCCTTCTAGTACTATTAAAAAACGATCAAAAGTATTAATTTATGATATTGATCTAGTTAAAGAAAGCACAGCATGATAGATTCAAAACAATACTAAATCTATTTGAGTGATCATTGCCTTTATAACTAGAAAAAGTCTTTTATGATACAAGATAAATATATAGGGGTTTGAATTCACTCAATAATCATAAGTAATTTAATTTGTGTTCACCCAAATCTTACATAAATTTCATTATTATTTCATTTTTATATAAAAAGTGTTCTAAAAGCTTTTCATCGATTGTTATAGATGTATACTAAAGTATGACATATGATAATTATGGAATCATTTTGACTACAATAAATCATGATAGATATATTCGCCAAGGATCATTCTCTTAGATTTAAATACCGAAAACTATGCTTATAGTAATACTATTATAGTGTTAGTATATCGAGAAAGATCATTGATAATAGAGTTGAAAAAAAGATGTACATTTTTTATGATGAAATTTTTAACTTACATGAATTATAATTTCTTAAGTTTTCATATGATTAAATATAAGGTATATCGAAATCATAGACCTCCATGGACAAACTGATGCAAATATTTTTGATAAAACTTCAAATAGAATTGAAGAAGTAAAAGAACATTTATTAGAATAACATAATATTCAAACTGATGATTTGGAACACTTGAAACGATGAGAAAATAGGTTTTTTGTCAAGGGAGTCTGTAATTATAATCCACATAGACAAGCCACTTAATTTTATAGGATTGATCTTTTTGACAATCACAGTTAAGGTTCATTCTTGTTTGATACTTCGAATCTGATCAGAGGCCTATAACTCGATTTTTATATATGAATCTATGGTAAATTCAAATTTCTGCATATCACATTTCGTAATGAATCGTATAAAAAAATGATACTGTTGCAAGATTTTATCTTAACTGTCGAATACTTATACGTGAAGTTTATTTTTGCACATTCCAACTTCTAGCTGAATGTTAAACTGTGTCAAGAAATTTATTTCAATATGATAAATCTATACTTTGGGTTGATGTGAGTAACAAAAGAACAGATACACATATTTGTCAAGATTTAGATTTTGAAATATTTTCACTTTCATAAATAATATTTCATTTATTTTGATTACAATATAAAATAAATTCAAATACTAAAAAACAAAATTATATAGCCCTATGATTTATTTTACAATTCTAGAGTCTAAGCTACAACATCAGTTTTAAAATCATGAATATATTTTTCTAATGTAAAACAAATTTCATCTGTTGTAAATGGTGTCCATTTATCTGTTAAATTTGGATCTAATAATATCGAAAGAATATCTTGTGGATTCGTTTTTCTTGCTGGTAATTGTCGTTTAATCATATCAGTTATTAATTTTCTTCGTTCATTTAATGCTGGTACATCATGAAAATCATATGCTGGTAATTGTCGATAATGAAGAAGTGGATAAATAAATGTTTCATATGTTCGTATAAATAATTCTCGTTGTTGTTGAGCACTTGATGAAGATTTAAGAAAACGTCGTTGACGTGAACGATATACTCGACGTAAAGCATAAATAAGATCTGGTTGTTGTAATGTTTGAAAAAATGTACTAAGAAATATTGAATCAATAGGTGTTGTTGATAGACCAGTTGGATGATGACGTTTATGTAATTGATAAGCTAGTTCACTACGAAAAAAACCAATTGTTCGTAATATATTCATTGAAACAATAACTGGTTGAATTGGTAAAGAATCGAATAGTATATCAATATCTGAATCACGTATTTCAATGGAAAATTTAATACGTGCTCGTTTTAAACGATCAATTTTGCCTGATAAACCATCTGAACGAAGAATTTTATATTGAGGATCAAGAAGAATATTTGGTTCATCTGTATGTCCACCATGTAAAAGTTCATTAAAACCTTTTGTTTCAGTTATTAATGGTGGTTTATCATCTTCAATTGGAACCATTGACCAACCACAAGCAATTTCACATTTTTCTTGTGTTACTGTTGATTGACACCATTGTGATAATTCAAAAAGTAAACTTAAATGTTGACCTGAACTTGATCGATTGGCACGTATAAATAATTGAGGTTGTTCATCAACAAATGAATTTAAATCATTTGATGAAAAATGCCAATCTTCAGTTAAAACTTTATCATCAACTTTATTTCGTATATGTGCTCGAACTACATGAATATTAGAAATAATTTCAAAGCCATCATAAAGACAAACACGAACACATCGATCAAGAACACGAATCTAGATTGAAAGATAAAAAAAACTTTATATTATCCAGAATAGTAATTTCCATTATACTAATTAATTTTTCGAGCGAAAAAAAACAGTACATACCGAATATAGTACATAGTCAATTACTATTGCAAAAAAATAAACTTGATAATAAGAAATATTTGAGTTTTAAAGTTTTCTCTTTCAGTGAATTTTTCGTTTTTAAATACAGAAAAAAAGTTTATTTACCTGATCACCTTTGACTTTAGGTATTTTAACACATTGTTTAAGAACAATAATTTTTTTATAAGTCACATCATTTATTTGTAGATGATCAGTATCAGCATGCCAATAAAGATCAGCAAAAGCAAGATTTGAATCAGTCATTTTTGGTACAAGTGCTCGCCATAATTGATATTCTTCAAGTTGAGTTAATGGTGCTAAATCTGATGCAACAAAACCAGCTGGAATATTATTATTAGCTTTAAATGCATCGACAAGTGTTGTCACTGATGTATTTGGTTTTGCTCGACGTCTTGGTAATTGTCCAGATAATAATTGTATATGATTGATTGGTACGACACCTTGTTGTTGTGTTTGTGCATTACGAAATAACCACCAATCATCTGGACGTTGTTCGACAAGTGTTATTATTTCACCTTTATGAATGGTTAAATCACCAGTTTGTACACTTGTTAAATCATGTGAAACAAGAAATTGTGTACCTGGTGGATGTTTAGTTGTTCGAAGTTCTTGTACATGTGCATTGACAATATTAGGTTCATCTTCTTGTTCATCATAATCATGATCAGATTCAACGTCTTCATGATCACCACTATTATGTAAACGTCGAAGTTCTTCATCATCATCATCATCATCTCCTTCTTCTTCATCTTCTTCAAAATATGAATCTTCGTCGCTTTCTTCAACTCTTTTTTTAGCTATTGGAACTTCAGGATGTCGTCTTGGACTTGGTGTTTTTTTACGTATTGATGGATGTGGTACTGGTGATGATGATGTAGTTCGTTTAGATCTTGGTGAAGCTGCTGGTGTAGATTCAATTTTAATTGGTGGAACTTTTTTATTACTACGTGGTGTTGCTGGTGATTGTGATCGACGACCACTAATAACAGGAGATTTACTGTTTTCATCCGTTATTGTTCGATGTTCAAGTTCAGTTAATAATTGATGATTATCATTTACAGCATCCTCATCATCGTCTTCATCCTCATCACTACTGTAATCTTCATCATCATCACTTTCTACATTGGAGACTATTGGTTTTTTTTCATGTGAGCTAACTGAATCAGTTGCTTTGATTAATGGAGATGGTTGTTTTGGTTCTATATATATATATATATATATGAAGAGAAATTAATAAATATTTCTTTTACCTTTCTTTTTATCTGATATTACATCATCATCATCTTCACTTTCTCCTACTACGTCGTCATCATCTTCGATCGCTTCATCTTTCGGTGTCTTTGGAGTTTCATGACCTGTTTCTTCGGCAGGTTTACTTGGTGCAGGTACAGCTGGTGTAGTTGGAGCAAGTGATTCTTTTGATGCTGATTTATTTCTATTACCAAATGGTAGTTTACTAACAAGTGATCTAAGTCCTTTTGCATTTTCTTCAGCTGGTGCTGCAGGTGTAGCAGCCGGTTGAACATCAGTTGGAGGTGCAGTAGTTACAGGCATTGGTCCAGTTGCTCTTTCCAGATGTTTATCAACATTATTAAGTTTATTTGAAAGATTATTCAATGCTTTTACTGCATTTTGTTTTGTTTTATCAAATGTCCTAACTGGTTCTTTTGAATCTGGTGCTCTTGTCGTTGCCTGTACTTGATTTTGAAGATTGATAAGACGTTCAGTTAAATCTTTCACTTTTGTACGACCTTCAACTGATCGTTCACGATTGGCAGCACCTTTTCTACGGCCTGTATCAATCTTTTCTAAAACTTTTGATGACGCTTCAACATCAATCTTTAATTGATCGATTTCACTTAGTAATTGTTGCATTGTTTTTCCTGATATTACAGGAGCTGTTGGTTCTGCCGTTGGTGGAGCTATAGGATTTAAAAGAGCAGCTGATGCTGCTCCTGCTGTAGTAGCTGCCATGTTCAAGGTAAAGTTGTTCTATAGTAAGGAAAATGAATGAATGCATTCTTACCTATCGGATCAATGCAAAAGTATCTTGGCAACCACACTCATAATCCTAATATTTTTATAATCTAAGTTTAATTAAAATTTTTCTCTTGAAAACAATCTTTCAAATAAAATTCAGACTAATGATACAATTTAAAACTCTATTTTCAATAGTATATACAATAATGAATGGAGATATTAGTGACCTCTATCGAAACATCCAATACTTATATTCCAACTATGAGCTAACAAATTATCATATGAATTAAGTAATATCTGATGATAGTTCAAAAGTATAGAATTACAGTTATATAATATTCATAGATTTTTGACACAAATAGCATAACGAAAGAAAATTTGATAATAATATAATTCTAATTATAAGATAACATATCAATACTAGAAAGTTGATGTAAAAAATATCTGAATTTCATTTCATGTAAAACGTTTTTTTTAATAAATAATGATTGTAAAGTAAGTTAAATACATATATACTCTAAATAAATAGTGACCAGACAAAAAGAAAAAAAAAGAAATTTCATATAAAGGTATAAGAAGAGATCTGATGATAAATACGGAATGTAAAATATAATAAAATAAAGTTTATGCGTAATAAAAATGAACATCATTGAATAAAATTATTTATAAAAATTCTCTTTAAGATCTTGTTTCATATAAACCACTTTTACCAATATATCGTACCCATTTAATAGTTTCAGAATCGGAATAATTAAGTTTATGTTCAAATACTTTAAGATATCGAACTTTAAAACCTGATGGTGCAAATGGTACTTCAAAACTCATTGATATCGGTGGACGATTCCATTTCTTTTTATCATTCGGTGTTAATTCAATTTCTGCACTTAATTGAGATTCTTTCATTCCACCCATACGTTTCATTTTCCATACAATAGCATTATCTGATGATTTATGTTTTGCTTTACCTTTCATACATAATAATTGTACATCACATGTATTTGGTGGTATTGGAATGCGTATTTCAATTTTTTGACCAATAAGTGTTGGTTTAAAATTTGATTTAACAACGACTTTAACTTCCATTTTCGTTCGACCGATTTCTCTTACTAATGGAATAACACGAAATGGTAAACTAATATCTTTTGTTGTACGATAACGCATTAATTCAAATTCACCATCAGGTGGAATAAATGATATAGCATGTTCAGATTCAAATTTTGATAATTTAACACATTGATGAAATTGACAATCATCTATAGCAATAGCTGTTTTTGTTGTTGTAGTTGTTGCTGTTGTTGATGATGGATTTGTTGAACCATTTGTTGATGTATCTGTTTGATTTTTAGTTCGATTTTCAACTGTTATTTTATCATTAATACCAAATTTACATTCAGGCATACCAGATAAATAACTTTTCATAACAACTCGACCAGCAACATGTGTACTTAATACTTGACCTTGTTGAGACATTAATAAATTAACTGATTCAATAACATCAAGAAATAATTCATTTCGACGATATTTAATACCTTCACGTCTCCAACCAATTTGTCCGGTAACAGCTGATGTAATAACTGTTTGTTCTTCACGTGTTACTGGTCGAACACCTTGTTGTGTTATAAAAGATTTTAATACACCTGTATCACTATTTTGTGGATAACCAAAATCAAGTATTTCATCCAATAATTCATAGATTAAAACAAAATTATTTTTAACGTTTTCTTCACTTATTTTACCAAAATATGATTGCATTATATCAATCATTTTAGTTAAAAATTCAAATACCATTGCAGCATTTATATTTTGTTTAGCTACAGCACATAACCATATATTAGAACGTTTTGTATAGAAAAAACTTGTTCGAGCTATATTAACAACTGGAAAACGTGATTGTTGACGAGCATGTATTACATTAACACGAAATGCATCAACAGCATTTCGTCCGATATCATCACGATAAACACGCTATATGAAAAATATCATTTAATTAGTTGAATTTAACAAAAATAATAGATTCTTACTGATATAAGTACTTCGCCTTTATGATTATAAATAAAAACACCACCGATCATTGATCTATCTTAATGATGAGATTAAAATGAGTAAAGATAAAGAAAGAAATGAAAAAGCTAATATTTGGATGACGGCGCCTATCCATAAAATACCCTAGCGAGTCATCTATGCATTTTTGTTTTGAATTTTCTTTTTCTTTTTTATTCTCATAATAATTAATCGTCATTTTACATATTCTTTTTTTGTTATACCTATGGATAGGAATGAACGAATAGGCTTTTTCACATTATTATAATATTATGATGGCGTAGTTCTTTTCTTCTATGTACTGACGCATTGCTATATTCAGTGGGACGCACAAATATTTGTAAGTGCATATTTTTTCATCTCTTCTCCTATTGCACATTGTTTGCTCCAAACAAAAGATTCGTTCTATAATTTAGTACTTAACTAGTTGACTCATTTCTAGATTGTTCTTTTTTCTTCTTCTTTCTCAGCCAACTTTGGCGCTTTGTTTTTACTCTCCGAAAAACAAAAAAAAAATTATCCACTATGCCATCAAATCCAGCTGATCAATATCATAAATTATTATCACAAGAACAAAACGTAGATGATAAATATGTTATTATTGATTCAAAATGGTTTGAACATTGGAAACGTTCTACTGGTATTGATTCACAAGCAGATAAAAATGCTACACCAGGCCCAATTGATTTTTCAAATCTAATTGATCCAACTACAGCTGATCATCCAGATGGTGTACAACTTCGTCCGGATGCTGTTGAAGGTAATGATTATACATTTATACCCTTTGAGCTTTATCAAATTCTTGTCCAACAATATAAAAAAATTGGTCCAGAATTAATACGTAAAGTAATACAATCAGGCGATTTTCAAACTGTTATTGAAGCTTATCTTGTACCATTACGTGTACGTAAATCCCGACAAAGTCCATCAACAACTAAACAAATCTATCGTAGTCGTCGAACGAAATTAGAAGATTTAAAAAATGATATATGTAAAATGTTTTCATTAACATCGGATTCAAATTATCGTTTATATACATCAACAGATGAATATGGTGATAATTGGGAAGCAATTGATGCACGAGCAAGTACAATACTTGCTGATATTGAATTATCAAAGAATGCTATTATAACATATGAACCCATGACATTAACACGAAATAATTCCTCACCTGTACCAGCAGGTACATTTTATACACCTGGTTTATGTGGTCTATCAAATTTAGGTAATACATGTTTTATGAATTCAGCATTACAATGTATATCAAATGTACCAGCATTAACCGATTATTTTCTTCGTCGAGAATATTTACAACATATTAATCGAGACAATCCATTAGGTATGAAGGGTGATGTTGCACAAGCTTATGGAGATTTAATAACAAATATGTGGTCTGGTAAAATAAATTATTATGCACCAAAATCTTTAAAACAAAATGTTGCACGATATGCACCACAATTTAGTGGTTATTCACAACAAGATTCACAAGAATTTATGTCATTTTTACTTGATGGTTTACATGAAGATTTAAATCTTATTAAACAAAAACCTTACATGGAAAAAAAAGATGATGATGGAATTGCTGAAGATGCAAAATTAGCTTCTGAATATTGGGATTATTATCGTAAACGTAATCAATCAAAAATTCATGATATATTTCATGGACAAATCAAATCAGTTGTACAATGTCTTGAATGTAAAACATTAGGACGTACATTTGATCCAATTTGTTTTCTTAGTTTACCATTACCAAACAAGAAGAAAATTCGAATATTTAAAATAGAATATATACGTTTAAATGGACAAATTCAATATTATTATATAAAATCAAATGAACGTGGACGTATGCATAATTTATTAAAAGATTTTTGTGAACGTTTTCAACCAAAACAAAAAAATGATACACATGAACCAATGGATGCTGAAGATGAATCATCATCATCAAATACAATTAATTCAAATAATCAAGATGATGAACAAGAAGAAGATTTAACATTAGCACCAGATTATGATGGACATCAACCTAAACCAGAATTAATTCTACCTGTTGAAGTTTATAATCATCGTATACATTTACAATATAGTGATGATGCATTATTAACAAATATACTTGAACGTGATCAAATCGTTTTTTATGAAGTACCAGTTTCATTAAAAAAAGAAAATAATGAAACTATTCTTATGCCATGTTTATTTCGTACAGCAGATAATTTACATCAAAATTTTGGTTTACCAATTTATTTAAATATTCCAAGACATAAATGTACAGGAAAACATATTCAAGATGCATTACAGGTAAGAATTTTATGGAGAAAAAAAGATGTGAAGTAGTAACTAGACTAAAGAATCTTACGTATAGAATATTTTATAGAAACTTTCTTTTTTTAAAAAGAATCGAGGTACATATCGGTTGTTATTTCATGAAAGAAGTATAATATATTTGAGACAATTCGCGTGATTTTTAGCGATGATAAACTCGGTGTATAACCCATCGTAATCTATTAAAGACGTTAGACTATTACATGAGATTCTTCTTTTGATTAGAGAATAATTAAATTTAGATTGATCCTTATTTTTAATAACAGCCGAATGTCCATAAAGAATAATATCGAAATATTTTTCTTTCAAATTGTTAACTTTATTATTTTAATCTGTGTTATTCTAGAGCTCAATTGGAAATTTTCTCTCATTATCATCATCTCTACCATCGGACAAATCTCCTTATACTGCTTCATGTGTATTCAATCAAAATTATACTCAAACAACTAAAACATTATCATCATGTCTTGATGAACATATTGATTTTAATCGTACAAATACAACTCTTGTTGTCGATGTTTCACCTTCAGTTGTTGAAAAATATGAACAAGACGAAAAAAAACGTATAGATAAAGACCGTCAACCATCATCATCAACAAATAATAGTGGTGTACAAACACGTAGTCAACATAAACAATCAACAACATCATTATTAGATTGTTTTAAATATTTTACAACAAAAGAAACTTTATCGGATAACGATCAATGGTATTGTCCAAAATGTAAACAATTAAAAAATGCATCAAAAAAAATTGATTTATGGTTATTACCAAAAATTTTAATTGTTCAATTGAAACGTTTTAATTATACACGTCATTATCGTGATAAAATTGATTTATTCATTGATTGTCCTATATATGATTTAGATTTATCAAATTTTGTTCTTAATCCAGCAGAAAAAGCTAATGCAAAATATGATCTTATTGCAGTTAGTAATCATATGGGTGGTTTAGGTGGTGGACATTATACAGCACATGCAAAAAATACTCATGATCAAAAATGGCATACATTTGATGATTCATGTGTAACAGATATCGATGAAAATAATGTTATTAGTAAATCCGCTTATGTACTTATTTATCAACAACAACAACAATCGCAATCACAATCACAACAACAATCACAATCCTTACAACAACCAGCAAAAGAATCACCGCGAAAACCCAGTGCACGAGCGACTAAAACATCTACTTAACTAAAACAATCTCAAAAAAAATTTTTTTTTTGTTCTTTTTGGTGTTGTCTTCTTCTTTTTTCGCTCGTTTATATAGAAAAAAAAAACCAAACATAAAAATTTCAACCAAGCTTTTCGACATAAAAAAAATATTATATATTTTATGTTCCCATACATACATTTCGTTCTTCTTTTTTTAATGTTATCCTTAAACATACATATAAACTATTTGGAAAAAAAAAACAAATAATAAAATTTTTTTTTCCTTTTTTTCTCTTTTTGTTACAGGTTATTTAATAAACATGATGCAATATCTAGACGATTATATATCATCGTCTGTAATAAAACTCGATATATTTCTATGAATAATGCATTATTAACATGTAAACTAGAAAAAATTTTTATCGATTTAAATCATTACGATTAACATGTACAATGTGTTGCAAAAAAAAGAAACAAACAGGTATTAATTTTAGTTTTTCAGTTGAATGATTATCAATAGATATACGTTCTTTTATCTTGTCTATTTTAGTATATGTGTAGTAGAAAAGATGAGTGCTCATGGGAATTCATTTAACTATATATTTTGAATGCATGAGTAAGGAAATTTATATTTGAATACATAATAATAGTAAAAGGAAAAGTGAGTGATTCAGTCTGCATTATTTTTCATCAATAGTTAAGATGTCAAATTAAGTGAATCCTCAATAAGGTTAAACAAAAAGAGAAATCTATATTTCTAGTGCTCACTACTATAAATACTTCTAATATTGGATAAGTAGATATTCTATGTGAATATATTGAAAATAGTTTATAAAAGACGCGAATGTATGTATAAAATAATATTTCAATTTATTTTTATTTTAGAATTCAATGAAACGATACAATTGATTAATTATGTTTGAGATCAATGATAATTGAACTAAAGGACTTAATCAATATTTTAATAACATATCTTATTTCATAACTGTGATTTTTTATGTATATCAGCGTTGAAACTATTTCATCATATTGATTTAAATAAAAAACTTTCACTTACTTGTTTTCACTTCCTTTTGCCAATGTATTTCTATTTGATCGAATGGTTTTTGTTTATATATAGGTGTAGTGAGAATATTACATGTGAAAATACCGATTGTACGGAGAACGCAAAAGTTATGTCGCAATCGTTTTGATTGTGACATCATTTGGAAAGCATAAAAAACTAATGTGGAATTACTTTCTATTCCAGATATTTGCTACATAGAAAAATATTAATTTGATCAATTAATGGATGTTAATCGAGATAGTAAGTAAATTTTAAATAGTAAAATAAATTTTGAAATGAAAAACATTTTTATACATTTAGATTTTTATGATGTTTTACCAGAAATTTTAAAAGATATAAACGATGCTGATTATGTAGCAATGGATGGTGAATTTACAGGAATATTACCATTTGATAAAATGAATTATTTTGATACACCAACTGAACGATATAAACGCCATTATGATGTAAATTTCTTAGATTAAATATTCAAAATTTTATTAATTCTTCTATTTCAGTGCGATAGACATTATTTAATGATCCAAGTTGGTCTTGCAATGGTTCGATGTCTAAATCCAGAAGAAAATCGGTAAATACAAATAATAATCAATCTTTATATTTTATAATATTTATTAGATATTCATTGAAAGCTTATAATTTTTATTTATTTCCTGAAAATGAATCTGATGCATTTGATTTTCGCTCTAAAGTAAAATTAATTTCTTTTATTTCATGAAAAATAATTATATTTTATATATTATAGAGTTCATCATTACAATTTTTAGCCGCTAATCGTTTTGATTTCGCCCAAGTATTTCTCAAAGGTATATTTCAATGTAAATCTATTTGTATGTATTCGCTTTATTTTCTTTTAGGAATTCCTTTTGTATGTAAAACAACATATTTAGAAAAATTACGAAATCCACAATTATCATTATCTCGTCGCAATAATCGTCAGATACCAAATGGTAATACAAATGAAAAGTAAAAAAGTTCATATTTTATTAGAAAAAACGGTCAATAATTTGTTTTTTCTTATTGAAGGAAACATGAAGCAACAACAACAACGAATTCACCAAAACAATCTGAAGGAAATAATCTATCAGATGCAGAATTATTAAGTAAATCAATGACAGGATTTTCGGAAGTTATTTGGTATGTTTAAAAAAATTTTGTTTTTATTGTTTTAAAATAAAGTTATGTTTGATTTTATTTAGGAAATTACAAGAATCTGTAAGTAATTCTATTGATAAAGATTAATAATTTCTAGAAAGTCTAGCGTCGTAATACGGAGTTAAAAGATAAATATATGACTGATTAATTCGAACATGTGAGCAAAATGTAATAGAGACGAAAAAATAACTATTTGTGTCAACATAATACATCTATGTTTATTCAAAAGCATGGGACTAAATCTTCTTGATCTTAATCTATATGAATATAGACATAGAAATACAACATTTTGTTGTGGACTTTTCACCGTGTAGTTAAAATAAAACTTGCTTTGTAAAATTCTCGAAAAGTTTCATACTTTTAAAACATAAAGATTGATGAACATAGTAATAGCTTTTCTATCCAATTTTATTAGATAAATAGATATCAGATAACTGAAACATTGACAGGATAGACTTCTTCACAAAATGATATTTTCTATCATGATTATTGCAAGAATAATGTTTAGTTTGTAACATGATAATGTATATAAGTTCTTTTGACCTTTGCAAGAAACTCTATAATCTGAGGATGATCATACTGCTTTCCGATTAGAGACCGGCAAAACTTGTCCCGCGCGTTGCATACCAGCAAATTTCCCAAGAACTAAGAAGTTTCTTTCGTGTTCCTGCACCACTTCTCAGACATCGGGATGGCGTAGGAGCGCGCTCCTCAAGAGGTAGCATAGGCATGAGCATCAGCGCGGGACAAGTTTTGCCGGTCTCTGCCTCCGATCTTTGATAAAATTAAACATTCGGATATAATCGAATATACTGAAATGATATTTTCATCTAAGAATTTTGCTTCATAAGTAAAAAGCTGTGGGTCTGTCCAAATCCGCAACTCTTTATTTATAAGATGATTCAAAATGAAACAGATCATTAAATAATCAATCAGCACCATAGTTAGACTCATCGCAATGAAATTCATTATCAATTCTTCACTACATGTTTACATTTTAGAATTTTTGCTTGTCTGATAATATCACATAATTAACAAAAAACACTTTTTTTGATTTTTTTTTTTAGGGTAAACCTGTGATCGGACATAATCTTCACATGGATATTCTACATATAATTAATCAATTTTTCACACCAATACCTTCTGTATGTTGATTTTATTTTATTTTTAATAATTAATTCTTTATTTTAGAACTATGAAGATTATAAATCAATAATTAAATCTTTGTTTCCAAAGTAAATCTATTAAAAGAATTATTCATTCGTTTAATTTTGTTTTTTTTAAAGATTAATTGATACAAAAACAATTGCATCGACATCAATCTTTCAAGTAAAATCATTTTATCTATGTTGAAATAATCTTTTTCATTAACTAGAATATTATTTCCAATACAGCACTAAATGCTATTTATAAAACAATTCGTGAACCATCATTTCCAGCATGTCGTTTTGGTATGGAAAAATTCGAAATTTTTGCGTTATTTATCTTTCTTTTTTTTTTAGAAACGCCAAGTGATTTCAGATATGCCTCAAGTGAACATGAACATACAGCTGGTTATGATGCAACTTGTACAGCTGTTATTATGACTAAAATGATGACATATATTGGTAAAAGAAAAGATTTTAAAAATAATTTTTTATTTAAATTTTCTTTTTAAAGCTGAACAAACAAAATTTACAGACAATCCAATAGAACATGTAATAATTAGTAAATTTCTTGGAAAGTAAGTTGAATATCTTTAGAAATTAATATACGCAAAAATTTCCTTTAGATTATTTTATATGCGTTCATTTGATCTTAAATATTCTGATATACTCAATGATGATGGTAAATCTATGCGATTTAATTCTATAATATATATTCTTTTTTTCTAAAGATTTGCCTGATCGATCATGTGTTTTTTATATTACACATCCTGACACATGTACAACAGCAAATATACGAGAATTTTTTTCTCAATGGAATCTTCTATCATATGATCGAGTTGATTTAACAACACATGTTATTGGAATATCATTAAAAAAAGATACAGTTGACACAAGTAAATCTTAAAAAACAAATAATATATAGCATTGCTTTTGTAAACTATGAGTGCATTGATGATTACGACAAATATGTTATTAAATAGTATTAGGACAAGTCTTGGTTAATATAACATTTTGATTCAATTTAGTATCTAAAGAAGATCTCCGTACTCATGTCATCCGAACCAATCGTAAACCGCCGGTTAATTTCAGTTAACCTCCAAGTCAACCGGAAAATTAATCGGTCGCTTGTTCGTTAACTAATTACCTGCCTGGTTAACTGGAAGGTTAACCGCGGTTAATCTACCGGTTAAAAAAACTACCGAAATCAACCGGCGGTTTTCGATCGATTCGGATGACATGGGTATAGCTTATTGCACTCAAAACTCTATGATTTGACCTATTACAACCTTATAGAAAGGAATAATTTACTGAAACATAATCGAATATGTTCGTTGAAAAGAACGCGGTTACTTCTATTATAATAAAGAAATACACCGTATTCTTTGTTTTTTAATTGTACAACGATACAGTTTATAAAATATTGAGTAGTAACAGAGATGAGCAACTCCAACTCCGGCGTTGACGCTTTTTTACTTGGAGTTGAAATCGCAAACATCGGAGTTGGAATTGGAGTGGAGTTGTGAGAAACGAGATGGAGTTGGAGTTGCTTACCCCCGGAGTTGCCCATCTCTGAGAATTAATGTATATAACTATAGGAAAAAAGAAGATATGAGGAAACAAGTCCATTACCATTGATTATGATCCACCGGATGATTTATATTTTCGATGTCTAACTTTGGTTTTTAGAACCATAAAATTTTAATTTTAATTTATATTTATTTCTCTTTTAGTGTTAACAAAAATGCGTACGAATGATAAAAATTTTACAATTACTCCATATGCAGAATATAATCGTCTTGATGTTTCGGCTATAAAAATAAAAGAGCCCGATCATCTTTTTGATGTTGATCCAGCTAATAGAAAATCAAATAAACGACCTTATATTGATAAAGATGCAGTTGCAACAACAACTCAAGAAGTTACAATACCAAGTGTAAGAAAAATTTTAATGATATAAAATAAATTCGAATATTTATGGGCTTTTTTTTATTAGAAAATGGAGTTTACTCCTTCAGTCGATAGTAAAGGATCAACTTTACAACAATTAATTGAACAAAAGGAAAAGGCACGAGGAATCAAAAGACCAAAATTATTTGATTATGATGATGAATGGTAAACGATAAATAAAATAATCTTGTTTTTGTATTTCATGTATTTTTCATTAAATAAAAAAAAACTTGATTGTGTTTAATAATATAGACAGGAAAAGAAATAAAGAAAAACCAAAATTTTATTTTTCCTCCAAACATCTAAGATTTGCTTTCGATTTAGATATAGTTAGTAACGTATTCGATTAATTTCGAAGTAAATCATAAAAATCTCTGATAAAATATAACTATTACACTTGATATAATCACGTTAAATTATTACTATAGAAATGAAATAACATATATGAACACGTAACATTACATATGTCATCAATCATATATATATATTTATTTGATGTCATATGACTCTTTCATTGATCGAGAAAATAATGATGACGTTTTGTAACGTTAATAAAAAATTCGATTTTTTTATAAATGTAAAAATCGTTTATATTATTTCGAAACGTATGTGAATTATGTAGCTGAGTAACGAAGTATAATATATTTTCGCATAAAAAAAGTTCGATTTTATATTAATTGCCGCCAAAATAGATTAGATAATCTCATAGTAACTTTATCATTTGTTAATTTTTTGTTAAACATAAATATATATATGAATAATAAAACAACAAATGAAATTTCACAAGAACAACAACAAATTGCAGTGGTAATTTTAGATGAATATTGCCGATATTATTCAGATTTTAGTAAATAGTCTTTTTTACTCTTACTTTAAACGAAATAAATATTTGTATGTGTTATAGGTAAGATATTAGGTGTGTATATAAAGAATTTATATCCAAATTTTCATTTTCAATTTCAACAATTACTTGATGCTTCATACAATATATGGCATCGTTTAAGTAATGAAGATAAAATATCATTAGCAACTTTTCTTGAAGATATAAATCGAGAAAATCATCATGTAAGTTTAAATTCGTTCATTTTTACACTTGGAATTGTTCGAAATTTCATCACAGTTAGCTTTTATCAATAATATTTCTTGTTTTTGAAATATTCTATAGGATAACCTATAATTATCAGTCATTTTTTTTATTCTAGATGAATCTATTTAACTTATTTTTTTATTTAAAAAAAATTAATAAAAAGAGTAGTTATTATTTATACACAATACAATAGTAATATGACCTATGTTAAAACATTAAGGCATAAGTTTTTGCGACTATGAATTATATGCTTATTAATCAAGGGTGTAATTATTGCCCTGAATGAAAAAAAAAATGAAATGTCGCTGTTCTTCATAGACAGTTAGACAGACAAGTGAAGGTGTTTCGAGGTCGAAAAATACATCAAAATATATGCAAAGACATCTTATCCTTTGAAGAATATCATTTTTTCTTATTTACTAGACTCTTGCTGCATCTCATAGTTAGTGATATTCTCTTTCTTTATTGTAATATATATATACTTCAATAACTTTATACTTTGTTTCATATATCAGCCTATGAAAATAAAAACTTTCAATGGTCTTATAAATTCGAATTCAAAATCAATTGTATTGAATACTAATTCATATATGACATCACATACAGAACCTAATAATACATTAATTAAAAAACGTATGATTTTAACACCTTATCATATTTATTTGAAAGATGAACGTAAAAAATTTATTCAAAATCACTCAAAAATGTCCATACGTGATATAAATAAACGTTTATATGAACGTTGGCAAAAATTGTCTAATCGAATGAAATATAAATATGAATATCGTTCATATCTTGCTAAAAAACGTTTATATAAAAAACAAGGCAAATCAATTCAATTAAAAAAACCTTCTTTTATTAAACGAATGTCATTAAAAACAATACAAAGAAATAAATAAAAATTAACAATTAATGAGCTCATCTTTCAATTCGAAATAGAAGAATTAGGACTCTCTCTCTCTCTCGCTCTTTTTTTTGTTTTATTTTATAAGATATGTTTTTCTTAAATAAACTAAATTAAATTTTATTGATTAGTAAAAAATGCATGTTGTAATAATTGATCAGCAGTCGGACGACGATTGGGATTTATTTGTAAACATTGTTTAAGTACATCACGTAAATGAGGATTTGTTGTTTGTGGAATAGTAGGATTATGTTTTAATCGAGCTATATGTGACATCTTATCATAATTATCTTGAACATGTTCAAATGGACGATAGCCAAAGATCATTTCAAATAAAAGAACACCTATTATAGAATTAAAAGAAGGATGTCATTTTTAGATTTTTACAAAATACAAATACAAACCAAGTGCCCAAATATCTGATGCTCGACCTTGATGAGAAAATTGACCATTTTGTATTTGACATACTTCTGGTGGCATATATTCAGGTGTACCTTTGAATATTTTAGTAGAATTTTACATTAAAACAAATATTATTTAAATATTTCCACCTGCAAATGGTCTTAATACAGATGCTTGTGATTGTGGTAAACGAAATGACAGACCTAAATCAATAATACGAAGTTGACCACCTTGTGTCATAATAAAATTTTCTGGTTTAATATCTAAACAATATAATGAAGAAGAAGAAGAAGAAGTCAATCTTATTATTTATAAATAAAATAATTGAATTACTTACCTGAATGAACAATACCATTTCGATGAAGTAATGAAACAGCTTCAACCATTTGTTGCCAATAATATTTAGCTTGAGCAATGCTCATTTTTTTTTCACTTGGTGATGCTTGTAATGGTAACATAAATCGAAAATCATGTCCAGTTTCCATAACAATTTTACCCGTTTGTGATTTCGAATCAAATTCATGATTATAAACTCTTATAACATATGGATTACGTGGTTGTAATTTCGTTAAATAACGAATTTCTTTAAAAAACATTTTTGAATGTCCATGGCTATCGACTGGATCGAGATTTTGTACGACTTTTATTGCAACAGATTGTGTTGTTCGAGGATCATATGCAGCATAAACACGACTATGAAGTCCTTCGCCTAATAGACGAATAACTGTATATGGAACTCCATTAACATAGATTGTTGTTGCTTGAGATTTAGCATTTGCTAATGGAGCAGATGGTGATGTTTGTAAAGGATGATTCCAGTTGGTAGGAGCAGGTAAAGCTAAAATGAAAAAAAAAGTTTTGTTTAGTTTTATCTATGAACATGAAAAATCTTACTGGCATCACATGTTGGTTTGTAATTGGCAGGAAATGGACGGAATGCATAAGCTACTTTCATGATTTGATAATAGGTTCTTTTCTATTATATGGTGATGTGCGACGAGAGAGACATACCTATGTATAATCAAATATACTTTTGCCCTTCTCGCTTTTCATTTCTTTCATGCACCTTCAAATAGAAACGTTCGTGTCTTGCTTCTACTCTTTTGTTAATACTGTCTAATAATGTGTCAATTGGTCGATCATGAACTATTATATTCTGAACTGGATTCAAGGCCAAGGTTCTTTTCCTTTTTTTTCTTAGTGAACAATACCGTCACACGTCTTACCTTTAATACACTGAAAAAAAATCGGCACGTCGAACAATATGTTGATTACCCATTTGAGCTGCTTGTCGCCGTTATTTATTCAAAATATTGTTATCAACCATCCTCTTATACGAATATATCATATGCTTGTTACATGCTTGATTGATGTTTGTGTCGTATAGGTAGCTGAGCAACTGCTGATCCACCGTTCGTCTTCTTTTTCTTTTTCTCTCTACTGCATTCAATTTACGTAAGATGAAAAAGAGAATACGTTGCGCGAATGAGGGCGAGTACTTATGCACATTTTTTTTGATATCCAGAATACGCACATTCATACAACTTGATTTTATAGTATCGATCATCATATTGAAGAAAAAAGAAAAAAAGAAATCGAAAGTTATTCACATCGACCTCACAACTCGCTGTGAAATAATCGTTCTTGAATTCATCATGGATTTTATTGATTATAGTGAGATGAAGAAAAAAGAAAAGTACATAAAAATATGTTATTCAAAATGTCGATATGGAATCGTTTTTTTTATTTATTTTTTTTTTATTGAGAAAATAATCAGGTAATGTCATCTATGTCTGTTTAATCTTTAAACCATAATACGTGCACCGGGAATATATCGTGTATCACTCCATACATTTGTTTTACCATAATTATCAAGATTACGTTGACATTGAGCACATCGTCTATATTGATCACATTGTTCGTGTACAAGAATACCTTGTGGAGCTTTTAAATGCATTCTTTCATCTTCATCACGTTTATGTTTACCATCCATAGCATTTATCCAATCTGATTCAAGATTTTTACGTATTTTTAAATCACGACGATGTCGTTCACGACGTTCCGATATGAGACTATTAAAGAAAAAAAATAAAAGAATTCGAAAAAAAAAATAATAAATTTATATACTCGTCTTTCATAATATCTAATGCTTTTAATTCATATTCTTGTTCATGTATTTGTTTAAGTAATTGTTGCCGTTGTCGTTGTTCAATAAGTTCTTTTTCTTGACGAACTATATCTATTGCATGAAGACGACGTTGTTGTAATTCTTCAGTTGACATATCATTTAAACCAAAAAGAGTTTTATCAGGTTGATCCATTGGTTCAATGGGTTTACTTTGTATCTATTTTAAATAATTTATGACATTAGAATATCATAGATTTTTCTTTCAAATAAATTACTTGATTAAAAAGAGCATTCTTCAATTGTCCTTGTTGATGACGTTTATTTTTTAAATAACTTTCACGTTCTTGTGCTAATCTAAAATATATTTAGAATAAACAATGATGTTTTTTTTTAATTTTCTTAAAATTTACGTTTCTGCTAATTGTATTTGTTCTAAACGTTCACTAAAATCTTTGTCTGATTTTTCTGCATAACGTTCTTCTTGTCGTGTTTTTATTTGTGCTTCAATTTGTCGAGCAAAGTCATGTTGTTTAATATAAGTAGGAGGTGTTCGAAGACGTTTTCGAAAAATAATCGAACGCTAAAAATATAAAAAATTAAAAATATCTATTTTTCTAAATTAGAAATTAGATATTCTACCGGTATTTCAAGTTCTTGTGTACGATCTAATTTTTTAGCTCTTGTTGCTTCTGCAATACCCAAATTGAACTATAAATTAAGTAAGTATATACATTTATTTTAGATAAATTTATACGAATACATACAGCTGCGACTTTTTGTCTTTCTTCTCGTGCCGCTTTTAATGCTGCCTACAAGAGAAAAAAGAATTTATTTGTAAAAATTTTCAAAATAATTTACATCTTGTTTTCTTTGTTCTTCCATATCTTTAGTATCTCGATAATGATTAAGTAATTTATCTTCTTCAGCTTCACGAATACGTTTTTCTTCATGTAAATAAACTGGTATATTTAATTTAGCACGTCGATGACATAATTGACACATATCTTGACCAATTCCAAAATGACCACATGTTGTTATTTGTGGAGAATCGACACAGACGGATTGTGATGATAATATACGATCTGTTGGTGGACGATTGAAAGCAGATAAAGGGATATTTTCATTTGTTGAACGAGACATTACAGTACTTGGTCGTCGATTTCTAATTAAATAAATAGAAAAGATAAAATACTGAAAGACTTTGAATCAAGGGGGAAAAAGCAATTTATGATTTAGCGAGTTAAGCCGATTTTTATAACTTAAATTGAGCTTAGATGATTGAAAAATCACGTAAATGAAGTTCTACAACGTGACTTTACGGTGGTATAAGATTATTATTTCCTTAGCAATATACATGAGTCATACCAAGGAGGAAAGGCGATTTGTGATTTAATTTTGATTTTCAGATGATTTAAATCAGTTTTTCCCCCCTTGCTTTGAATTAATGAATCAACTTGTAGCGATATAAAGTTTATAGTTATATTTTATTTCCCCATGAGATCCGATAAGAAGTATATCGTTGATACAAACTATCAGTACCTCTGAGGGTCAGTGTGGGTGTAGGTGAGGACTACACCGACACAAGATTAATGAACTCGAGCAATCCACAAAAAAATATATATATTAAAATTATTATTCTGATCTACTTTATGTCTTCTGTTAGACTCTTTATTTACAAGTAGTACTTGTATAATCATTGAAAAGTTCATTTATTAATAAATATTTTTATTGACATCCGCTATTAATAACTGTCAGACATTTCAATTATCTATTCTTTTTTTTAAATGAAACGATTCCATTAAAAAAGTTTAATGAATAATTTTTTTCTTTTTCTTCAATTATTTATAAATATCTAATAAATAGTTGATAAAAAGCTTTTTAATACTAAAAAGTTATTTTATAAATTATCTAAATGTTTCATTATCATAATATTGTTTCTATTACCTTAACTACTAAAGAAAATTACTTTTCCTCTGCTTTATTTTAATAATATGAAATCTTAATCTTACATTTGAATCTGTTCATTTTCAGGTTCAGGTTGATGCATTGATATTGATCGTCTTAATGATGTAAGAGCTGATGGTGGTGGTTTCTTCTTCATTGATGCTGCTGTTGATGGTCGAATAATATCCATTGAAGAGAAAAGTGATGCAATTGGAATAATTCCTTCATGTGTATTTTCTCTTCCGATTGTTTTAATTACGTGTCGACTTATTGTTGAATCTAAGATAGATTTATATGAATATCCTTGTCGTCCAACAATGGACTGTTGACGCTTAGATCTCTTTGTTAACATCTCGTTCAAGTCAAATGAAAAGAAAAGTAATATAAGAATTTGTGAAAAAAAAGAGAGAAATATTTAGATTTTTTTTCTTTTTGTTCTTTCCGTTTTTCTAGCAAATAAGTAATTTTTTCTTCCATATTATAGATGTTAACCAGACCATACTTAGCTCTCGACAATTGATGTTATGTAAAGAGTGATATTGAAGAAAAGAATATTAAATATTTACATTAGAAAAATCAATCTCCAGATGTTTGAAATAACTCATTATTTAAATGGAACAAAATGTTTCTTTTCATAATATTAAACATTTAATTTACCTTGTTGTAATTCATCATGTCTGTGATTATTTTCTTGTTCTTCATCACTATTTTGATTTTCTTCTTGTATGACTTGCATTGTTAGGTTACCAACACGGCTGTTAAGTCTATAGAAATACATAACAAACAAAAAATGATCACTTAAATTCTCGTTAATAATTAAAACTTCCTTCTAGAATATTATATAATACTTATAGATTAAAAAAACATCATTGAAATCACAATAGGATGTATCAATAATTAATATTGATCTCGATTACTTAATATCATTATCTTCCAAATCAATTGGAAACCTACCGTGGAAGAACAACATTTGAAGCTGTTGGTGGTCTAGTAGCTTCTCGTGCGGACATAACTGAATCACATGTTTGTGGCCTCTGAATAAAAATAAGAATAGTTTTGCACAAAAAAAGAAACACAAATTTCTTACATTGCACATATTGTCAATAATAAGTTTACCATTTTCATCAACTGAACTAACAAAATCTTTAAAAAATCTCATTTTAACTTTTCCATTATGTATTTGTAATTTTCCAATATGTGTAAATGTAAATTCTACATTACGTTGAGCAGCTATCGAACGATTAAATACTTGTAAAACATGTTTAACACATAGATCAATTTGATCACGTGTATAAATTGATTGTGTTTGAATAAAAAAAAAATTCAATGGATGAACTGGTATTGAACCATTAACAGGATAACGAGTTGTTTTTAATCCATGTGTTTGAGCGATTTTTTCTGATAGAACAAAAACAGGTCGTTGAATAAGTAAATATTTATTATTTCCAACATCAACACGTTTATGTATAAAACTGAATGTACCGAAACCAGGAATAGCAACACCCTAAGAAATTTTTTTATTCATTAATGAACAAAAATTAATTAGTTTACTTTTGATTGTTTCATATAAGATTCTACATAAGTTGATACAGCGTCCCAAATTTTAACTACATCTATTGAAATAAATGAATATTTTTTAACTTTTTGTTTTGCTTTTTAAAAATAAAACATGAATTTCATCTATCATACTTCAAAATAATATATTTAAAAGCTCGTATAAAAACAAACAACCATGAGACAAAGAGCAAAATAAATCGACATTCTGATTGAGAATTACAAGGGAAAAGAAATAGCATGTCATTAATTAAAGGAATTCAGCAATTAAGAAAGAAATACATAGCTCTTACTTCGTTTATTCTTCTTCAATTAATATGATCCTATATATAAAGTAGTCATTTTACTTGAGGTCATCAGAAGGTATACTTCAAGTTTTTCATTGAAATAGAACCATAACTTTGAAAATTGAAATTTAATTTTATGAAGAAATTGATACATGATTTCAAATTAAAAAAGAAAGAATCTGATGTCTTAAAAATGAAACCTGATAAGTCTTTTAATAAGGCAATTAACGATAAAGTCAAAATACTGTGGAAAAAAAACAATTTTAGAAAATATAAAAATTAATTTTTTCTGCTTTAATGAAGCAAAACAGAATTAATTTTTAAGATGTATTCATTCATCCATTGATAGACTTTTGATATTATATTGATTAAAATGATCTTCTATGTTACTCGAATAATTGTCAGTTCATCATGGATTCAAAAAATAGCTGATACATATCATAATATTCAAATATATTTATATGAGTTCCTTATTCCAATATTATGATTATTTTATACTTTTTTTTTTTTTAGTTGAATATAATAGATCATTAAGCATTAAAATTTAAAAAGAAGCTCGTCTTACCCTCATCAGATAGATTAGCAATAGAGGCAGATGTTTGTTGTTTATTTCCATTAATATTTTGTGATAATTTATTAATATTATCCGTCATAATTCAATTTCAGGCACTACTAAATTCTTCACAAAAATAATTTTCATCTGTTTCTATCATTTACACCCGCAAATAATATATTGTTGCTAAGCATTGTATTTAACTATTCAAAATAGATGTCGTTAATAATAATCGAGAAAAAAAAAAGATAACTCCATCTATTTTATCCTTCTTAACAAAGATGTATCAATGGTCAATAAGATTCAATCATTGATTAGTCGAGTATCATCTCATTCTTAGATTCATTCATAATCAAAAATCATATCACCTTCAATGTTTACATTTTATTGTTCTTGATATTTTGACAAGTTGATTATTTTCTTATTCTTCAGACTACATGGTGTCATCAGTTTTGTTTATCATATTACGATAAGAATGGACGAAAATGAAACAATAAACCATAATAATACTAATTCAAAACAACATGCTGCTGGCCCACAAGCATCAACTGTGACAATCGCACCAAGTGATGCACGTACTGGCGGGCGTGGTCCAGGTTTAGCATCAACAACAATTGAAAAATCTAATGAAACAACAACATCAACATCAGCGGCTGCTACTAGTAGTTCCGGTCCCAATGCCATGCTTATGGTTGGACCCAATTTTCGTGTTGGAAAAAGAATAGGAGCTGGAAATTTTGGAGAAATTCGTTTAGGAAAGAATTTGTATAATAATGAACATGTAGCGATTAAATTAGTAAGCAAATTCAAATAAATAAATCAAATTAAAAAAAACAAAAACGTAATTATTTTTTAAGGAACCTATGAAATCTCGTGCACCACAACTTCATCTTGAATATCGATTTTATCGACAACTTGGAACTTGCGGTTTGTTATAAATTACAGAAAAACAAAAGACTAATTAATTTTATTTTGTTAGAGGGTGTGCCACAAGTACATTATTTTGGACCATGTGGAAAATATAATGCATTAGTTGTCGAATTACTTGGACCCTCACTTGAAGATTTATTTGATAATTGCGATCGTAAATTTACACTTAAAACCGTCCTTATGCTTGCTATACAATTAGTATGAAAAACTATAAAATTGTAATGCAAAAATTATCTTTTCTTATGTTTAGATTACACGGATGGAATTTGTTCATTCAAAAAATTTAATTTATCGCGAGTAAGTTTTTTTTTGTTGGATGAAAATTATTGGAAACGAAATTTTTCTTTTAAGTGTTAAACCTGAAAATTTTCTTATTGGACGTTCGTCTACACGTAAACAACATTTAATTCATATTATTGATTTTGGATTAGCTAAAGAATATATTGATCCCGATACTGGTCGACATATTCCATTTCGTGAACATAAAAGTTTAACTGGTTTGTTTAATCTTCCAAATATATTTATATATATCCATGAATTTCTTCTAGGAACTGCGAGATATATGAGTATTAATACTCATCTTGGAAAAGGTTCGATTATTATTTTCATATTCAAATATATTTTCTTTTTGCTATTATAGAACAAAGTCGTCGAGATGATCTGGAAGCATTGGGGCATATGTTTATGTATTTTTTACGTGGCAGTTTACCGGTATAGTTTTTGACTAGACACTCGAAAGAGATATTAACCTAATGATTATCTCCCTGGTGAAAAAAAACATAATTTTAAACGTGTGTGCATATGAAAGAAAGGTTGAATAATACTATATTTAAAGTGTAATAGAACATTGATACTATCGACATATCTCAATTGGGCGTGTCTTGAATCATATGACCTTCAAGGGTAATACTTTTCCTCAATAGTATCTATTAATGAGATTTCTTAAAGAGATTATAATTTCTCAAATGTCATTTGAACTATTAAAAACATCTAGATAGAAAAATCAAGAGTGTAACCAGAGATGAGTGTATATCGATATTTCACCACTCCTCTTAAGCCAAAAAAAAATAATAACGTAAGTAAGACATTTTTCTGCTGTCTATCGTTATCTTTGCTTCTTCCAATAGTAATTGATAGCCATATATCTATCGTTCTATTATGAAAAAAATTTCCATATACTTCCCCCTTGATAATTTCGCACTATTAACTGATTAATTCATCGTATTTTTATCTTTTATTTTAGTGGCAAGGTTTAAAAGCGGAAACATTAAAAGAGCGTTATCAAAAAATAGGTGACACGAAACGTGCAACGCACATTGATGTATTATGTCAGAGTCATCCTGGTATGAAAAAAATTTCTTATTCATTTTTTTATCTATAAATTCCTTTTATTATTATAGAAGAATTTGCTAAATATTTAAAATATGTACGAAATTTAGATTTCTTCGAAACTCCAAATGTAAGAAGAAAAAAAAATTTTTTTTTGTGATTTTAAATTTTTTTCATTTTTAGTATGAATATTTAAGAAAATTATTTAAAGATTTAATGGATTCAAGAAATTATGTTTGTGATTATAATTTTGATTGGGTAGAAAAAATGCAAAAATTAACAAATAAAGTATGGAAATATTTTTAATTTTATTTGATTAATATTTTATTTGTTTTTTAGACTCCTACTAGTAATTCTCAATATCCAATATCAACTCAACCAGAAACATCATCTAGTCCAGCTGTGCGACAACTTAGTAAAGTAAGTAAAAGATTTTTTTTTTAAAAGAATAAAATCCAAATAAGAAAAACATATCAATTAAATTTTCCCTTCCCTCTCAGACGGGCAAAGATGGTTCAGAATTTTTAAATGTACAGCCTTCACCATCAACACGACAAATACATGAATCAATACAGGTATTATAATCGTCTGTCGTCCGTCCCATTCCTATAGATGAATGCATAGTAATTTTTATTGCTTTTCGTTAAGTTTAATAGAAATTATTTAAAAAGATTTTCTTTAAAACTAAAACTACATTTTTCTTCTAGCCAACAAATACACTTGATGGAGATATTGTTCCAGAGCAAACACGTATTATTGCACCATCATCTCCGCCTACTGTTGATGTTATTAGTGATACAAAGTAAGTCAGTTTTTCTTTTGTTTGAATTATAAATAATAAAAATTATTTTAGTCAAAAAGATTTCTTTTTTATTGATGATTATTCGAATAAGAAAGTGTAAGATGGGAACTAAATTATAAAAAAAAACGCCAACGATTCTTTTTTCTATGAAATCGCTTCTTCTTTTATCAAAATTTTGAAAAAAAATGAACAAAAATTATTTTATTTCATATCTGTTTAGGTGCTGTTGTTTTTTTAATCGTCGTACAAGACATGCAAATAATAAACAAACGAGAAAATAAATGAACGAATATGGCATTAATTGCTTAAGAACAGTTTAACACATCAAATACGACGTGTAAGTTAAGAGAGAGAAAAAGGTTAGAAGGAACTCATGCTAAGAAAAAAAAACAATCGAGCATAATCAATCATTATTGCAATGGAGAAAAACAGCACGACCGTATGGTTCTATTCTTCTCATCGGAGGAGATCAAATATCGAAATTAATATATTTACTTCAGGCTATATTGATCTTCTATAACAGAAGATTATTTTCTTTAATGATTAAATCTAAAATCTAAATATTTCAAATAGTTATAACCACATCACATCAAAAGAATCCATTAATAGAAGATGTACTAGGAAAAATGTTAGTATATAAAAAACAACATCCTTCTTTCTCGTGTTGTTAGTCATTAAGTCAAGAGCTTCATGCTTCAAAGTTTTATCCTAGTTTCCTCATCGGATGTAGTACAATCCTTCCGGATTCGGGATAGATAAAAACATTGGTATAGTTATCATTCACGAAATACAAAATGAATTAAATCATTCGATCGGAAAATTTTTGTGAAATACAATTATAAATATAATTTGTTTTTTCGTTTTAGTGTTATGAAATCGGTTCTATATATCTTTGTATCTGCTCGTTTTCTTGTCTTTTCGTACAGTGATTTTGGCGTTGGTGAAAACTATAACGACACAAAATTCGCTGTTTATTCCTTCCAATCGGCACTATGGATAAATCTTGCCGTTGCTCTCTTTTGTTTGTTTGTTGTTATTGAGTGCGTGCGTGTGTGTGTGTGTGTGTGTATTATTGTATTTCAAATTATATCTTTTCTCTTGTCTACTGTGTCAACCTGCCCATTGTTAAAAACTTTCGCTTTATGCCTATTTTTCTCTTTCTCTTATTCTTTTGTTTTTTTGCTAGTGTCTGTGCTTGAGCGTGCTTTTTTTTAAGCGAAAAAAGAAACAAAAAAAAAAGAAAGATGAGATATTTTTTATTTATTATCTAAAAAGAAACCATCCTATTTAAAAAAAACAAAAATCCACCGAATAACATATTGAGAGAACAGTCTAGGTCAATTATATGTATATAAAAGACTGATAAGAACACATATATAAAACTCTTTATCAGAAAAAAATTACGATTTAGTACACATTGAATTTTCGAAAATAATGATGTGTTCTTAAATTTTTTTTTTTTGTCAATAACTTTTTTCTTTTCTTTTTTTTCTCTGTACTGATTCTTACAGACTTAAACTTTTTTTTCTCTCTTTATCTTTCACTTAACGTTCGTCATATTTTCCTTTATATTATCATTTGTTATGCGCTTATATGGTATGTGTGTGCGTGTGTGTATTGAGAAAAACAAAGAAAAATAAAGACATTAGCAGTCAAATATTGAAAAGAAAGAAAAAAAAAATACACATATTATTATTATTATTATTGTTGTTGTTGTTGTTTTGTTTAAAGGTTATTTATTTTGATAATGGATGAAAAGGAAGTTCCGAGTTTGGCTGAAATTCATATAGCAGCAAGTCATCTTCGTTCAATGTCACTTCCGATTACACCTATTTTAACAAGTTCAATATTAAATACATTAACAGGAAGAAATATTTATTTAAAATGCGAAAATTTTCAACGTACGGGTTCATTTAAAAGTCGTGGTGCACTTAATGCTGTACTTAATGCAATGAAAATTGATCCGAATTTAAAAGGTTTTGTTACACATTCATCAGGTAATCATGGTCAAGCATTATCATATGCTGCATCCATTGTTAAACGACCATGTGTTGTTGTTGTACCACGAGGTACGCCTAAAAATAAAACAGATGCTATTGAACATTATGGAGCAGAATTAGTTATTTGTGAACCAACACCAGCTAGTCGAACATCGACATGTTTACAAATTAGTCAAGAAAGAGACTTCTTGATTATTCCACCATTTGATCATCCAGATGTTATTGCTGGTAAGAAAATACTAAGCATATGATTTAACTCATTCTAATCTTTGTTAGGTCAAGGAACAATCGCTGTAGAACTTCTTGAGCAAGTGCCTGATCTTGATGCAATATTAGTACCTGTTAGTGGAGGTGGTCTTATAAGTGGTATTGCTCTATATGCTAAACGTATTAATCCAAATATTCGAATATTTGCTTGTACACCTGAAGGTAAAATGCTTGAAGAATGTTTGAATAAACAAGAACGTTTATGGCCTGAACCTCCTCAATTTCTAAATACGAAATGTGAAGGTATATAAAGAATATTTTCTTAAAAAATTTTCTATATGTTTTGTTTTTTTTAAGCTTGTCGTTTACAACAATGTGGATCACTTACATTTCCAATAATGTGTTCATTAGTTGAAAAACAAGTCTTCACAGTATCAGATAAAACAATGATTGATGCTACTCGATTTGCATTTGAACGACTTAAATTAGTTGTTGAATTAGCAGCTGGTTTATCACTTGGTGCAATTATTTCTCAATCTGATCGATTAGATTCAAATATTCGAAATATAGCACTTATTTTATGTGGTGGAAATATTGATTTGAATGAAAAATTGCCTTGGCAACAATAATAAAATGAATGATTTTTAATTATAGCTCTGTACATCTTCGAATGTTAGTTGTTGTTGTCGTCGTTGTTGTTGTTGTAGGTCTTGTTCGAGATAAATATTGATTAATAAATCGACGAAGAAGATAAAATGAATTTAAACGAGGATTATCTCCAATAACATCATTATCTCTTTCATCTTGTATACTTCGTCCTGTTCGAATACTTCGTTCTAATATTTTAATATAAGCTCGTCTGTTTTCATCAGATGTTGATGATTTTCGTTGTAAATCTAAGCAAGTTAGATTAAGATCATCTTCAGCATCATTTATTCTTTGTAAAGCTGTTATATAATAGGTTCTTTCTCTTCTTTTATGTAAATAACTAAAAAACAAAAATAACCAAACAAACAAAAAAAGAAAGGAAAAAAGAAAGGAAACTACATCTTTTTGACTAAATGAACTTACTGTAAAACTTTTGGTTGTACAGCACAAATTAATATAAATAAGCAAATTCCACAAATGGTTAATATTGTTACTGTAATAAGACTGACTGCAAAAACATCCATAAAAAACAATGAATGTCAACTATTGATACACTATATTTTCATCATCATTATTATCATCTGGCTACTAACATTATCCAAGTCTTATCAAATGTCATTCCAAATGGAGTCGTTAAAAGAAACAAGAGAAAGAGAATACATATGCAAGTAGCCCGGAAACAATGAACATCAAAGTAAATCAATACGAACTGAATGGTAATGATGGATGGCGGTTTTATCTCTTACTCGTTCTCTTGACATATGCAGAAACGATTTGCAACTATTGCAAAGTTTGGTTAACATACGTTCTTTCTCTTTGTTCGGTTCCGACACACTAGCTTTATTTTTGATCGAACGCCTGTTCGGGAAACACTGTCCGATATATAAAAGAATACTATTCATCGCCGTCAAATGAGAACGATCAATAAAAACACTTGCTTTGTCAACACAATGCAAATAAAAGAGAATCAAAACTGAGAAATGAAAGAAACAATAGAAAACCCTACAAGACAAATGTCAATATTGATGATGACTCGACAAAGGAAAAAGGATTTCTACTAATACTAATAGACATTGATTTTCTTGTTTGGTGCTCTTCTATCATATATATATATATATGTACCCATAAATATATGTGCGTGTTTGATAACCAATTGTTTTAAGTTAATTATTGCATGCCATAAGTCTTGTGAGGATAGACCTTGATTGAATGAATCTAGGCTAACTTTTATTTTGATAATTATTAAAATAAAATAAATTCATTATTTATAGTTTATAGCAAAAATATTTGTTTTGACATTATAAAGTCACTTGTCATATTTTAAACTATTCGTATTATTCTTAAAATTCTATTGAGAATAAATCTCAATTAGAATGTTTAAAAATTACTCATACGTATTTTTAATCGTATTACTTTTGAAATATTAACTTTGAAAAAATTTTAAATTTATCATAACATTCAATTCTTTTCAAGAAAAAAATAATTACATGAATTTTATGCATGATACTTATGCAAACATTCAATAATATAAATAAAACATATATATTCATTAGCATATCGAAACGATTTAAAATAATTATATAGATATACTTTCTTCCGATATTTATTCTTCAAAGAATAGCCTTTGGTATGCATTTCTTTAAGTATTTATCATACAACCGATAATCAATCAATAATAATTAGCTCCAGATGATATTGATATCACTTGCCTTTATATATATTCATGTCAAAGTAATTGATATTTATCGTTCATTTTCTTTTCTTTTCTTTTTTTGTATTAATCTAAATTCACTAAAAAGAAGAATACAGGATACTTAACATCGTTTATGAATATCTTAATGATTTAAATTTTATAATGCCCTTCTTCATGTCGCATTCTTTTTCATTCCTATCTATGTTAAATGAATATGAATAGATTCATCATTTCGAAAAAAGAAACTATCTATCTATCCACTCATTCTTTATATCAATCAATCGTATACATGTCGAGATTCTTTGCATAGTTGCTAATGGTCTCGCACAGTTGGAATTCCATTTTCTGATATGAATGATAGTTACTCATCGATTAAAACATATAGAAGAAAGTAAGTATATCTTTCATTTATTTATTTATTTATATACTCAACACGAATTGATCTTTATTTCGCATTTTTTCTCTTTTATAATCTGTCATAAGTAATTTAGTTTATGAATTATTTGACTTCCTTTTTGAAATAATAATAGGTAATGCATTAGATATTCTTTTGATATGTTCATCTGTCTATATTGTTAATTGTTAGAATAAGTGATCATTTTACAATTACTTGACGATAATAAGAAGACAATAGAACAAACTATAAGTGAAAAAAGTAAGAAAGTGAGTGAGAAGCTTTAAGCATCACACTGAATAATAGCAACTATATCATCTTCTTTTTTCTTGCTTCTTTTTTTCTTTATGTCGTCTGTCTGTCTGTCATTTGATGATGACAACGTTGTAGAGTGCCAAAGCGGAACCTATTTAATGTCTCTAATTGCTGCTCGAGTAACAACTCTTTCATACTTCCTCTCAAATTGATTGTGTGTTGTGAGTAAAAGAAAAAAAGAAAAAGAGACAAGTAGCAAAATAACATACACATAATGATGATGATGAGTTATATAGAAGAGATTAAAGAAGAAGAAGAAGAAGAAGAAAAAAAAGGTTACCACTTTATCTATATCTAGATTCAGGTACATGAAGAACACTTATGAAAAAAAAAAAAGATAAATGGTAAGACTCGATATAATTATTATCTTAATCGATGATTATATATGTTTAAGAGATGAGATTGAATGCATAAACTACAGCATCAATTATCATTAGTTCTTTTTTCTTCTTCTTCTTCTTCTCTTGTATATAATACTTCGCATGAATGATAATTGGAAATAATCATTATTATCATTTGACTCTCAATTAGTCAGTTTGACAAAGATAAATCCAAGAGCCATTAAACTTCTATATAACTTTCCACTTGGTATGCATTGAAAGCAAACGGAGCATTATTATCAACTTTTTTTCGTCCCTTGTACACCTAACAATTGTAATTTGACCTATATGAGTTTAGTAGTTAAAAAGAAGAAAAAAAAAGAAGAAAGCGAAGATGATGCTGATGATTCCTTTATGATTATTCTCGGTATGTGTGTCTGCTGAGTTTGACAAGTAAAACAATGTAAAGTGAAGTCAGATATGACAAGAAAGATAGACCGTTTTTGAATGATATAAAATGAGAAAAATGTATTAATTAGTTGTTAATTGATTGGTTCATTAGTATATTTTACTACTTCACCAATCAAAATACGAACCGGTAGGTATCTCAATTTTTTCTCTCTCTCTTTCTCTTTCAACATTCTTTAATTCTATCTTATCTTTCTTTCATATATATACATCTGATAATTTGTTAATCGTCTAAATAAAAGCTAACACGTTTGCACAAAGTGCTCAACACTTAATACAATTTTCTTCAGATACTTTTCCATTGACAATCATGAATATGTTACCAATATCAACAAATGATTTCTATCAACGATATTTTTCATCTATAAATATGTTAGCAACAATTCAAAGAACAAAAAATAATAGAATATCAAGTTTTTATATTAATGATATACTTGGTGATTCAAAAAAGACTTCAACAATTGATTGTTGTCATTCAATTTTAACGAATGAACAAGGAGATTTATTAATAAATAGACAGAAGAAAAAAAAGAAAAAAGCACGAACTACATTTACAGGTAAACAAATTTTTGAACTTGAGAAAAAATTTGAAGATAAAAAATACTTATCATCAACTGAACGTGCTGAAATGGCGACATTACTTACTGTTACAGAAACACAAGTTAAAATTTGGTATGTTTCATAGATGATTTTATTTTTTAGATTTAAAACAAAATATTTTTGTGCTTGTTAGGTTTCAAAATCGTCGAACAAAATGGAAGAAGACAGAAAATGTATCCAATGCAGAAGCCGCTGAACATAAATTAGGCACACGGAAAATGTCATCAACATCATCAGCATCATCATTTGATCATAATCAAAAACAAGTTGTTCAATTACCAACTAGTGATAGTACGAGTAGTAAAAGTAGTACTTGCAGTTCGACTAGTTCTCATCAAGGTGATGAACAATCATATGATACATCACTAAGTTTACTTTATTTTAATCCTTTTACACATTTACTTCAAAAATCATCATCATCAACAATTAATGAACGTTCTTGTTCTATATCATCATTCACATCATGTCCTTTATCAAAACATGAAGATTATCATTGTTTATCTTCTTGTTCTACACCTATAAATGATATTGTTGACGATTGTAAAAAAAATGAAAATTCGACATTAGAATCTCCGAATGATTCCAGATGAAAATATTTCTTCGATGTATTTATCTTTTAAATTTTGTCTTAATAAATATTTAGATGTACTTTTTCTTTTGTTTAATATTTGTAAATAAAACTATCATATAAATCTTTTAAATTCCATGTTATATCCCAAGATGTACATAATGGTTGATAATATTTCTCATCAGGTGCATAAAGCTTTCGATGATTCAAATAATTTACACGACCTTCAAGTTCTTTACTTGTACCGTTATATAAAAGATAACGAACTGATGGTTGAATAGGATACATTGGTTTGCTACATACATCATTTAATTGAAATGTTACAATTTTTTGTTTTAATTGCAATATTTCATTATCAAGTTTTGTTTTTTTCTCTGGCGAAGGTTTGTTCAAATCAAAAAGTCTATGACGTCGTTGAGTAGCTTTAATTAGATCATTTTTATATAACCTTCGATCAAACCATGAATTAGAATTATAATCATGGGTGTTGATATTATAAATAGATTCTTCACGTTTATTATAGGTTTTACCATTAATTGGCGGCGGCCAATTATAGTGTTGTTGAGATATCTCATTTTGATACCTTTTCCATGCTTGAATACGTGTGCGAGTTTCACGTAAATATAATGATTCAAGTTGAAGATTTTTCACTTGTTGTGAACTAACGCGATCGTTAGAATTATTTGATTTTGTTTTCATTTGATGAAGGAAATATGTAACTAGGAGAAAAATCTATGTGCATAATGCAAATATAATAATCGTTTTGATTTAAAATCATTACGGATGTCTTAAATTCATTCAATGACAATGTAAGAGTAGGAAACTACCAATTGTTACTTCAATTCTATATAAGAGAACCTGAAATTTCTTTCTTATTCATAATCATTTCTAAAAAATCAATTGTCTTCAATCACAAAATAGAAAAATTAGTTTCTGCAAAGAATTCGACTTCAAAATGCATTGCAGAAAAAATCAAAACTAGGATATTGCCAAGGTCTGTCATAAATATATGTAAATTGGGAAAAGGGGAAATTACCAAGATATAACGCGACATTACAACATGTAGTAAAAACAATTTTTTGCGTTATCTTATTTTTCTTTAAATATTTAAGTGTAAGAAAACAAATAGTAGGAAATATAAGATTAGTACATTAACTCTCCTCGGATATAGTTACGCTTATAGTAAATATAAGTGTTTAGTAATGAAGTATATCTTTTTCTTTATCTAACTAATTTTATTATTTAACATTTTAATATATTATGTTTTGTCTAGCAGCGCTAACTATTGAGACAATAACTTGATTTTAAAAGAGGTCGTTGCCTCTTTAAAGTGCAATGTAATGGCAATATGAAAAAGCTGTAACTATTAACTATAAATATATATATTTAATTGTTGCCTGTTGTTTTATCAAGAGATGTCTGACGCAGAATCTGAACACGATGAAGGCGCTGAAGAAGTAGAAGATGAAAATAAATCAGGTTTGAAATAGATAATTTTTTTATTTATAAAATTAATTTCTTTTTGTAGAAAATGAAGGTGAAGAAGAAGAAAAATCTGAACATGGCGAAGAAGAAGCTCAAGAAGAGGTAGAAAAATAATTTATAATTCTTTTCAAAATTTCAAGTTCTAGTTTAGGCTCGAGAAGAAGTTCCATTAACGGATGAAATTATTGTACAATCACTATCATTATTGGCTAAAACGGGAAATGGTCTAGCACATGCGTATACTCGATTTGAAGCAACAAATCGGTAAAAATGCAAAAAAAAAGAGCAATATTTCTTATTAAATAAATTCATTTTCTAGAAATTTAACGGATATAACTCGTCTTGAACCATTTGTTCATTTACGTTTTGTTGATTTATCAAATAATGGCCTTCGTACAATAACATCATTGAGTCGTTTGAAATTTTTATTAACACTTAAATTAGATGCAAATGAATTATCATCATTTGATTTACCACCATTTCCATATTTACAAACACTTCGTTTAAGTGAAAATCGTATACGATCTATGAATGGAATTGAACAACCAAGATTAGAAATACTTAATCTTAATCGTATATATTTTTTCTTCTAAGAAGCAAATAAATTTATCTTTTTTTTTGTTTTCAGAAAACCAAATTGAAAGTTGTGAAGGTCTTGATCAAAGTAAATTACCAAATTTAATGACACTTGAATTACGACAGAATCGTTTAACAACAACGAAAGGATTATCGTTACCTAATTTAAAAAATTTATTTCTTGTATATATTATTATTTGTTTATTTATTTATTCGTTAATTTATTTTTATTATTTAGGCAGCTAATGAAATAACAAAACTTGAAGATTTAACTGAATTAAGTCGATTAACATTACTTCATTTACGTGATAATAAAGTTGGAACATTAGATGGTTTTAGTGAAAATATGAAACAATTGCAATATGTCAATTTACGGTAATTTAGAAAGAAAAATTTCGATATAAATATTCATTTGAAATTTTAGTGCGAACGAAGTTACTGATCCAGAAGAACTTAAAAAATTGGCTGTATTACCTATGTTAAGAGCACTTGTTTTATTAGGTAAGTTAATTAAACAGAAAAAAAATTGATTTATTCTAAATAAATACTTTCTTATTAGAAACACCTTTATCCGAAACTGATTCATATCGAACAGACGTATTAGTAGCACTTGATAAACTTGAACGGTAATATTTCGATTATCTTTTTCTTTTTCTATTTCAAATTCGTTATTTTAATAGATTGGATAAAGATCAATATGATGAAGATGAAAGAGCTGAAGCAGATGATGAACGAAAACGTCGAGCTGAAGAAAGTCAAGAAGTATGATAATCCAATAAACAAAAAAACTTTAAATTATATATATATTTTCTATTGATTATATTTAGGCAGCAACAGAAGATGGTTCAAAAGCAGGAGATGCTACTGAAGGAGGAGACTGAACTTCTTTTTTCATTTATGCATGTAGTATCAAAAGAAATCTTTTTTTACATTTAAATAAATCATTTGTTGAAATGATATTCTTCTGTAACTTGACTGATGATATATAGTTTATTATATATAATATAAAACATCGAATATATACTCATACATGCCACCTTCTTTGTTGACATTTTTTTTATTATTTATTCAAAATGAAATTTTTGATTTTTATTGTCTACATTGGAAATAAAGAAAATTGATTCATAAAATAACAATAATGAATCCCTTAAAAACTTTAAGATAAGTCTTATTGAATGAGTGTACAAAGTTTCGAAAAAAAGTCAACCAAACTAAATCATATTAAATAATCGATCAAATTGAGAAAGAATTGCATAAAATGACAATCCGACAGTTTTCTATTAATGCAACAATTGACTTTAGTCTTAATTTGTTTTCTTTATTCATACTATTATTTTATAATTAAATCAATATTTGAACAACGCAGTCTACATAAAATCAAACTATATCTTTTCCTTAGTTTTTAAAAGAAAGGATCCGGAAGTGTTTTCATAAATTACAAAATTAAATATATATCTGTTAGTTGTATTCATATAAATTCCGGATTGTTTTGAAGTATGATTATAGACTTCGACTAAGATGTTCCATGCTATTAAAACCACATATAGTCATTAGTATTATTCTGTGTCGTTTTTTAGCACGACTATTCGTGTATTTTATTTCATTTTCTATATCAGTTCACATGAGGAAATCATATAATATAAATCTCTTATTTTTCGATTTTAGGTCGGTCTGCCTTGATTTTTGGGGTTTTGTTTTTCTTCGTCGATCGTTTTATGCCAGACAGACGTGCTGATCAAAGTAAAACTCCGAAGACTCCGTTTTGTGTTTAGTTTCGATAGAGCTAATTATAAATTTCATATCTCAATAATTCGATTTCATCGCTTAGTTTTTTATTATTAATAATATTCGGCACGATTTGCCTTGAACTACTTTCTAAAAGATATTAACTATGAGTAAAACTCATCTCAATTATTGCCTTGTATTGAACATTAAGGCCATCGCTAAAAGCTTTTTGTATACCACAAATTTCGTTTAAACTTCAGCATTCTTTCGAAATATTAAAATTTCTTTTTGTACCATAAAATGTGTACTCGGAAATGAGATAAGACACATGCTTAGAGAGATTTTTGCAAAAACTTAATATCATTGAGTCAATCAATCAATCAATCATTCGATTTGATAAAAGAAAATAGAATCAGACAACATCGAATGGATGTAACTAGATAGATAATTAGACCAAGGCAAAAAGAAGAAGAAGTACTAGAGGGCATATAGAATGAGTAAAGTAATTTTTTTTGAACAAGTCAACATGAAAAATAAGACTGAAGATGTTGACTATTATCTCAAGATGAGAGAAAGATACCGTCAATACAAGGCAAAGATGAACATTCAATGGCTATTTGTAATGAAGGTGAAAACATATTCGAACTTGGTTTGTACATTTACATATATATATATATGTATATGATATCAATCGATTTCGTAATCTTTAACCTTTGCCAATAAAGACATGTTCTATATGTAATGTGAAGAACAATCAAAAGAAGTGTATGTATCCAAAGAAAAAATATTCGATTACCGAAACGATTCAATAATGATCAAAGAAAAAGATATATACAATAAATTTTTATCTTTACTTTCTTTTCGTGTTATATTTATATAATAAAAAAACGAAAGTGTTATAAAGTAAGTATAATATTTGTTTGAAAAATAATTAAAAATAAATAACAAAATGTCTTTTTCGAAAATGTGTGAGAGTTCAATTACATGATATAATAACGAACTGTAATCTTGATAATAAAATGTGCTCATGCTTTTAGCACTCTACTAAGACAAAACATCTATTCTTTCGTAAGTATATTATATGATCATACTTCTTCTTCTTCGTTATAATATAAAAAGCATGATGAACAACAAGAAAAAGGAATTACTTATTGAACATCTTTTCCTCTTATTTTTTTTTGTCTAAACGAAAGAGACATTCACCTTCTGTAGTTAGTTCCCAAAAAAAACAGCAGTCGATGATAGATCGATTATTGACAATTCTGCAAATGGTCAGTCGATCGATCAGATGCTAATTGTCATTTATTATGTTATTCCACTCGTACATCATCCATTAATATTCCGACTAGACGATACAAGATATTTCGATGATAGATTATAACAAAAAGAAAGAACGATATTATCTCTCGTTTTCTTTTCTTTTCTTTTTTTCCTTCTTTGATTCTTGAAGGTTGTTTGATATGACATTTTTATCAGACAGTAGTAATATAGAAAGTGTACCTGCAGGTTAAATGAACTGATGAATTTAATAACCTTATTGATTGACACTATATGGATAAGAGAAATAACATACAATTGATGTTATTTCAAGGTCAATTCAATCATTCATATATGTACACTTAAAAACGCGAGAAACGAAGAAAAGTAATGCACCATTAGCTGTCTATATGTATATGATTGACAGAAGCAACAGTATTCGAGTAGAGAGTTAAAACGAAACACAAAAAAAACAGAGATTATATTCCAGAATATAGAAAAACAGATTATCACTTTTTTTTTGTTTTCATTCGATTTATTCATGAATTAAGATTTATGGTTGGTTGAAGTTTAATTTAACTGTCAAAAGATTTATTTACAGATGATGTTCAAGATTATACTCTTGTTCTTCTTTTCAAGAATCATGCTTACTAATTTTATGCATAATAAATACTGTCATATATGTGTAATTTGAGTTCTTCACTACTGACTAGTAATAATAGAAATATCCTTTTCTTTTTTTATCAAATTCAAGGTTATTTGACTTGTAAGTACTTGTCGTCGTTCAACATATCTTTAATCAATGAGAATACTGTTCTTTTCAATATGCTAATAAGTATTCATTATTCTTTAGTTTAAAATGATCTTCTTCTTCTTCTTCTTTTGTAAGCAAATGTATAATTAAAAACTTTATAGATTGAATAGTTTCGATGATGTTATAACACTTTATATATAAGATGAAGAAGAAGAAAAAAAAAGAGAACATCATAATGTCACAGATGTTGTTGAAGATAAAAAATATAGTCAATTCTTTTCTAGTGTTGAATATATTGAACAGTGATGAAATATATAAGAAAGTTTATTGCCTCTTGACGAATGTAGCAGCCGTGTAAGCGTCACGGTTACATCATACATACATATATGTATATGAACTTAAATAATTTTCTATGGGAAAGTCATGATTCTATTCAATGGCACCATGTGTTGACCAATGATGACGCTAACTAATACAGAAAATGTTTTAAAGAGATTATACTATGTCTAATTCTACTAGATATGTGTATGTGCGTGCATGAGTATTGTATATTATATACACATGTCTATCTACATTTTTTTTCACTCTTTTAATACATGTACGTGTTGAATAGATACATGTTTAGAATAGAATGTCTTCTCTTCTGATGAACAAACATAAATGTAAGTATCTTTAAACATATATGAAGGTTGACCGAAACCATATATTTCTAACAAGCTTAAATCAATCAACATAATGATGATGATCAAAAAGACCGTCGTCGTCACATAATTTCAATATGTCTAATTTTATCAAGTGGCATCCTGGAGTGAATATTGAATTTCTTTTTTTTTTCTCTGTCGTAGTAACTTTTTTTTTTCGAAGTGTCTAGTTAATTTTCGTTTTTGTATAGTATGCCACTTGATCATTTTCTTCAAATAGAAATGAACGATTGAATATGTAGATAGAAGTAAGCAAGAAAGAGAGAAGAGAGATGGAGGGAGAGAAAGAAAAGAAGAAATGAGAGACTTATGATTATTCTTGATCGAGAAGAGAAGAAAAAAAAAAGAAAAGAGAACAAGCGAGTGAGTAGTCTTAAATAAACTTACTATTGTTGAAGATGAAATTCGTTCACTCAGAAAAAATTAATGATGTCTCAGGTAAATACATTAAAATTTTTCTTATTGTCATACGTCAGTTACGTGCTTGATCTTAAACAACATCTTCATATTTCGTTTGATAGTTACTTTGCACCTACATGCATATATATATATATATATAAATAAAAATCTTTATTTGCATAGAAATGTATAATAGCTATCCTCAATTTCTTTTCAGTCTAGTAAAAGATCTTCCATCTACACTCGTCATTTCCGCTTGTCAAACTATGTCATTCCTACAAGGCTAAAATGAGAGAAAGGAAAAGAGAAACGATTCACATAATCATGTCTTGATTTTTCTTTTTACGTCGAAAACTTGAATAAGAAAGTAGTATACATTAAGTGAATAAAATGTGTGTATGTGTTAATCACTGCTTGTGTGCATGATTGAATTTCGAGTATTTCATACAATTACGAGTAATGTTCAAAACTGACCCTTAAGTGAAGAAAAGAAAGTAATGTATGTATGTTTGTGTTTCTGACTGCATCTTACAGGTGAAGATTCAAAGTGACCGATTCAATTCGAGCATATACATATTGAATTAGATATGCTTCTTCACTCCTATAAAAAACATAACATGATCGATGGTCATGTCAGGTTTCCGTCAGATTAGAATCTATTTAACACCTGTTCTTAAACTAAGGTGTGTATGTGTGTGCTTCATTAAAATGTATATCATATAATAGAATGCCTATATTTCTAATTGATTAAAAAAAAGAAGAATGGAATGAAATGAATTTTATTTTATTTTAAGATATTCAATAAACAATTAGTATAATGATAAATAATTCATTAATTTTATTTATTCTTATCCTAACAACATGTATTCTTTGTGATCCTATTGAATTATCTGAGATAATTATACGTGAACATACACCAATAGGTCATTTATTAGTAACATTAAATACAACAACTACAAAATTACGAAATTCATATCGATTTGTTAGTAATAATCATCGTGAAATTCAACGATATTTTTCATTAAATTCTTCAACAGGTGAATTACGTATTGCAATTGATATTGATCGTGAGATAATTTGTACACATCGACGTATACAATGTAAATTTTTATTAAAAATTTTTGAATTATTCAATGAAAAATTATATCATATACCAATATTAATCGAAGATATTAATGATCATCGACCTATATTTCCATATAAAACATCACCAATTGAATTACATATATCAGAAAATTCACCACCATATCAATCAAAATTATTTATTCAACAAGCATATGATCAAGATCAACTAGATAATCAAAAACAATTAAAATATCAATTAAAAAATTTCGAAAAAAATTTTCCATTTATTCTCGAAATAAATGATGATCTATCAAATCGTTTAGCACTTGTTCTTATTCAATTACTTGATAGAGAAACTATTGATTCATATAATTGTACATTATATGTTACTGATACCGGTGGTCATGAAGAAAAACTTCATATGAAGATTATCATTGATGATGTCAATGATCAATCACCAATGTAAATTCTTAATTAAAATTAGAAACCAAAAAATTTTATGTTTTATTTTTAGTTTTGACAGTGAGACATATTCAATTGAATTATCAGAAAATACATCAATAAATACAACTATTCTTCGTGTTCATGCTTATGATGCTGATATTGGTTTAAATGGACAAATAACATATGATTTTACAGATGCATCAAAACAATTTAATAATATATTTTCTATTAATAATGAAACAGGTCTTATTCGTCTACGTTCATCACTTGATTATGAACAACGTTCATCCTATATATTCTATATTGAAGCACGTGATTCCGGCAAAGAAATACGTTCATCTCAAACACTTATTAATATCACAATTTTAGATGAAAATGATTGTTATCCAATAATAACATTTCGTTTTCTATCCGAATTAAATTATAATTCAACAAATGATGTTATTGAAATCTCGGAAACATATCCAATTGATAAATTTTTTATCCAAATTCTTGTTACTGATCAAGATAGTTTATTAAATGGCCAAGTTAATCTATGGTATGAAATACTTGATGAATATAATCCAACAAAAAATCATTCATTTAATTTATATCAAATTGATAATTCAACATATTTTTTAAATCGTACGAAATCATTTGATTATGAATATCAACAAAAATATTATTTAAAATTTTTTGCACAAGATTTAAATCCAAAAAAACCATTACAAACAATTAAATATCTAACAGTCAATATTCTAGATGAAAATGATAATATTCCACAATTTCTTCATTCATTTTATCATTTATCTGTTTATGAAAATAATCAAATCAATACAATATTAACAAAAATTGAAGCCTATGATTCTGATAATGGAAATAATGGTCGATTAAAATATGAAATATTAACAAATGAAACCTTATTACCATTTGATATTGATTCCGATACAGGTTTTCTTCGTTGTTTAGAAATATTTGATCGTGAAAAACGTTCCTATTATCATTTTGAAATAATCGTACGTGATTATGGTTATCCAATAAGTTTATCAAATAAAATACCGATTGAAATTGATATTAAAGATATCAATGATAATAAACCAATATTTGAACATGAAAAATATAATTTTTCAATTGAAGAAAATTTTCCGAAATTAAAATCATTTGGAATCATTCGCGCAACTGATCAAGATTTAAATACAAATTTAATATATCAAATTGAAAAAGAAACAAAATTTGGTATTAAAGAAAATGGGGAAATTTATCTACGGGATTCAATTGATAGAGAAATTCAAGATCAATACAATTTTATTGTTACTGTTGGTGATAAATTATTTCAAACATCGGTATCAGTTCATATAGATATATTAGATATAAATGATTGTCAACCACGATGGATAAATCCATCGGAAAATCGAACTGTTTATGTTCTTAATAAGGATGTAATATCAATTGGTACAAATATTCTTAAATTTGATGCGATTGATTATGATGATGTAGCAAATGGTAATGGGTTGATAAGTTATTTTATTGAAAATAAATATGAATTTTTTGATATATGGAATAATAATGAATTAATATTAAATTCTACACCGAACATAGGAGAATATCGTTTGAAAATTTATGCACAAGATCATGGAAAAATGATACAATATGCAACATTAATTGAAATTTATATATTTATTGGAGATAATCATACAAATGGAAGTTTATTTTATGAGAGTTTTTCGAAGATTAATTCTCTATCAAGTATAAAACGTATTATTTTATTTTCAACTTTTTTTCTTTCGATTATCTTTATTCTTATATTTATTATTTGTATTGTTATTATAATGATATGTCGATATAAAAAACAGAAATATTTATATTATATTAAATGTAATCATCAACAAAAAATGACAATGATAGAAAGTCGTTTAACACGTTCAAGTTCGAATTCATCGAAATTAAGTTTGGTAGGAGAGAAACAAGAAAAAAACAATTTAATTCTATTGCATGTTATATTATTATTTTTTCTTCTTCTAGGAAGATCTTCATCAAAAACATTTCATTGATCATTCATCATCACCTTCATATACAGGTAATTAACATCGCGTGTATAGACTCTCTACCTTGAACGAAACAAGTCAATAGGAAAACAATGGATTAGAATTTTGTAAAGCAGAAAAAAAATTATCCTTTCTCACGCAATAGTCTCACATAGAGACATATTTATCAAATGTCTTTTATATTCGAATAAGTATCAAATTGTTTTATAACATTAAATAAAGAGATTGACCATTATCTTTTGTCTCTCGACATTGAACAGAAGAGATCAATAAAAAAAACGTTTTTTTTTCTTCTATAGGTGCAAATATCTATAGTCAACATCATCAAATCTCATCAATCATACAACCAACACAAACAACAAGTGATTATTATAGTAATAGTAGCAAGCATGAAGAAGGTTAAATATTTGTCTTTGATCTTTCATTTAAAAATGTATCGTTTTTTTTTCTTCTCATTGTATTACAGACGTTGATGAATGGACTGATGAACAACAACGATTAAATATCAATAATAATGATACTGAATGGTCAATTGAAAAAATTCTTTATCCTGATTGGTTATATAAAGATATAACAACGACGACGACAGCAACATCATCAACAGCAAGATTTCCAAAAAAACATTTAAATACATCGACATTTACAGAATTTAACTCTTGTCAAACATTTGCAACAAATGAAAGTGCATTGAGTAGTTCAAGAAGTGGAAGACGAACAATATCATCAAATAGTCAACCATCACCGAAACAAGTTCGATTTGGTTGTCAAGATCAAATACGTTCATATCCACATTTAAATACAACTATTCGACAATTAAAAACAGGAACAACGACAACCATTTCAAACAATGAAGCACATCATACATTCATATAATTATTATACGTTGTTTATATATATATATATCTATATGTTTTGATTGTTAAAACTCATTCTTTCTTTTTTTTTTTCTTTTTTTTGTCTTTGCTGCAGTTTTTCATTTCGGTGTCTCTTTATTAACATGATAAAGAGAGAGAAAAATATTCAATACAAAATTCCTATACGTTATTATTTTATGACAGAATTTCATAAAAATTTTAATTAAATACTCAAACATAATATTCACATCAATGAAAAATATTATATTGGGAAAAAAGCTTTAAATAGAACATATGATTGATATGGCCATGTGATTTATTTTTTCTTTTCTATGGATTAATCGTAATAACAAAAGAACAATAACAGATGAATAATATCAAATTTACTTCCGTTGTACAAAAACCGAATTAGTCAGCTTATTACGATATATGAAAATCATATGATTGTTCTTATAATAATAATACAGTGGCGGATTTAGGCGGGGGGCAATCACCCCCATCGTCCTTCCCCTTCCGAATTCTTTTTTGATTTTTTACAGCAAAAATGAACGAAAAAATAGGTTCACACTACTTCGATTGGACTCAAAAAATAGATTTCAGCCAAAATCGCTCCCCCCCCCCGGGCATCGCCCCTCCATACTCAAAAGAAATCGTCCCCCTTCCAAAATCCTAGATCCGCCACTGTAATAATATCTGCAATGCTAATCATTAACTTTGAGTAGAAAAATGTCAATAATATTATGTTTAAAAATACTGATTATTACAATGTAGTTATTTCATAAAATTAAAGTTCTCTGATATAATCAAAGTATTTATACCAGTCATTTTAATAAAAGTAAGCAGCTCGAAAAGTTACTATTGAAAAAATGCATTACGCATTCATAATGAAGTTTATTTATATACATTGAAACTATGGTATTTATTATTACAAAAAAAATATGTAGATTAAATGATAATATTACCAACAGAAATAAACTGAAAATTTGATCGATTTAAATTCATAGCATCTATTTTATATATTCGTTTGTTAGTTATCATTTAATTCTATACTGATCAAATAATCATATTTCATCTTATCTTTATATAAAACTGATCTTTCGACTTTTACATGTACTGTGTAATATATGGTTTACGTCGTGAAACGTATTTTTATATAAAAAAAAGTATACCGAATGCTTTCAACTGCTGCATATATACATAAAATACACAAAAAAAACGAGATAGTAGAGTCATATTCTCTTTTCATTCTTTTTTTTGTGTACTTTCTAGTATACGAAAAAAAAAGTACAATAGATTGCAGGCGTTAGGCAAGTAGGTGGTGCACCCACGCACTGAGCGCATGGCTAACTATGAAATCAAACCTTGACGAAAACTAACAATATATCTATCGAAAGAACAAACATAGATTAGTAGCATATTCAAATTTATAGTTTAAAAATGACGAGCAACGGTCATACGAATGGACACACATCAGTACGTAAAATTAATTTCGGTGCAGGACCAGCTCAATTACCACTTGAAGTATGTTTTCTAACTTGAAAATTATGTATTATTAAAATATGAATTCGATTTGTTAAGGTATTGGAAAATATTCATACAGAATTTTTAGATTATAATGGAACCGGCGCTAATGTTATGGGTATAAAGAAACGAATCGTTTTATATAAATCCTAATCCTTTTTTTCTTGTTATTATCTACAGAACTTAGTCATCGATCAACAACTTTTGATAAAATTATTCTAGATACTGAACGATATATTCGTGAAATTTTGTAAGATATTTATTTATTTTTTGTTTTTGAATTCGAACAGTTTTACTTTAGAACTATACCGGATTCTTATGCAGTTCTTTTCTTACAAGGTGGTGCTACAGCTCAATTCAGTGCAATTCCAATGAATTTCCTTAATTTAAAACCATCAGCAACAGCTGATTATCTTGTTACAGGCTATTGGTCAGAAAAAGCCGCTAAAGAAGCTGAAAAATTTGGTAACATTAATTTAGTCGTACCAAAAACAAGCAAATATCAAAGTAGAAATGATTATTGTTTCTTTTTTATAATTCTTTATGCATTTTATCTGCTAGGTGTACCAGCTGAAGATACATGGAAATTAACAAAAGATCCATCTTATTTTTATTATTGTGCCAATGAAACAATTCATGGTATTGAATTCGAAGATATTCCTTCAATTATACCAAAAGATGTACCTATTGTTTGTGATATGTCATCCAATTTTTTAACACGACCTTTTGATATTACTAAAGTAATAAGAACTATTCTCTCAATGATATTTAATAATATTATCTTTCTCTTAGTTTGCTATTGTCTTTGCTAGTGCACAAAAAAATTTTGGTGCAAGTGGTCTTGTTCTTGTCATCATAAGAAAAGATTTAGTTGAACAAAATACAAATAAATCAATACCAATTATTTTAGATTATAAAATACATATGGCTAATGGATCAATGTATAATACACCACCAACATTTCCGTAAGAAACAGAATAGATTATTCTTTTTCCCTTTTCATCCTGATGACGAAACGAAATTAGTTATTTTTCGTAATGTAAACATCAATCATTTCTTCTTCCTATTATTTAGTATGAATAATTTATCCTATATGGACTGTGTAGGATGTACTCTAGCCATCGTAAAGGCCGTTGTGCACTTTACATTAGATAGAACGCATATAATTTAGTTATTGATAAGCAAAATTCACGATAGTTTATATATCACATACTCTCAGTTAGGATTAGATAAAATATGAGGTCGTCTGTTCTGTGCATGATACTATTATTTAGTAAAGAAACGAAAGTTTCGTTTTTTTTGTTAACTAAATATTTGAGGCGAGAGCGACTATGTGATAAAAACCTGTTAGTCAAATAATTTGAAGGATCACTTTTTTTGTATCATATAGAATTGAATGAAAACTATTTAATATTTGAAAACGGATATATCACCTAGAATTTTTCACGTAGATAATTTTAAATCATCTAGATCCTTTGGTATACTGTTGGTGTAATACAGGAGCGTGTAGGGTGTTGCGCCCCCCTGCTTTTAGAACTTGAAGTACTGAAGTTTTGCGCCCTCCCTGACTTGGAGACCTCACTACGCTCCTGGTGTAATATCTGTATTAATACTCTACTAATCATGGTCTCAGTACCTATCTAAAGTGTCTATTTAATTATTTAGAATTTATGTTGCAAATAAAATGTTTGATTGGACTAAACAACAAGGTGGTTTAAAGGGAATGAATCAGCATTCAGAAAAAAAATCTTCTCTTGTTTATGAAACAATTGATGAATCTAATGGTTTTTATGTAAATTCTATCGAAAAAAAATATCGTAGTCGTGTTAATATTCCATTTCGTATTTTAACAAATGGTGTTGAAAATGAAAAACTTGAATCATTATTTCTTAGTGAAGCAATTAAAGCAAATATGATTGAATTAAAAGGTCATCGTGCTGTTGGTGGTATTCGTGTAAGTCTTTACAATGGTATGACACCAGAAGAAACAAAAAAATTGACGAATTTTATGCGTACATTTCAAACAAATCACAGTTAAATACAACATATAGTTTTATTATTGTGGCTTAGGTTATAGTACAATAAAAAAAAGATTTTTTTTCTAAATTATGAACGTGAACGTGTTTTCATTGTTAAATAACGTTGTAATTCCTAAAAAGATAACGATTTTGTTTTCTATTTTATCAATAAAAGCTAAACGATTATACTTACAGCTATTTTCTGTTCTCGCATTGCATCGATAGAAGCATCAGCATATTGAGGATCACGACCATAATCTTGCATTAATGATGGATCACGTTTTTCAACCTTTATTAAAAATGGTATATATATATAGATTAATGAAATAAAAATATCTTTACTTCTTGAGGAAATCGTTTGCAATATGCAGCTCTCCAAACAGCTAATGGTGTTCTGAAAAACAAACCGAACTTTATAATAAAAAAAGAGATAATGTAATGTAATTACTGTTCTTTTAAATCACCAAGTTCATATTCAGGTATAGGTGGCGGACCGACTTGTTCTAATGTATCACTACCTGATTTAATATATAATGGTTTTTGATAATCTATCTGTGGTTGTTTTCTAATAGAAGATAATTCAATATAGAAATAAAACGAAATATTTCGATTCCTTTTCTTTACTCAGGTAAATTTGTATCGAATAAGAGATGATGAATAGCTGATTTCAGGTATACACTTTCTTGTTTTTCACTATAAGACTATAGAAAAACAAATAATATTCATATGATGTATTAGTCTATGAAAATAATACCAGTAATGTTGCACCATGATAAAACGCAAGAAAACGAAGAGTTTTAATAATCGTTTTTTTCGCTTCTGGTTCCAATTTCTAATAGAGAGAACAAAGCGGAAGTAGAAAATTTATAATAAAGATTTAATTACTTGAAATTCATCATATTTTGATCCAACTATTAATAATGGTATACGAAGTGGTTCAACATCATTTTTATTCTAAATAACAAAATTTGGTTAACAATATCTTAAGAAAGATTTTTGATTAACAAACCGCCTTGCCAATACGTTGAGTAATAGATTCTTTAAGTTTATCTTTAATATTCGGATTTTGTTTTGCTGCTTCATTAATACAATGTTTTACTCGTTTAGCTATTGCATCATATAAAGTTTCATATGTATACCATAATTCTTGTTCTTTAGAAAGATCAAGTACAAGTACAACAGATGCATGTCTAATAAATTAAACCAAAAAAACTATAATTAATTGTATTTTATGATACAATAAATATTTACTCAATTGTTTCAGGTGTAAGAACAACATCAATTAATTTAGTAAGAAAAGTTCCATCACCTAATTCCCATACATGACCAATATCTTTTCCTACCTATTGAAAGTAATGTAAAATAAAAAAGAAAAGAATTCGTTCTTACTGTATCGGTTGTTTTCGGCTTTTTGGCATAATTATATTCAAGTGCAATAGTTGGTTTAGCTGTTTCGCTTGTTCTAAAAAGAAAAAGTAAGACATACAACTTACTCGATCTATATCTAAACTATAGGAATGATAAAAATTTATTCTATCCGCATGTATACGTATCTATTACTAGGATATTAATTCAGTGGCGGATTAAGGGGTGGGCGATGGAGGCGATCACCCCCTCTTCAGAAATTGTTTTTGATTTTTACAGTAAAAATCAACGAAAAAATAGATTCACACTACTTCGATTGGACTCAAAAATTGTTTTTAGCCAGAATCGCTCCTCCCTTCAAAAATCCTAGATCCGCCACTGTATTAATTATAGTGCGTATGTAATTTTAATGACATATTAATAATGAAAGTAAAGCGAAAATCTCGAAATTTTTCTTTGAACGGAATAATTTCAATAAATACATAACAAACCTTTCTAAATATCGCAGAACCATTGTTGATTTACCCTAAATATCAAATATGTTAATAACTATATAATATAAATATATAAATTATTTTACTCCACTTCGACTTCCAACAAAAAGTACAGTATTCGATACAGTCGGTAATGTTTCAGCTAATAAAAAAAATAAGAAAATATAATCACTCATATTCTATTAAACTGTACCTTGTTCTCGACTTGCAACAATATCTCTAGCAGCATCCCATAAAGATTTTCCACTACCTCTATATAAATAAATATATTATTCATAACTAAAAAATATTCGATTTACCCTAAATCTGTTTCTTGTTTTCTTTGTCCACCATAAAAATCATCATCATGTCTAAATAAAGAATAAATTGATTTTATTCATTATATTTTTAATCTAACTTTTTATTTTCATCTTCATCTCTTTCATCGTTTTGAGTTCGTCGTGGCATATTTATTTTTAAATAAATTTTTTCTTAATATTCAATATCAAATACCATACAAATGCTTATAGCTAAAGTAACAACCTTCATTTAATTGACAAACATGACATCTATACATCATATTAAAAAATCTCAAATGAATTATTGTTACTATGGAAACAACACAATCGATGATTGAAAGAAAAAAAAGGCAAGCGAGTATCTGATTTTTTTGCTTATTAAGTCGATAAATACTGCTAAGTTGCTTTAATCCTCTTTGACAATCTACTTGAAAATTGATATAAACGTTAAAGATATTTGAGAGTATTTTTTTTCTTCGATGGAGAGTGTTTTATTGTTAGATGTCTCTATTTGAATATTAGATTTTTTTTTCTTTAATTTTGAAAATGAAAAAGAAAAAAAAACGTTTGTCTTGTTTATATTTCGATTAGAAAAGAAAACAGACAGCGTTTCTATCGCTTCAGATAATATAACATTAACCATAACAAATAGTAAACGGTGAAAATTATGTGTTTTTCTTCTTTTAGATGATGAATAGAAATTTTTTAGTCGAATATTTCACTTTTATTAACCACCGGTGATTATTAATATTTTATATAAATGGAAAGTAAGATAATCACGAGAGAAAATTTTCTAAAAGTTTTATATATTTTTATATTATAGAATATCGGATTCTTGGTAAGAAAGGTGAAGGAACATTTTCTGAAGTATTAAAGTGTCAGAATGTTCGTGATGGAACCTTTTGGGCCGCGAAAAAAATGAAACAATTATATAAAAGGTAAGTAAAAATTCATCTTCTATAGAATCCGACAAACTAGCGATAGACTTGAGCTGTGTATTCTGAATAGAGCTCGATGACTTTTATCTAGTAGTACAGCCAGGTTTTATCATCGATAAAACGACGTTTTTGAAACAATCGATGGTTTTCAAACTCGTAGTTTCAATTATGGCAGAAGTATAATAGCTTTAAAACACGTTCTTAATAGTGAATTACCTAGTTTAACCAGAAACTATTCATAACTTCGTTTTCGTCTATTAAAATTTTTGTCTTTTTTATTCTTCCAAACTAATTGAGTTCATAAGCAGAGATATAAAGAATGGTAATAATATACTAATTTAAAACATTTCAGTATGGATGAAATTCAACAAATACGTGAAATACGTGTATTGAAACAATTGAATGGTCATCCAAATATAATTTTTCTTCGAGAAATTGTCTTGTAAGTTAATTCGTCATTTATGAATGCAATATTGAACTGTATTTTTTTCTAGTGATAAACGATCTGGTGTATTGTGTTTAATATTTGAATTAATGAATTTGAATTTATACGAATATATTCGAGGTCGTCAACGATTATTATCAAACGAGACTGTATGCAAATTTATGTATCAATTATTAAAAGCTCTTGAATATCTTCACAGGTAATTTGATTAAATATTATTAGATAATTTTATAAAAAATTTCTATTTCTTTTTTCAGACATACGTTCTTTCATCGTGATGTAAACTTCGAAAAAAAAAATAAATAAAGATAGATTAAATTTATATTCTTAGGTTAAACCAGAAAATATTCTAATAAAAGATGACATATTAAAACTAGCTGATTTTGGATCTTGTCGACAAACTTTATCAAAACAACCATTTACTGAATACATCTCAACTCGATGGTAAGCATACTAAATATTTTCATTTAGTTTTTTTCGTTTCATTTTAAACAGGTATCGGGCACCTGAATGTTTACTAACAGATGGATATTATCGAAATCAAATGGATATTTGGTCTGCTGGTAAATAAAATCATACCTTAACTTTCTGTTATATCGAATTTAAATTTGTATGAAAAACCAGGTTGTGTAATGTACGAAATTATAACACTCAAACCATTATTTCCTGGCAGTAATGAACTTGATCAAATTAGTAAAATTCATGATGTATTAGGTACACCCTCATCGAGTATACTCGATAAATTTCAACAGTAAGGAAATTTATTTTCTATTAGAAAAGATTATCGAACATATCAATTATTATTATTTTTAGTCGAAATTCAGCAGTTGATTTTAACTTCCCTCCCCGTTCTGGTACGGGTATTGCCCGACATCTTACACAATCTTCACCAACTACAATTGATCTTATTAATCAATTGTGTATTTATGATCCAGATCGTCGTATATCAGCTGTTCAAGCTCTACGACATACTTATTTCGATAGTGTTCGGTAAATATGAATTAAATCAAAATGAAATATATACATATATGTATTTTTATCATTAATAGAACTCCTGAAAATACACAATTACAAGAACAAAATAATAATAATAATCAGTTAGAAAATGGAGTTCGACTTGTAAAAACCAGTGAAGATCAATACGAACGATCAGATTCTAGTAGTGATGTATCTAATGCTCCTGAAGAAAATGTATCACCTAGATCAAATGTACATATTTCACCGTCTTTACATCAACAACCAGCACTCAAATCAGATCATCATCGAGTATTTATTCAATTCTTCTTTAATAGATATATATATATTTTTGTTTTTCTTTCTAGTTAATTTATGTACCTGGAAAAACTCAATCGTTAATTGATACCGGAATACAAGGACAGTCCATAAAAAAATCAACAAAACCATATCCTATTAATAATAATAATAATACAAAAATGAAATATACACATTCTCATCCTTCTCAACTTCGTGCAAATCAAGCACAGACTTTTTATAGTAGTTTATCAGCATTAGGAACAATTGGTTCACCTTATAAAACACAACCAAATAGAAAAACAACAAAAAATGGTCCAACGCCTTTTCTACCTTCTGTATCGGGTGCTTCAGCTTTTTCAAATTATTCGAACACAAGTGGTCATTCTTCATCGATAGTAAACAAAGTAATAGTCATAGATAGAAAAGTATCTGAGACATAGTAAAGACGAAGAAAATTGTTCATAGGCACAGAAAGATTTATATAACTTCATGAAAAAAATCATAATACACCAGATACTTTTGATCCTTTCTCAGGAAGTATAACACTATGAATATTTTCTTGGCTTACTATCTTTTGGTCAACTGTAATAACATAAGAATATATATTTGAAAAACTAATCTGATATTATTAGATTAAGTATATCATGATTCTCCCAACTAAGGTCGAAAGTAAAAATGTCAGAGTATAAAAATATCGAAGAAAAAACAGTCGAAATATGAAAATGCCAAGACTTTGGGTGCTCGAAGCAACTTAATGGGAAAAATAAAGAAAGACGTTTGAGGATGGATGTGGGTGTAAATATAGACATTTATCTATATTTAGATACACACACACTCACCCATACCCACCCCCACACCGACACCGACAACCACAGTCACACCCATACCCTCATCCTCACCCACATCCTAAAATCAACGTCTTCGATATTTTTATACTTCGAAATTTTTCCTTTTTGACCGAAGTTGGGATAACCTTAATATTTGAATAACGTTATTTATGATTATCTCTTTATTTTAGACTCATTATCCGGGAAAAAATCTTGTTGGCTATTATCCAATAATGTCCTATCGACCGTACAAAAAATAATTATTAGAATATTGTCTTGTATACATTACGAATGTTTGTATCAAACCTTGTACATTAACATTTCATTGATTTTCATGTTTTAATTACTATCTGTTATTCTCTCTAATTGACTACATTTACAAAAAAAAAATAATAATTTGAAAGCAAAAAAATAATAATAATAACATCTAAATAATTACTCATAAATGAATCAGATTTTGATTAAATTTTCTCAAATCAATAATATCTTTTTTTCATATAGCCAAAAAAAAACTAATATTTTTTGAATAAAATAATTTTACACAAGCAAGACAAGATATGCACATGAATTAAAAATGATGTCACTGTTCATAGATCGTCATCGATGAGAAAACTATATTGAGATTGAAATTTAAATTCAATAAATAATTATATATATATGCGTATTTATGGTGATCGAAAGTCTGAAAAATTAATACGAAGTGGAAATGATGGTGCTTGTGATGTTGAATTCACAAAAGCCGAAGAATTTTTCGATGATAAATTTGATTTTTGTTCATTTTTTTGTTGTTGTTTAAGTTCTTGTTGTCGACGATAGTCTTCAATTTTTTTTCGAAGATCAGGTGATTTATCAAAAATATGACGAACTTCACTTGGATATGTTTCAATAAAATGTTTTATACGTTTGATTACATGTGCTATTACAAGCGCATTTGTATTATTCGATTGCACAGAAGTTGTCGTAGAATCAGGTAGAAAATTTATAAATAATGGAATGATTAATTCTGCTAAACGTACGCCTAAAAAGAAAAAACATAGTTTTATAATCAAATACTACTATTAGTCAAATGCGTATATGGATCCCGCGAGCTCTAGTTAAGATCTGATACGGTTCGTAGAGATTCTAACATAGGGAGTTGCGGGTAGATCCAGACCCGGAACCCAATTGGGTCTGAGTCGGATCTGGGTGTATCAAAAACTTTTTTCTCGGGTCTGCGTTGGGTCCGGGTCCAAAAAAAACGTGGACCCACAGCTCTCTACTCTAACATAAAAAGAGAAATTTGGCACTTGTTATTGATATCCTATCAAATCAGTGATGCACACATGAGTTTGATTGATAGTATTAGTATATCAATTAATCAATCTTATAGATATTGCATATTTAAGAATGCTTTTTTTCTCTGTATAAATTACACGCGTAACCAGATGGTGGCTGAGCCTCTCTTTAACTGTCACTAGTATAAATCCGACTAGATATATATTAAGACATACGTAATGTTGAATCAACAGCTGCTAAAAGTGTTTCAAAAATGATTAAAATTTCAATGATATATTCCTGTTGTTGTTGATTTTCATTTAATTTTTTTATTTCATTTAATAATAATGGTGTAAAGATTTGTATTAATCGATTACGTATTGAAATATTTGCACATTGAAATAATTGATTTAGACATTGAAGTACACGAATATGAGTCTAAATAAAAAATGAATTATTTTTGTTTTTGTTGTTTATAACTCAATAAATTTATTTACCTCAGTTTGTTCATCTTCAAAAGCTTTCTGATAAAAATCTATACATTGATCTGTTAAATTAATTGATGTAGAATTAATAATCAACGATGTAAGACATTGAACAAAATGTCCATTATCAGATATACTTTTATTGATCACTAAAAACAATAGAGATAGTATATTTTTCTTTTATAATCGAAATTGTTTCTTACAATTTGTTCGAAAACTAATAATTGTAATCATTGTAGAATATAAAATATTTTTATCAATTGTTGTCGAAAAAATATTGTCAAGAAGTTGATTTATTGTTGATAATAATTGTTTTTGTTCATCAGTTTTTGTTGAAAGAAGTGCAAAACTACTTGATAATAATAAATGAAGAATAACAGGTATTAATGCTTGAAGACCTTAATACAAAAAAACAATATTTTTTGTTTAAATTTATCAAAACAAATTATAATTTTCTATCGTTTACCTTCGTCTGTAGTACATAATGTAATAAGTTGACTAAGAAGTTTAACATTTAATAAAATTAATTCATTTATTTGATTATTATCTGTATTGGATTTAATTGATAATTTCATTTGAAATATAGGACCTAATTGCAAATCACCAGCTATATGTGGATAATAACTTATAAGAACACAAACAAGTAATTCTAATGAAGCGAAAAGAAATGATTCGCCAGGTATAAGATGATCTTCATTAGAAGTCGTAGTTAGTTGTGAACATGATGGAACAATATGAAAGATTTTATCGACAATTTTTAAAATTCTTACATGAGTTTTTAAATCACTTCGAGCAAAATAAAGACTAAAAAAGAAAATATCAATATGATTAACTTTCGATTTTTAACAATAAAAATAGATACTTTTATTAATAGGACGGGTATCCTTATTGAGAGGATAAGATTCTTTTCCTATTGTTTGAAAGTGATGCTTCGGAACGATTCGGTATCTTATATACTTATTACAGTGGCGGATCTAGGATTTTGGAAGGGGGCGGCGATTTTTTTTTAATATGGAGGGCAATACCTGAGGAGGGGGCGATCACTCCCATTGCCGCCCCCTAAATGCGCCACTGACTAATTGATTTGATTAAAGAATATTTGGAAATATCGTCTAATCGTTTTTTGTAGATAAATAACTTGGTAATAAGAAATTTAAATATCTCTGTTAGATGTTGGTCAGACAAACTGAAATTTTCACTAATGATAGAAGTATCACTAATGACCTTAGCAAAAAAGTCACTTTTTCGAAAAAATAAATTTGAATATCGAGTAAATGAGCTGAGTTTTTCATTGATGATAGATGCGTGTTCAATGTTTGTATTCATACAGACGTCCCTAGAGAAACTCTTTGTTAAATAAATTATTTCCTTTCACACCTGTGAAAAAATAAAAATTATTTTTTGCTGAGACCAATACTAATACTTTACAAAAGGTCTCTTTACGCATATCTCTATCAGAACGAAAAGAAGCTTAAGTCAAGAAATTCAAATTTAAACATATGATTTCTATTAATTACCGATGAAGAACATTAAGTATTTCTATAAATACAATCATTGTTATATGTTTTGTAGCTATTTCAGCTTGTAGTAAATTAATTAATGATGATAAAAGATCTTCAATAGTTTCTTCTGTTTGTTCCGAAATCGAAATTGAAAGTGCTTCAATACAACAACCTAATAATACTGCAAATATATCTTCTTTCTTTTCTGGAAATGTTCGAATTTTATTTGATAATGTTGATGTAATAAACTTAGTCATAAGAACATCTCTTTGCATATATCCAATAAGTTTTTGATTTGGTGCTAATGTTTCAAGTTCATAATGATGTTCACCAAGCCATTGTGTTGTTGCTTGCATAATCGATGCCCAATTTGCTTTATATATTGTTCGCGTTAAATCAATATTTGATTCAGCTGAATAAAAATTTCCACCATTAGAATTTTCATCTGTACCACCACCACCACCGCCACCAAATTCATTTGGTAAAATTAAAAATGCATAATCAGTTAATGCAGCAAGCCAATGATGTATTAATACATTTAATTCTGATTGTACAAGTGTTAATAAATTACTATTTGGACTATTTTTTTCTTCATTTTGCCGTTTTGTTGCAACATTATAAACATCAGCCCATGCTCGTAATACAGCTAAATTTTCAATTGTTAATGCATTTTCACTATAAATCATTGATATATCATTTTTATGTTGTTGAATTGAAGTAAATTTTTGTAATGATGATACAAGTAATTGATGTACACGTCGAAGATCATTAAAATTTTGTGCAACACCACTTGATATCCATGTACTACATACATCACATGCTTTTGCTGTAACATGTGATGATGTTTCTTGTGAAAAAGCTGGTCGTAATGCTGCACCAACTTGTGCTTGATATTGTTCAAGGATAACATGATCAGGTAAATCAATATCTTCTTTTATTTGAGCAAATTTAACAATGATTTGTTTAAGTAATGATAAACCAGATAAACGTAATTGATCACTTGTTGATGTACATGACATAAATGAAAATGTTATTAATGTATTTAAATGTATAACAAGATAATCTTCATTTGGATATGTACGAAGACGTTCTTTAGCAGCTATATAATTAAAATGAAGATTTGGTGATGATGACGATGATGAAATTTGTTCACAATAATTTATTAATTTTTGTACACAATCAGCAGCAAATACTTTAGTTGGCCATTTTGCTGATGATGTAGCACGACGTATTGTATTTTGATTCGATGATGTTTGTAATTGTTCATCACCACCTGTATCAGCATAATCATTATCATCATCATCTCGAAGACCACAATTATCGTCATCATCATCATTATTAGCAGTAGGCCGTGAAGATAATTTTGTTATTGCTGATCCTGAAGTTCTTTGTTGTTGTTGATCACCCTCAGAAGATACTCCTGTACCAGATGTTTCTAGATAATAGAAAAGATTTATGTTGATTGCAATCATTAATAATAATTTACCTGTTGTAGCTGCAAGAACATCTTTACATAATTGTAACCAATGTGTTAAATGACTAGCTCCTAATGCTTGTAACATATAACCAAGTGTATCTTGTACATTTGAACATAATTTTACATCTGTTTCTGTATCAAGCATTGAAAAGAGTAATTCTAAAATATAAAATTTAGAAAATCTATCGATAGAAAAAAAAACGAGAAATCTAACCTTCAAGACTTCGAAATTGTGATAATCCATGTGATAAATCTTGCGCTCTATCTTTCATAAATACTCTTGCATGTTCACTAACTTCTCGAGCTTCTCGTTGTGATAATTGTCTTAAACATGAAACACATGCACGTCTCAATGATAAATCACGACTTTTTAATGCTTGAATTAATTCAGGTACTAATGTTGTTAAATTAACATGTCGTGGAGCAAATAAATGTAATTGTTGTAATGCTTGAATAGCTTCTGCTTGAACAATAGGTTCAATATGCATTTGTAAAAGACTACTAGCAGTTAAACAAGATGAACGTAATATTGATATATAATTTGTATTTGTTTGAAGTTCAGGACCAATTGTTATTATTAATGCACCTAATAAACGTCCACAACATTGAAATACATCTGATTGTGATGGTGGTATTGAAAGAAGAAGATGTAAAATAAGTGCTAAACTTGGTTCAACATATGAACGAAACATTTGTCCACCACAATCAGCAATTAATGCTAATGCATGTAATGCCCATACTTGAACAATTGATGCTGATTGATCTTGTGCAAGTGCAAGTAATATTGATACAGATAAATTTAAATATTGTCCTGTACTCATACCACCAACATAACGATGTAAACAACCCAATGCTAATGAATAACCTGTACGAGATGGTACATCACGTAATTCTTTTAAACGATCAAAACATATCTGTGCAATTTCAGCTACAAATCGTCCATCACCAACAACTTGTGTTAAACGACCAAGTGCTTCACCAGCTGCACAACGTAGTATAGGATTTTGATGACTTAAAGCTTGCATAACAAGTGTACATGCACATTTTTTAACATTTTCATCATCAATTGCTGATGATTGTTTTGTTTCGGCTAATGTTTTTAATGCTGTTAAAACAGCTGTAAATATATTTACTTGTACAGCTTCTTGTCGTGCACTTTTTGATTGTTTTATTATATCAATAAAATGTTGTAACATATTTAAACGATGTTTATTTGGTACACGAATAAACATGGTACCATAGAGAAGAATTGATGAATCTATAACAGCAACACCTAATGGTAATGGTCCAGGAATATTTAATTCAGCTGGACGAGAAAAATCCGTATTGTTAGAATTATTATCAGTTGTAGATGATGAACGAAAAAGATAATTTATGATATTAAATGAAGTTAAAGATGTATCACGACGATATAGAAAGGTTTCATCATGTTCAAGTGCACCAGAACCACTAGCTGAATTTGGTTGAAGCTGTTCTTCAATCATCTGATAATCAGTTTCCTGAAGCCAATTACCTGAAGAAGAAGGAAAAAAACAATTATTTGATTATTTGTTCGAGAAAGACTTTCAAATCTCAATCAATGGAAAAGAAAGAATGAAATATAATTGAAATGTCTATTTCATTAATTGGAAAAACTTTTTGCCAACAGGAGAATTTCTATAAGTCCAATCGTCAATTTTATCTCTCTGGTGAATAAACTAAAGTCTCTTATATCTTCTGAATTGCTTTGAGACATATTTCATTACTTATAAACACATCAAAGATATTCAATAATATTGTTTTCTCAACGAATATAGAAAAGTGAAGGAGAAAAAATTCTTTCAATTCTTACCAAGTAAAACACTATCATTATCATGACAAACTGATCGAAGTAAAGACGTTGTTGTATTTGATGAATTATCGGTTAATGTAAATTCTGCAACTAATTCTCGTAGTAAAACTTTAAAATGTTGTTCATAAAATTTAATTGGTATTAATAGAAGAAGTTCATATAAACGTAAACGAAACATAGCTGTTGATGCTTTTAATTGTGGACCAAATTGTTTAATTAAATTTGGTATATGAACAAGTACAAGAATAGCATTTTCAATTGGATTTAACATACGTTTAAGTAAATCATCCGTTATTAAATGATCATCACCTATTGAACAATTATTTAGAAATGATATCATTGAACAAAGTGCACCTGAACGTTGATTAAATGAAAGTGTCCATGTAAATGAATCACCACGTTGTTTTTCTTGTTCAAAATCAGCTTGTGATCGTGGAAATACATTACGCCATAGAAGAACTAAACGTGGAACAAATTTTTTTATAACTTCTTGTCCAAGTGTACAACATGCAGCAAGTAAATGCCATGCTGTATGAGTACGTTGAAGTATAACACGTGGTATTAATGACTGCTGTTGACCAGCTGTCGAAACTGTAGCTGTACGAAGAAGATCATCAGCAAAATCGAATATAGTTTTTGCACGTTGTGATGGAATACCTATCGAGATAACAAAAAAAAAGAGTTATTAGGCTCTTTAATATAATCCCATAGTAATGTCACCTACATCGTATCTTTTAGTGATTCAAAGTATAATCATAGTGAGATTCGTATAGGAACATTGTCGTAGCTGATACAATGGTATTTAGATCTCATTTTAAGGGTAAATTCCTTCTGTTTTGTACATAAAAAAAAACTTTTAACGGCATTCGTGCCGTATAATAGATTAGAAGTATTCCATAAGTGATAATAATCATCTAGCTATACTACTTAATATAATGTCAACAAGGAAGATAACACTAATGATATAATATATAAAAGGTCATAGTCTTCTAGAATGGTGTTAATGTGAGAAATTTCGAAATGTATCGAAGGATATGCTAGAAAATATTATTTATCAAGATTTGAAATACTGAATAGTTTATGATAATCAAAGTTTAAGATTAAATCGAAAACAATTTCTATTATTTCATTGAATTATATTATATGACATAGGATTGTTAGCACGACAGCAACGTGTGTGCTCCGTCGTATATCTTTTGTTGAGAAAAGAAAGAGTTATATTAATCTAATAATAATATTATTGAATATTAATCGACGGGATATAATATAGTTATTTTTGTTTTTCCTTGACTTATTTACTATGGGAATATTTTTTCGAAGAAACAGAAAAACAAAACATTCTGTTTTTAATTTAACTAACCTAATGGACATCGATAAACAGCGCCAAGTAAAGCCTGTAATGCAAGTGCAAATCCTGACATTGCATCTGTATTATATGAAGTTGATTGTTTAGCTAAACCTTTCATTTTAGTTAAACAATGATCAATAAGTTTTGTCATAAGTGATGGTAATGCTGTTGTAATCGAACGAAGACACCATGCTGCTGATAATCTTACTGAATGTGATGGATTAAGAATAACTAGAAATAATGTATCAACTAAACCATTACAACTATCTTGTAGTAATAATGTTGTTGATGTTCCAATACTTTGTACTAATAAACTAAGTTCATGTAAAGCACAAATAAGTATATGTTGTGTATATTCAATATTTGATGATGATGATTCAAATGTATTTGTTGATGATGAACCATATGATTGTATCATAGAATTTGTACTTGAATTAAGTGATGATGAACCAGTTGATATATTTAAATCATTTGCTGATGTTGGCGATGTATTATTATTATTATTTGGTAATAATTGTGGTGTTGTATAACGTGTTATAATTGTAGCAAGTTCTTTTGCAGCAGCAAATTGAGCTTTTTCACCAAGACGTGAACCAATAACAGAACGAAGAATAAACGTAATACATTTACGAGAATAAACAGCATCAACATGTGATGTTGATGCACGAGGATTTCCAGCTAATTCAAGTACATGATTAATAAATAATGATAAATTTTGTTCAATCCATGATGTACCAAGAACAAGTGCTAATTCGACATAAGTATGAGTAACACCAATACGTATTTCACGTTGTACTGTTGTTGGTCCTTTAATACGTTCTGTTGTATTTGATTTTAAAAATCCAATATTACCACGTAAAAAACCTCCAGCTAAATAATTTAAGATATCTTCTGTTTTTATCTTTTTCGTATTTGCTGTATTAGCATTCGATCTATTTATCGTATTTTGATTTGCATTTGAAGCGATATCTTGTGTTGCCGCTAATAATGCTGCTAAATATTTTGCAACTGAACAACGAACTTCATAATTTGATCCATCAAGTGCACGAAATGCTAATGTTACATTTCCTTCTAATTCACTTGTATACATAAAGTTGTTTTGATTAATTAAAGCAACAAGACACTAAAAATAAAAAGAAGAAATAAACAAAAAACATTAGGTTTTGTTTATATTATTACCATTGCAGCAGCTGATCGAACAGGCATTGCACGATCACATATATGTGTTTTAGCAACCTTGAATATTTCTCGATGTATATTATTTCCAGCTGAACCAAGTCCATTAACAATACGTTCAAGTGTAAACATAATTTCAAAACGCATTTGTGAATCACCATTTTTTAATGTTTTAAGTAACAATTGAACAGTTTCTTCATAGGAACGACCAACTAATCGACCAAGACGTTCATAAACTGCACCTATAACAACTACTGTAGCTCTAAATAGAATATTTGAAATTAATTTTACAAAAAAATCAATATTAATAAATTTACAATTTCGAAACTTCATCTTTAGATTTTAATGTATCATTACAACGATTAACTGTATTAAATAATGGAAATGGATCTCCAACACTAAATAATGTTGCTAGATTTCGACCGATTAATGTTCGTATAGGTGGTCCAGGTGCATATTGAACTTGTTGCATAAGTTGTTCAACAATACGTGGTTGACATTCACGAATATCATTCTTAGATAAAAAGAAAAAAGAAATAGTAATTTTCAATTAGAAGAATAAAATTATACTTTTTGAGCAGCAACAAGTACTTTATTTAAAAAACAAAGCCATTCATAAATAAATACAGGTCGTTTATTTTCTGGTAAACTATTAAGTGCTTCGTCGTTTAATATTAAACTTTGAGCAAGTTCAAGCATTGATCGAAAATTAGTCTTATCTATAAACGAAGAATAGACAAAAAACGATTGGAGATATATAGATATGATTATTAAGAGACAAAAAAGAAAGAGATTATTGAGCGTTATTTTTTTGTGAATATCTTAGGACAAAAAAAAAAGGCTTTCAGAGATGAGACGACAATCATTTTTTATTAGGAGACAACGTTCTCAATAAATACTCATCTTCGGAGTAGATATAGGCACAATAAATAGCCGAGAAATGGTCTTTTATTACAAAGATTTTTCTTTCCTTCCTTCCGTCTTTTTTTATGTATATATGTATTAGTCAGTTGCAAGCTTCAGATAGGTTTTCTTTTTTTTCTCGTTCTACCAATAGAAAAAGTCCGACAGCCAATAGAAGATAAATACAAGAATTCAAAGAAAAATCATGACTACTAACGTCATCTTTCAAAATTATGAATAATTCTAATATACATTTATATTTCGGATGCCTTGGTATCTGTTCTTTTGTTTTCATCGATATAAACTTGAACAGCGATAACAATGCTAGAATCAATTTAATGTATGATCAATGAGAGAAATGCTTTATTTCCACTAGCGATACATGAAAAAGTCCAATGATAACGTCACTACATTACTAGCTATGTAATGGAAATACACCTTTCATTGAACTCGTTTTTATTGACTGTCTCGAAAGTATTATTTTATATAGAATATTAATTTTTTTATATGTTTACTATTATAGAATGAAAATTGTTTGATACTCCTCTTCTTATTTCCATATAATGATTTTATTCAGTATTATTGTGTTCATGCATAAAATACAGACAATAACTGATACAGTAATCTATTTTTTTTTATTCTAAAATAGTTAGATTACATGTGTATAGAGATTTGATTTTAGTATAATTGAGATATCTTTTATCATTGATAAAATTTTTTGTCACATTATCTAATGTTCTATATCTGAGTTCTGAATAATATAGTAGAGAATTGTACCAACTGATTGAAATTCTCGCTTAATAAAAATATTCCAAATATCATCATTCAGTGTTAACCAATATAGGATTTTTCAACAGTTCTTATTACTGAGAGTTGTAAGGTTAATCCTATAAAATTGATTCTTATTCGTATTATTTTCCTTGTAACTCTTGTGATGTATTGTATTTAGGTAATTAATACCAAAATAGTTTATTCAAAAATTATTCGTAGTTTTAATATCAAAATAATTATTGGCAACCATGTAAATGACCGTTTTCTTTTCTGAGCGGAATTAGATTGATCTTTATATTGTACTACTATCTCCTATATGGAACTGAGATTCATAGCTAAATTCACATTTACAGTTGTCCCACACTGGAAAGAATAAAAAGTACACTGATATTATATTCGCACAGATATTAAAAAAGGAAAATAGCGTACGTTATATTTAAAATTAATATAAGCTATTTTTTTCCTAATTGATGATGCAGAAATAATAAGTCTTATTTTTTGTGTACTTAATCAAACTCCGTATCTTCTATTTTACTTGAATAACTTTTTGATAAAACGTATACCGTTAATTATTAATTGTATGGACAAGAGTTACCAAATTCTATATGAACCTTGATGAGATTTATATTTGTTATAGAAAGAAACATAATCAACCGTATCATGCGTGGTTCCATTTATAAAAGAAAGTAGTTGTTTATTATTCTTGATTGACAAACTGAGCTCACTCTATCTCTACTTATCATTGCAAATATATAATTATTATTTATATAATTATACATATCTAATTTTTTTACGCGAATATTTTTACAAGGTTCAAATGTAGTTTTTACTTATCGTTGTGAGCAAAAAAAATAGAATTTAAGAGAATAAGTAGATACTGAACAAGGATATTACTTTATCTTCTTCTCGTAGTGTTATTTCATTACCTATCAAAAAATGCCATCTAATACAGTAAAATTTTGGTCTCTTCTTATTTTTCTTATACCATCTATTCTTTGTGCATTATTTATCTCATATTATTTATTATTTGATCGCACTTTACGACATGCTCTTCATAATCATGTTGTGATTGTACTTCTTCTTATTGGTTTATTTTCTGAAATGACCAATTATATATGGATGCTCGTTTATTATCAATATGCAGGAATATGGCAAAGATCAAATATCTTTTGTGCAATCTGGGGTTTTAATGATTGGGCATTATATATTACTTATACAATTTTGTTAGCTTGGGCAACAATCGAAAGACATATTCTTGTCTTTCATGATCGATGGGTATCATCAAGAAGAAGACGTTTACTTGTTCATTATCTTCCTTTAGTATGTCTTTTTCTCTATTGTTTTGTTTTTTATATTGTTGTTTACTTTATTCCACCTTGTGCAAATATTTTCTCTCAAACCGGTTACATATGTATATCTCCATGTATATTTAATAGTTATACATTTAGTATGTACGAACTAGTAGCTCATCAATTTTTACCTTTTCCAATTATTGTCATATTCAGTATCGCTTTACTTGTGCGTGTAGTATTCCAGAAAAAGCGAACACATCAACCTGTGCAGTGGCGTAAATATCGAAAGATGACAGTTCAAATGTTGTCAATTTCATTGCTTTATGTTGTTTTGTATTTTCCTTTCTTAGTAGTTAGTATTTGTGTATTATTCAATGTATCAACTGACCTACTCAATGAGATTCTTCCTTATACAACGTTTATTACTTATTTCATTTTCCCACTTTATCCTTTTGTCTGTGCTCTATCCTTGTCCGATTTACGAAACAAAATGTACCAGATTTTGCATCTTCGTCGACCACCAAGACAAGTTGGTATTGAAACATTTACATTACGAGTCCGTGAAAATAATCATACAACTACTAAAACTAACTACTAGATATTGTTATTCCATGTTCATTGTTATCTTTTAATGTTGTAATTAAAATCAAATATAATCATGCTTAAGTCATCGTCAATGATAGATCATTTCTCTACGTTGAAAGAATTGAAAACAAACAGGATTTAAATGAAATGAAGAATAATAATAACATAAAGTGTTGAATTGAAAACTAATTTTATCGTAATAATTCTATGAACCTTAAGCCGTATTTAAACTAAATGATAATATCTATTGTCCTAATACTTCTGCTGGTTTATTTGTGAGTCAGTGCTCGAATGACTTTAAAGGTACATCGATACTAATGAACATCAATTCGAACATTTGAATTAAATTGTTTTATCTATAATTTATATAATAAACTTTCTTTTAACCCTTTCATGTCACTATCTGAAAAAGGAGTCTTTGAAATGTATATCGGTTATCTTACAGCATGTTGTATAATCGTTAACAAGCGAAAAATCTTTATCGATGTTGATAATAACATATAGAACCAGTGATTTCTACATGTTTCTCATTTGGAAGAGAAAAAATTTAAATAAGCCCTTATCACTTGTAAAAGTATGAGGTCGTATGATTCACATTCAGTGAAGATATTTTAATTTCTTATCAGAATGTTACTTTTGACTCAATATGGATATGACTTGTGTCGTCTATATTTAATGATGTGTAAGCATAGAATTTTAAGCAAGCGTACCATTCTCAATTAATATTAAATTTTGTCGTTTTTCTTACTATATCTGCTTATCCTGGAAGTTATCCATGATCATATAAACATAATGATTGTATCTTAATATCATGTCGCATAATTGATGATTTCAAAGCAACAATCTTTGTATAAAGATAATTTCGCGAAATGTTGAATGTTCAAACACTGACTAGAAGAATAAATTAGATAAAAACAATCACAACGCAATTGAAAGACAATATTAATCGATATTTATATATTGATAGATAACTAATCCAACCATAATGAGAATAAATGACGAGCAATAAATAAGGCTTATACAATGACAGATGTCGTTTTCTAACAGAAACTAAAAGCCATACGTTTTTTTTTCAAAAGATATTCATTTATTTTTTACACCATAGAAATAAGAAAACTACAAAATATTCCTATTAATTTTGACTAATATTTTATCGAAGAAGAATGATAATAAAAGGAACATTCAATATCATTTAGATTAATTATATTTGTTTGATTAAGATGTTTATTAATTATCAAAAAAAAGATTTTCTCGAGAAAAAAAAATACAAGGCATCAAAATAAACATCAAAATGTCAATAATTATATAAAACTCCAAGTAATTGGGACACGTCCATTAGTTGGATCTCCAATCGCATCGAAAGCTGGTCGACTCAAATCAAGATCACCCTATGAAAAAGATAAAATTAATTTATTGTAACAATATGTTATAGACTTATTCACTTACACCCTTGCAACTGCCGCATCGATCAACAATGGTGACAACAACTGTACCCTTAGGACCTGTCACTGAAATCTTTTGACCACAGAATGCGTTATTATTTGGATTACCACCGATAGTTTTCGTATCGTAGAGAGCATCAGGAATAGCACAGACGAGCTCATCACCCATACTTAAAATACCACAGGCACCCATGCTAGCTAATAAATATTACAAGAAATACAACTATAATTTATTCACCAATTTTTTTACATACGATCGTAATATGTTGCTGCTCCAGAATCCGTCTTACCATTTGATACTACAGTTGAGTTGTTATTATCAGATGAAGGTTGCTGATGAACGTGACGGGCATCGATGAGACAAAAGAAAGCAGCAAAAGCACAAATGGCAAGGGTTAAATTATAAGACATATTGATGAGTGTGAATATGTCAATACCCGTCTTACCCTTTTATACACAAGACAAAAGGTAAGAAGATGGCCTTGTATGAGTCAATACATAACTAGTAGTAAACGAGTATCCATCAAAACAAACAACAAATTCCCACTTCTACGCAGGTTATGTTTTCTCGCTTCAACAAAAATGGAAGACGCAATAGATTATGTTTATGATCGTAATACATAGTTAATAGGTCAGTATATGATCGTCAATTACGATTACATTTTTTAAATGATTCACTGCATAAAGTGCAAAACAAATTGCGCATAGTTCTAACCTTGAGAGTGTAAGTGCAAATGTAGATGAAAGTATCATCTTCTACTTACACTCTCATCGTGATGATAACTATGTCATTTGGATTTAAGAGATTTTTCATATTGAAATTGAAGATATGTGTATGGTGTAAATGATCGTTTAATTTACAATCTATCGTGATAACGTTCAACTTTCTTTTTTTCTTGTTTGGAACTTAAAAACAGAATAATAACTTTTTTTGAAGATATTTCAGCAAGTAGAAAAATTACAACAGTCACTGTGATATGAATGATTCTTTTTCGAGAATAATAGTCTACAAATATTTCATATGAAACATCTAAACAAAAATATCATGTAAAACTTCGCTGAAGTATTAATATAGATGTTATTTATGCATATTTTTTATATCAAAATTTATCTTCTATACTTATGTTTTCCAAAGAATTTTAATAAGTTTTCTGAAAATTTAATTCGTAGTCTTTTTATCTGAATTTTCTACGAAGAAGGTATTTCATCGGTTTTTTGAATAAGTGTATTTATTCGAATAATCTTTACAACAACTACATTTTCTTCTTCTCTCTTCTGATTTTAAGATGCGCAGTTTTACTTTCAATCGATAAATACTGAGTTGCAATTCTAGACAAATTAAGATTATGTATGTCTTTTGTCCGTACTTTCCCTTTTAAACAAAACAAAACAAGAGATTTACTTCAAAATAATATACAAATTTTTATAATATGATGAAAAGAAAATTATTTTCAGATAAAATGATTAATAAATTAGAAATATTACTAAATGAAATCTTTTTACAAATCTTTTTTTATTTATCATGGGATGAAAGTTTAATATCATTATGGCCAATAAATAAACATATCAATTCTATTATTTGTTTAATATTTCAAATAAATAAAATTGGAATTATTTTAAATAAAACAGATTTATCTTATAAAAAATTTTCTAAAATATTATTACCATTAATGTTTAATTCATTATCTCTTAATTCAAATATAAAATATATTTATTTCAATGAAATTAATTCAGTTTCTTTTATTTTATTCATCAAGAAATTTACTTTCCTAATCTTAAATCAATTAATATTACTAAATATTTTTTATCTCAATCAATAATAATATGTTATCTTTACTTATTACATATTCATTAGATCAATTTAGATTAATATTTCATGAGAATAATTATAAAAGGTTTCGTACTTAAATATCACATTTATTGCTTCTTTCTGATGAAGGTGCTGATTAGATCTTTTCTAAACAATATCATTTTTAAATTGATTAAATATGAAAGTGTACTGTGTAGTCTAAAGATACAATTGTTACAATCAGTTATCGATTATTAAAATTCTTTTATTTAATATTATTGTATTTCTTCTGAAAGTAAATTTTCGTCTCATTAAAAATTAGATGTCGTTGTTTGAAAAAAGATAGGTAGTGTCGATAAAATCTTGACCAAATAACTGCATCATACATGAACTGTTTAAAAGTATCCGGATGTTTTTATTAAAAAACAATAAGACGTACTCTTGTATTTGTATTATTGTCTGCATGCGTAGTTCATGCAATGTTTTCTATCTATAAACATTATAAGTTCAGTTGAATTAAATATACATGTAACAATATAGAAATATATTTTAGACCACTGTACACACGCTAATAGAAAATTAAAAACTTGAACAAAATTTTTTGTTTTGAAATATTTTCTCTATATCTCTATTCATCAAGACTTATCTTCTAGGCATGTCATTGACTGACGACACAGACGCGTTAAATGAAAACTATTTCCTTGATTATAATCGTAGATTAATAAAATATATAATCATTATGTAAATATACTTTTATTAAATTAGATTAAATAAACATTAGGTGATTTAGTAGAATAAATGATTTGATTATTATCAAATAAATAAACTAAACAATATGTTACAACAAATATTATGTACAATATTCTCTGATCAATATCAATTAACTTCAATTCAACTTGATATTAGAGAAGCATTTTATTCAATTCAACAATGTTTAAAATCGTAATCTTCTCTTTCATTGAACACAATTGCAAATGAATCTAAATATTATTGCATAACATGACATTGTTTATAAGTTTATCTTGAAGATCTTATTGAACATGTACCTAATCTTGAACAATTATCGATTTATTGTGAACAGTTACAACGTCAATGTAGATATTCTGATTCTAATATTCAAAATTCAATATTATCCAACGAATCTCGGATTCATAAACTAAGGTCCGTCTAATACTATTTCGGTTGTTTTATTTAGAGAAAAAAAAACTCTTTTCCATTAATTCTTCTATCATACGTACACACTGGTTTACATAAAAGATTTTGAAATGTTTTAATTATGAATGAAAATTGTGAATGATTATTTATTTTTTAGATACCAAAATTAAAATATTTCAAATTGAAGAGTTCTGTTAAACATGAAAAATTTTCGTTAAGAAAAATTGATTAAGTATATGTTATACTTGATAAATCCTAAATATTATTTAATACAGCTATTGATAAAATAATCTCTTTCAACATAAAATGATACGTGTTATATCATACACGAGCAAAAAAGAAACAATAATTTTGAAATAATTAAAATCAACTAAGAGTTGAATATATCGGGTGCGAATAATATAGCTTGAAATGAAATAACATTATTTATTTAAAGATAAATTATGTCATGAAATATTTTCAAAACTTGTCTTAATACTATGTTCTATAAGAAATCATTAAAAATTATACCATAATCATAAATTAATTATCAAAATGTAAATAAAGTAAAATCATTTGTCTTTCGTCACATTTGAAAAAGATCACTTTAAACAATATTTATCCAAATAGACTTCTATTTTTTTATTCACGAGTAAATTCACAATTAAATGGAGTTTAAAACCTAAATACACGTAAGTATCGTAGAGAATATGTGCAAATAAAATGACAATATATTTTAATACTAAAGAAGCTCACTATTATTTCAATCTAATGCCTATTAAGGCTTCAAACGTTATGATATCAATTTTAGAAAGATGGAATTCTATTTTAAAAAAATGATTGATCCTAAATTTAACAAGAATATGTTATATCATTAAATTACTTGAAATCATGTTTTATATAAAACAAATGTTCAGTCAGATAATAAATATCTTTGATTCGTCAATTTTAAATTAGAATTTTTTTACTATAAACGAAGAGATTTTTATATATATGATAAATCCAAAAAAAGATTGATTAATAAAAATTAATCTATCAATTCCTTATGCTTCAAGTTATATAATCTTGATGAAATAGTTTATTTTGAGGGTGTGGATACTATGTTGACCGCTCACACTCACCACATCCATATTCATACCCACTCTCACCCGAACAATAGTATTTCATTTGTTCATTTAAAAATATCTATTATGATATGTTTTTTGTAATATATTTAAGAAATTCGTTATTTCAAATATTCATGAGTTATAACCAATCTATGATTGCATTTCTTTAACATGAATGATAGTATAAATTTTAGTTTTTGTTGAATAAATATATTCTTAACTCGATATTATAATGGAAGCTGAAACAATTGTTTATGTATAATATTGATTTGTAAATACAATTATATTATATCTAGTCTTATAGAAAATATGAATGGTATTATATAACTATTTGGAAATGAATAATAATCTAAAAATAAAATTGTATCTTTTATAAATATACATATGAATTTTATTGTAGAACTGGATTGATAATTTTGACTTCTCATACCTCTTTAATTTATTTTATTGTTTCTTTTTTTTGTCTATAAATGCTTTAGAATTCGATTTGAAAGACTTTTTACACATAATATTTATATTTTTTTAGTCTCTACCAATCATTGAATTCACTGTTCCTAAGTTTTTAATGATACCATATGGCTCCTACACGACAGGTAAGAAGAAAATATTAATTATATTTACATCTATGAAAAAAATATGTGAAATTTTTGCCTGTAACATAGTACTGCCTACGTTTTACGGCAATATGAAAGATAACTGACAAAATGGAGGAAGGACGCAAAATCAATGAAGCAGAGATTATTGAATCACTCTTCGTAGAAATACAAATTCATCCATAATAAGCTCCACGTTTCATAATAGTGTATATTTGAAAAGAATATGAGTGAAAAAGAGCCACTATTAACGATACATAACGAATTATCTATCGACAATGAAAATAAGAGGTACGATTTGAAAAATATATAATATTTGTAACAATATAATGAACTCATCATTATTTCTAGCTTATCTGATTGGCGTCAATATTTGAATCGGCAAAAGATTGATGGTAATAATAAAAAATTAAATGATGAGATCAAACATACTACTAAAGATATTCCAGTCAGTATTTTACAATTGGTAAGTATATTCAAACATAAAATATCATAAGAGAAAGTAATAAAAGTATGAAGTTTAAAATATGTTGTTTTTCTTTTTAATAATATATATATATATATATATGAATTAATTCATTTCATTTAATAATAGTTTCGATTTGCTGATCGTATTGATATTCTTCTTATGATTATTGCTTTGTGTCTCATACTGGGGCATACAGCTTGTCTTCTCGCAAATGTAATTCTTTTTGGTCGAATCACGGGATTATTTGCCACTACATCATTTTCTGTTGATTGTGATAATCAATATAAAAATTTAACATCTACAATTATCAATAGTAGTGTGTGTTCTCTTGATATTGATCTTAATCCATTAAATTATGATCGATTACATAAGTAATTTACTAAAAAATATTCTTCTTTTGAATCTTTTTAAATTTTTCATTTGTAGATTATGCCATTATCATAATAAAACAATTTCATCCACATTAGCTCCATTAACGCCTTTATTTCGACAAAATGTTATGCATCTAGTTTATTTGTTCTTCGGTAAGTCTATTGAATATGATAAATTAAATTTAAAAAAAATAAACGAATGGTTATTTCTCTGTGTCAATGTAGGTTTTAGTATTCTTATGTTTCTATGTGCTTCTCTTGGATATATCTGTTGGACAATTGCTACGAAACGACAAACATCTCGCATGAGTGTTTTACTTTTTCAATCACTTATTCAACGTGTAAGTAAAAATACTTTTTTACACTCATAAAAAAAACTCTATAATTCCTGATCATAAGTCAAATATAAAATAAAATTAAGTAAATCATCTCAATCTCGATTTTTGATTTTTTTCAAGATATTTCTCTAATCAACAAACTAAGAATTCTAAGAATATCGTTAGTATATCAAAGAGACGAGAAAATGATAATACGAATGAATATCAAAAATCATGTTGAAGGTAAATTTACTATAAAAAACAACATTAAAGAAAATGATAATCTCATCATTTTTAATACATTTATGCACTTGTTAAATTATGATTTAAGATAAAATACTGTGTCATTTCTCTTTCATTTTTTAGAACATGACATATTTGGATACTAACCAAACTACTCAATACAATTCGAAGCTTTTTACGTAAATAAATATAATAATTTTATAATAAACAATTATATATGATTACTCTTCTTTACAGTAATATTGAGAAGATCAAAAACGGAATAGGTTTTGAATTCTTATTAACCATTGTATTTAGTCTAGCCATGACTTTCAGTATAATCATATCTTTTATTATCAATTGGCAATTATCTTTAATTATGTCTTGTATAATCCCGATTGTTGTTGTTAGTTCATTGATGTTCGCTAAGGTATAGATTATTATTTAATTCGCTAAAATTTTTATCAATAATTACAGCTCATTACTAAAGAAACAGAAGAACAATTAAGTACATATTCAAAAGCTGGACAAATCGCTCAAGAAGTATTTAGTTCATTAAGAACTGTTCTTTCATTCAACGGAAGCAAATGGCAACAAAAACAGTAAATAAATAAATAAACAAAGATTTATAGATTATTGTATTATTTATCTTTATCTAGATATGAAAAAGAATTAAAATTAAATGAATGGTCTACTGTTCGCAAAGATGCTGCATTTGGTGCATTTTATGGTTGGTTATCGTTTATGAACTTTGTAATTTATTCAATTGGTTTTACTTCTGGTTCTATTCTTATGTTTTCTGGAACTCATCGTACAATGAACATTAGTGAGATTCTTATTGTAAGTGCCCTGTAGCATCAATATGCAAGAAAGTAACTGAAAAACGAACTTTCGTTTAGGCTGTAAATATGTTTGCACAAGCTTTGAATTTTCTTAATCTCATTAGTTCTTACTTCCAATCAATTTCGGAAGCTCAAGGTGCAGCAGTATCCGTATTTCGACTTATTGACGAGGTACAATTGATTGGATACTAGATACTAAACCATGGTAATTATATTTTCTATTTTATTTTTTGTGATATAGATACATGATGAGAATATCAATGAAAGAGAAATATTGGAAGAGAACACATTTGATGAAAAACTGATTTCTACTATCAATGGTGATATTGAATTTGACAATGTTAGCTTTATTTATCCATCTAGAGAAAATGTAACAGCTTTAAATAATCTTAAATTGATTGCCCGTGCTAATCAAACAACTGCTCTTGTAGGTTCAAGTGGTTGCGGTAAATCTTTTTTTGAAACAATTATAAAATTTTCATATTCAAAATTCATTATAATAGGAAAAAGTACATGTATATCACTTCTTCTTCGCTATTATGAACCTTCTTCAGGCAGAATTATGATTGATGGTCAATCAATTACAGATTATAAAATCAAACCATTTCGACAACATATCGGAGTTGTTAGTCAAGAACCTGTAGGTTTCTTTTATTTTCTTTTTTAGTCTCTGTCGAATTTTTATATATTGAAATAGGTTTTATTTGGAATAAGTATTTATGAAAATATTCGTTTTGGTAAATTGAATGCAACACGTGCAGAGATTGAAAATGCAGCAGAACAAGCTAATGCACATAAATTCATTATGAAATTACCAAATGTTTGTTTTGAAACATTTATATTTATTTATATTAATAGTTTTGTTTGCAGAAATATGACACACTTGTTGGCGAACGTGGTATACAGTTGAGTGGTGGTGAAAAACAACGTATTGCATTAGCTCGTGCACTTGTGAAACAACCCAGTATTCTTTTGTTAGATGAAGCAACTAGTGCACTTGATAATGTTAGTGAGAAAATTGTTCAAGAAGCACTTGATCGAGCATGCAAAAGTAAGAATTATTTAATTATTATTGATTATATTATTATATATATATATATATATAGATCGTACAACTATAGTTATCGCTCATCGCTTGACTACGATTCAAAATGCTGATTATATCTATGTATTAGATAAAGGAAGTGTAGTTGAAGAAGGTACACATGAAACATTATTGGCAAAAGAAGGAGGGAAATATCAAACAATGGTTAAAATGCAACAATCTGAAAAAACGATTAATACACAAGATGACTTAATGAATATGGTAAAAGCAGTAGCTGAAGATGAAGAACAACTATGTATGTTATTACTATTCTAATATTAATATTAATATTTATCATATTTTATAAACTTCGTTCTGTCTTATTTTTTGAAATAGTGGAACGTGTTCGTCTGTTGAGTGAGAGCGAAGCAGTTGATATAAATCGAGTAAAAATAAATATCTAATAACTTTAAAAAATCATTAATAATATATTCATTTTTAGAGAGCATCTATGTCAGCAAGAGGAAAATCTATCTTCCTAAGACTGTTGAAGATGAATAGTCCTGAATGGATGTTTATCTTGATTGGTTGTTTAGCATGCTTAGTTGGTGGATTACGTGGACCAGTGTTTTCTATTCTATTCGCAAAAATAATCAATGTGAGTGTTTTTATTCGTATGAATATTCTAACAAAAGATAAACGATGTATCTTTTTCTGTCGAATTTTTCTTTTATTTAGGAATTTAATGATTGTAAATACGCTGATGTACGTCGTCGAGTGTTGATTACAAGTAGTTTATTTATTCTTTTGGGCGCTGTTTTTATGATTCTTCATTTTTTCCAAGTAACAACTTTATTTCTAAACTATATATATATGAGTTTTTTCATGTTCGTTTATAGTTTGTGACTTTTGGAATCGCAGGAGCGAAATTAGTTAGTCGCATTCGTTCAAAAGCTTTCGCATGTTTTCTTCGTCAAGAAGTAGCTTATTTTGATCGACCTGAAAATAGTTCTGGTGCTATATGTACTCAACTCTCTTCTAATGCAGCTGCTATTGAAGATATGGTTGGTACAAGATTAGGCGTCATTTGTGAAACTTTATCCATGTCTGTTTTTGGCTTCTTACTTGGCTTTTTTTACAACTGGCAATTAACAATCACCATTGTCATTCCTTTCGTTATCCTCCTGGTTGCTACTATTATAGATATACGATTGAGTTCATGGTTAAAAACACAATCTGATCCTATTTACTCTCAAGCTAGCACGGTAAAACCATCTTGTTATTATAGATGATTTGATTAAATGATAATTAAATATTCATTCTTTATTTTGTCTTCTTTAGCTTGCTGTTGAAGTTATTACCAATATGCGCACAGTCAAACAATTATCAATGGAAAATGAAGTTTTGCGACAATATTCGAATACGATTGATCAAGTATTAAGGTTAGTCTTTTGAATATTATGCATGCATATGTATATCTGATAACAAAACTCCGAGTGCTTTTAATAATCTTGATTAGTTGCGTTAAAAACATGCTCTTCTATATCGATAATGGGCTAATAATATTGAATAGAACTTACTTTTTTTTCACAGATATTCACTTAGTTCTTCAATAAGTTGTTTTTTGTTTAGAATATCTTGGAAACCTGAGGTACTGTTTGCAACATCGTTTGGATTGTTCTGGATGATGGACCTATTGACTTTGGGACTTTTGTATTGGCGTGCTTTAGTTCTTGTTGAAAATAATGAACTAGACATGAGTGATGTTGTTATGTAACTAAAACAATAGTTTTGATAATCTATAAATTAACTTTTATTATTTTTTTTATTTTTATAGGATTTCTGCTTTTGGAATGTTCGTATTAGAATCACTAAACGTTGTTGAAATGTTGTAAGATATAGAATTTATGTTTTGTTTTTGTTTTTGTCATTTTCATTTTAGAGCAAGTCGTATTGGTGCATCATTTGCTGCTGCTCACGCTTTTTTTGATTTATTTGATCGAATACCAACTATTGATAATGGATCGAATAAAGGACAAGAATTAGTAAAAGAAAAACAAAAAACTATTGTTTATTTTAAACTTGAATTATTTAGACTCGTTTTAGTGGAGAAACAGAATTTAATCAAGTTAAATTTATTTATCCAAGTCGTCCAACAGTTCTTGTTCTTAATAAACTTCAATTATCTATTAAATCAGGTCAACGTATAGCTCTTGTTGGTATGTTTAACTAAATTAGATTTTCTAGTTTATTAATAATATAATATAATATAATCGATTTAGGCGCATCTGGATGTGGAAAATCAACAATCGTTCAGTTATTAGAACGATTTTATGATGTTACACATGGACAATTGGTAAGTATCTATTTTCTATATATATAATTCAAATACTTATATAAGTGATATTCATATAAATAAGCTTCTTGATGGTGTTGATATTCGAAAATTAAATATTCAATGGCTACGTTCTCGTGTGGGTGTTGTTAGTCAAGAACCAGTTTTATTTGATTTAACAATTGCTGAAAATATAACATATGGATTAGAAAATATATCAATTGATGACATTGTTCTTGCTGCAACTAAAGCTAATATTCATCAATTTATTCTACAATTACCTCTAGTTAGATTAATATTTTGATTATTTAATAATATAATTTTATATTTTCATATAGGGTTATGAAACAAAAGTTGGAGTAAAAGGTAGTTTTTTATCAGGTGGTGAAAAACAACGTATTGCTATTGCTCGAGTTCTTATTCGTCGACCTAAAATACTCTTGTTAGATGAAGCTACAAGTGCTATGGATCCATACAATGAACAAGTAAGTTTATTTTCTTTTATATATATTATTAACATTTGTAATTAAAGATAGTACAAGAAACTCTTGAAGAAGCTCAGACAGAAGATCCTAGTCGAACATCACTTATTATTGCACATCGTCTTTCAACAATACGTTTATGTGATTTAATATATGTACTTGAAATGGGTCGTATAGTAGAAAGTGGAACTCATACAGAACTAGTGCAGAAAGGTGGAATTTACTATACAATGTTAAATGCTCAAAACAACGTATAATAATTATTATTCAACTACTTCATTAAAAATAAAAAAAGATACTTTTACATCTATAACCATGAAAGTGTCTTTACTAATTATCTTTTTCTTCTAATATGTATGAAATTAACTTTGAATTAAATTATATCTAACTTTGTAAAGAAATTGATTAAATCTAATATTCAAAAAAATATTAAAAATAAGATCTGACCTGTTGATTAGTCTTTTATTCTTATCTTGTCATAAAAAATAATACATATACTTCACATACTTTTACATGATCTCTTTGATCCGATCTATAGTGTATCCTATTTTCAACACAAAAAATGAACATCAAATGCAATTGTTTCAATTGAATAAATAAAAAAAAGAATTTCGAGTCAAAATATTTGTCATCATATTTTATTTATTAGGAGAAAATTGATCATTATTATTATCAATAGAATTTTCAGAGGTAGTGAAAAGTTTAAAAATCTATCGTAGTAGAATTTATGAGATAATTCACAGTTTTTGTTGATTATGAAACAATGATTAAAATCTGAGCAAAATTTTTATTAATCTTTATCTTATTCAAAAACTTGTCCACTTAAAATATAAATTTAATTTCGTCTCTTTTATCTATCAATAGAAAATAATTTGAATAAAAGATAGTATTATATTGATTGATATAATCATCGATTAATAATATTATCATCAATCATTCTTAACCCTCAAACGGTTTTTGTAGGTCCGACAGGACCCACAACACCTTTTTTGACTCTTAAAACCTTTAATCAGGAACGTTTTCATTTATCAGGACTCATACCATCGTATTTATGCCTGATGAAAATTATGATGCAAATCTCGATTCGTCCACGCCCAGCTTAAAACAAACAAAATTTCAAGCTCTCATTATACAGTAAAACAAGAATATCGTTGCAGGGTTAACCCTTTAGGTACCATAGCTCAGCCAATGGATGAAACTTTGTTAGGACTTTATTTCTAGCATGTATATTGTATATTGTGAATATTTTCATCGAAACTTTTTAAAAAACTTACGAAGTCATTTTCGATCGATACCCGTACCCTCCTACGGCACGCTGGTATTTAAAAGATTATTAAAATAATAAATACCGCGCGAATACAAGTACCTACATGTCCTCTATGCCACAATGGCAACTGCACTTCTGTATTGTTTCGCATTGGTAATTTATTCAGAATTTGTCAAATTCTAAAAGAGTGGGGCTTTTAGGCCCCGTTAGTACTTAAAGAGTTAAATAAACAAAAAACATTAAGAATAGATCCGCTAAAATCTCATAAGTTTAAGAATAATTAAAAGATTAGTTTTATTTTTAATAACGAATTAAATAACACATTTATGGTATAAGGAAATTCTAGGTTATAATTTTATTCAACCAGGTTTTATACCTAATACGACTCATTTTACACAAATTGTTGCTCAATATAGTCTACCAGAAAATTATCGTGAAACATATAGTATAAATTTTTTTTATGCTAAATGTTAACTAATCGAATAAATCATTTATATTTATTTTTTATTTTGATATTGATGATGTTTTTTTTCTGTATTTGTCTTTCTAACTTTAGCTTTGCGCATTAAAAACATCTGTCAATCCTACAGTAATAATTATTTAGTAATCACTTTGCATTAGTATTGCACAGCTGTAAATCTAAAGTACACCTATGTTGATGCACAAAAATAAAAAAATAACAATGACTTCATGTGGGTGGAAGTGACTACTTTATTCCGTATTCATCCGCATCCACAGCCTCCTCATTGAATTATTTCTGCCTTTCAAAAGAACAATATTGTGCATAACTTCTGACGAAGTAATTTCTTGAAAAATTTAATAAATCCAAGAGCAAAAAGAGAAAAGCAGTGTATATTTCTTCAATTATGTTTTCGTTGAATCATATAACGATCGAACATCATCATCAAAATAGGGTCCATGCATTGCATTTGCTTGTCCGCTAAGTAGAAACGAGTTAATCGATGTGACATAGCTCGTACCACTTGATTGTGTGGGTGTGAGTATAGGTGTAGGCGTGGGTGGATGAGTTTGTGCAGTGTGGGTGAAAACACAATCTCTCCTCACACACCCGCATCCACACCCATACCCACTCCCTCAAGTGTTAATATTCAAGGGTGTGGGTATAAGTACTATGTATTTACCCATAACCTAATAGTTATCGAAAGTGTAGGATATTTTCTGTTGCAAATTACTTTTCATTTGGCTGAGAATAGTTGTTCTTACCGATTCGTCATCATTTCCATAATGAAATCGATAGTATATACAAAAATTGTTTTGATCTATAGATAAACACTCAACTTTCGTAACTGATATTTTAGTTGTTTTCACTTCAACAACCTGTATTAGATTATCAATTCTTTAGCGAATAATTTCATTGCCTAATGGTTGATCAAGAAAAATCGAATTCTAATGCATCACCTTTGTTCGAATGTAGTCTGACATCACAGTGCACAGCATAACCATCTTAATGACGAAAAAAGTATTTTATGTACATTTACAAGAATTTATGGATGAACAATGGACGCCTCAAAGCAGAAATCGATCCAACATTTATCTCAACTCTTGGTATAGAAAATATCATCAAGCAAAATGCTAATTCACACAGTGACAGTTTAAGAATAAGATTAATATATATTATTTTTGACTAAAAATTTGCTAAATTAGACATCTATTATTGTTCAAACAAAACTTGAAACAAAACTACTCTTTCGATTTTTCTCAGTCCGAAGACAGGAAGAAAAATTATAATAGATAACTATGCAGTATTTGTACTACATAAAAAAGGTATAATGAAGGGACAAATTAACGAAGTATCTGTCATTTTTCAGATGTGCTCTCGATAAGTAAACCACGGTACGCCAATGAGATTAATCGCGATAAACCAAACTCCAAACGCGCATTCACCTCAAGTCGTTTTGCTTCCTGAATAGCTTGTTCTTGTGAAATAATTGGTGTTAAAGACGATCGACTACCAGAAATGATAGTCCGAGCATTTTCTTGGATATTACTGTGATGCAATGAGACATTCGCTTCGAATGTTGACGAAAGAGTTTCGACAAGTCGGCTAAATTCTTCATCTGTAGGAACATTGGAGTTCGTTGCCAAGCAGCCACCATCTGTCAAAATACTACGTAAATTGATAAAGAATTGACGAGTATTTATATGAACAGGCATTGTCTTGTCTGTGAACGCGTCCATAAAAATGATGTCATAGCGATGTGTTGTTTCGTTTACATAACGAAAACCATCAGCAGCGATAATCTATATATACAGAAAAGAATATATTTCAATTCTAACAATCGTAGAAAGAGATGACATACATTTAAATACCCATCTGTCATTTGCTCAGCAAGTCCAAAATAATCAACGGCTACTTCTATAACTGTTTCATCAATTTCGACTACATCAATTACGACAGACGGAAAATAGTGTCGAATGAGTATGGGTAAAATGCCACCGCCGAGACCGATGATGAGTACTCGATTTGAGATTGGTTTGCATAAAAACGTTGTGAAAAGTAATTGAACCCACAGGTCATCTGGTCGAAACGGGCGCCGCAAGTTTACACCTGTTTGCCATTGTGCCCATCCATTTTCTCCAAAATAGATGGTAAGCATATCATTGTTAAATCGACCGACAATCACATCATATTCACCTAACATCGACTGACGCTTGACAAGAATATGTTGTGGTGGCTCCAAACCTTGATGAACAACAATGCGCTTTATTGGTGAACCGGACCAATCAGTGTGCGCTTCTAGTCGATCATGGGGGAGAACTACTGAACAAGGTGCCAGATGATTATCACCAATTAATGTAACACCAGGTAAGATAAGTGACATTGGTTTAATAATGGAGGCAGGGCCGATTGTAACGGGACGAAGTTTCAAGTGGCGTTGTTCAAATGTGTGACACTATTGAGAAAAGAAATTAGAATGAAAAGGCATTTGACAAAATTGAAGAGTCTTCTATACTTGTATTTGAGATGTCAATGATAAACGTGCATGACTACCAATCGTGATTAAATGGATGTCCTCTAGTGATATCATATCATCGATAATAACATCATCCCCAATATGTGCGCCGAATCGTCGAAGAACAATGACGAGCCACTGTGTGCCGTTTAAAAAGCAACTCACCCATTTTGTATAGTTACCATAAAATGAGATTGCTAATGCCATATGCAAATTTGTTCTCCACTCATCAACCAATGAATTGCTGTCAGACTGACTGGACTTGTCATTGATCAGATACTTGTAAAAAACACAAACGACACATGAGTAGACAAATAAAAATATGGGTATTATAAGTATAAATTGGTTGAACATGGAAGCTATCTTCGAACTTAGAACGACACATATAGCAAGAAGAAAAACATTTGCTAGTTCTATTAGTTTTGGTCGAAGATTGTTGAAGATCGTTCGCTTCCTGAGTCGTTTCTCGATCGTCTGCGAATGTAATCGATCAGCGCCTGGCAAGCTAAAGGGCAAAGGCTGAGCCGGAATACCAAAAAGGATATTACCTAAATGGAAACATACAATTCGATCATCACAGCTAGCAAGAATATTAGTCCAAAAACAAGAGTAGATTAGAAGAAATATTTTCTTACTAGCTCATCTATGATAGAATAGAAGGAGCATTCGACAAAGATCAGATTTTCTCTTACTTTTCAGGAGAAAAATCTATCGAAAAGTCCATTATACTAACTTTGCTTTTCATTAATAGTTGTCGAATCAACCCGTGTCAGAGAACCAATTAGCATGTTCTCTTGAAGGCAAACACCCGATCGAAGAATACATTTATTGCCAAGAAAGCATCCATTACCGATCTGAATGGGACCGACAACGACACACTGGCCGTTTGTTGTGACTTCATACGGAACGAATAATACGTCAGATGTAATCGTGACACCATGTCCAAGTGAGAGTAGATTTGACGGTATTGTTAAAAAATTGACAAATTCACCGAATTGAATATTACTAGGTTCTGTTGCGGTACCTAACCAATAAAGGATTGACGGAGCAATGGAATACATTTCGTCTAAGATAGGTGAAAGACAAGGAGTAAAAGAACTGAGAACTAGTTGACGCAACCAAAATTGATGAAGAAACTGCCAGGAATTGAGTGGATAGGAGAAGTTTTGTTCAACATTGCCAACTACACAGCGAAGCAAGATAAGACTGATGCCAGTACCAAGCAAACACCAGAATAACCAACATATTGGCATACTCAAATACAACGGCAACCAACACACCAAAGCCCAGCTCAACTGAAGAATGAATACATGTGTGCCAGCCGTTGCAAAGATAGAAACAAATTGAAAAGACAATTGACCATAAGTAAGCGAACGTGACGCTGAAATTTCTTGATATTTTCCAGAAACTTGACCTGTGACTGCAGTCAGCGGCTCTAAGAGAACACCATCATGTATCTGTACTCGATCATGAAGAACACATCGTGCTCCAATTGAACAGTGAGATCCGATACGAATTTCGTGTAAATAATAAATACGATCGTGGTACGTCAGAGAAGAGAGAACAACTTCGCTGCCAATATAAGTACCATTTCCAACTTCTAGCAGCCAAGGTGCATCAATGTGCGTAGTATAAATATGTGTTCCATCACTGACACGTGCGCCACATAGACGGAGATAGGCGTTGTAAAATGGAGTGCCCAGCAAATACTCAAGACAATAAATATTAAGCGACCACTGGCATCGTAGAAACCATAAACGATAATAACGCCACGTATAAAGAGTGTCTCGACCTCGTCGATTTGATCCGCCAAATAGTTTCATGAATAGTGGATATTGTACTAGATGTATTAATGGAATAAGAAGAATTTGAAAGAAACTAAAATGTAATCTAGTTGCCACAAAGATTGGCCACAGCCATTGACATGCCAGGAGAATAATACCAAGTGTTTCAATAATCCATGAAGGGCGAGGTCGAACTGAAAAATCTTCTTCATCATTATTATCATTAACTCCCTCTTTGCTCTTCTCATCACTCTTTACTACAGAGAAAAATGGTTCTAAGGCAACGGCCAATTCTCCTATCGAAGGACTTTTCATAAGAAGTTCAAAGTCTATTTTCTCACACACTTCTTGTCGAATGAAAATGAGTGCACGCATAGCACCCAGTGATGTCCCACCTAGCTGACCGAATGACATTCGAATATCAGGTAGCGAATCTAGATGAAATGCTCGGGAGAAAATATCTTGCAACTTTCGTTCCAGTGGAGACAATATGGTTGTAGGTCTGTCTTGTGAATGTAAATCTGCGATTTTACCAATATCTGATAATTTCTTTCGGTCAATTTTACCATTTGCGTTTAGTGGAAATTCTGGAATAAACAACCATTTCGATGGTATCATATACGGAGCCAAATACAAATTACAGAATCCAATCGTTTCATCTCGCATATCATGATTTTCCTTGTGTCCTCTAACTAGAATATATGCATACAAGTAACTATCAGTTTCAAGACCTTCTTTCATTAAAACACAATTCATTATCTCCGACGACGAACGAAGAATTACTGATTCAATTTCAGATAATTCAATACGTTGACCACGCAGCTTCACTTGAAAATCTCGTCGACCAATAAAAACAAGCTCATTTAATTCAACATCGAATCGAGCTAAGTCGCCAGTCATATAGAATTGCTCACCATCCACCTCAATCAGAAATTGCCTTGTCAAATCCATTCGTCCATAATAACCAGCAAACACACCAGCACCTATACATTGTACAACGGATATATATATGTATGCTTAAGCATAAACTAGATCACTTACCTCCAATGATCAGTTCACCTTCTTTACCGGGTACTACTGGTTGCCGATATTCATCAAGAAGATAAACTTGATATCCCTCTAGTGGATGACCAATGGGCAATGAAATCATTGTGGAAAGATCGTTGCGATGAATCTCATAACAAGTGGCCACCAATGTAGTTTCTGCCGGTCCATAAGCATTTAGAATCCGACTTTGTTCGTTGATGAATGGTAAGAGCTGAGAAACTGTTGAACTCAACAATTGTTCACCTTCAAAAACAGAATAATATTAATAACTACCGATTATATCAGATGAATTCTATGACTATTTGCACAAACTATACTTTTCCTTACCTCCTAAGTACCACCAATGCACTTGTCTCATTCTTTCTCGAGCGTCATAGTTTTCGCTAAGAAATTCACTTAAAGCATTGATCCAAGATGGCACATGTGCAATATACGTGACATTTTTCTCATAAACGATTTTTGTCATATAATCAAAATCAAGATGACCTCCAGCTTTGAGAGGAACTAAATGACCACCTTGAAGAAGTGCACCACCAATATCTTCCAAATGAGAATCAAAAGAAGAACTCGACAGCTGAACAACAACATCATTTTCTTCTATGATATGAGCTTTTATGTAAGTTAACAAATTGCGATGACGAAGTTGAACAGCTTTTGGAAGACCAGTTGATCCTGATGTGAACACAATATGAGACATCGATTGCGGTGTGACAACAACTTGAGATAGTTGTTCAATCTCAACATCGTTAAGAGGAACAGAAGAGTCAAGTATTTCTGAGATGTCGACAATCGGTACATTGCATTGATTCAAATGTGAAGGTGAGTTTTGACTGACAAGCACTAACTTAGCATCAACTTGATGAATAAGTGATTGTAGACGATCGAAAGGATCAGTTGGAGTTAGTGGAGCATAAATACCACCTGACATCAAAATACCTAGAATGCC